TCTCTTTACAGCCATCTCACCGACTGATGATTCATTGACTGACTGATTGTACCTTGTCATTTTTAGGGTTCAAAATTTGAACAGAAACCCCCTCAATTGAGCAGTGCCTTCCTGAAATGACATCACAGCAGCAGCGCTCTCAGTTGTCCGGAAAGGCAATGGACAATTTTTAAATATTTCAAGAAGTGCACTTTTCAATCAAAGTAACCAAAAGGGATATCTAATAGCTTTCATGCATTTTATAAGAGGAGTAGAAAGTTGCACGACATGTGTTTCTAAGAAAAGTCATCTCATGGAACCTTTGATAATACTCACCGGGTTCCTCCACGGGCTCCACGACCTGCAGCTTCATGACGATCTCTCTAAACACCGTGTTGTCGTCAAGGAACATCACCCTGCACGCGATACTGCCGTGTCGATCCTCCGGGAGTATTTGAAGGTTGATATGACTCGAAGCATCCCAGTCCGTATCGGTCTCAGCTTGGTGAGACCGGCTCCTATCCGCGGGAATCTCTCTCTGAGTTGTTCGCCATCTGCCCTTAGTGTTGATCAGCCAGGTGATGTTACTGGCGGGATTCGAACCGGAGGCATTGCAGGTGAAACGGTAGAAACGCCCGACCGTGACATCGGCGCTACACATCGAGTCACTCTCGCAAGAGTGGGTAGAGTTCACATCTAGAGTCACGCCATTTGGTGGATCTGAAATGGGATTTTTTTTTTATAGTTTTGGTCGCATCAATCATTAGAAATCATCATTGTCTATAAAACCAACATATCTAACGTACATTATTCAGTGCACACAAATGAACTCATCCTGCGAGAGCCGAATTATTGTCTGGCAGCTCGGATAATTCGAAGTTTGTGGAGAACTAATTCAATAACTGAACGTCGGTGGATATTTTTTCTTTCGATGTTTCATTCAAAAGTGAATAACTTTAATATTGCAAAGAAAATAGCAATTGGAAAAAATATATTTTTTTCGAGGTGAAACTCGAAAACATATCACGGGGAAATGCATATTTAAACTTACACATGACGTCAAGTGTCCATGTGGCATTTTTGATATTGAAGCTAGGCGAGAACACCTCGCACACCAGGACTGCACCCGACATGTTCCTGTGCAGGGTAACATGGAGAAAGTCACTCGTCGAATTACTTAAGAGAAAATTGATCTCGCTGGTGTCCAGACTCCAAATGATGTAGTATGGACTGTCTTCGCTCATATCTCTCGTTACGATACATGCAAACGAGGTTGTACGGCCCTCCAGTTCGTAACGACTCGTTCTCGACAAACTCACGTCCACAGAACGCACTGGAACACAAATGGAGTACAAATCAATAACAAAAGCACTGGGGATATCAGGGGCCAATTTCACGGCGCTGCTCAGCACAAACATTTGCTTAGCACAAAAGAGAGTCTGGCTTATAAAAGCAGGTTACCAGCCAAAACTCCATGTGATGTATATTGCTCGTGATTAGTATTCAGCTGTTGTGTGCTTAGCTTGAAATTCGCATGGAGTTTTGGCTGGTAATCTGCTTTTATAAGCCAGACTGTTTTTGTGCTAAGCAAATTTGTGTGCTTTGCAGCGCCGTGAAATTGGGCCCAGGTTGCAGACCAGAAAATACTGCCATAGACTTCAGTGGTAATGACGCGCACTTTCGAAAATCGTTTAAAATACTCACATTAACTCTCCAAGGTGTTTGAGAAACACATCAAATTAAAGCTTATTTCATCATCTTTCATTTTCTGTTAATTTTGGGGAGTTAATCAATGACTTTTTGAAGAGACTTTCATCCAAATATGATTACCCCTAAAAGAAGTCAATGGAGCCCATCGCCATTTTGAAAAAGGCTGCCTGCGCTCCATTGCTAAATAGAGCCATATAGGGCCAAGGGCGGATCCAGGGGGGGCCAAAGGGGGCCATGCCCCCCCCCCAAAAAAAAAAAAACGAAACCAATTTTTTATTTTTTTATTTTTTTTATGTGACATCGCAATAAAGGCAGGCAATGAGTACACCACCATCTTTTCCTCAAAAAACATTGGTTAAATGGTTTAACCCTAAAGGGGCCGGGTTATTTTGACCATCTCTCAGCCGGGGGGGGGGGGCGGATTCGGCCCCCCCCCCTAAGATCTCGGCCATCGAGTGACGAAAAATTTTGAAACTCGATACATGCATAGAGCAACTCTTCCTTGACATACCCAAGAAATTTTATGACTATAGGTCAAAGGGTTTTGGAGTTATGGCTAATTAATTATTCATATGTACGAATGGCAATTCTGCTCTGTGTACACGACGTATATGCGAAAATTCAGTTTTCACGGCGCGTAGCGCCGGAAAATTTTTCGCTACGCGGCAACCCGAGGTCCGATTTTTACGTTTTTGGTATCAAAAGATGCGCAAAGCTCGAGGCTAAAAAGTCATAACAGCTCGGGTCGCGAAAAAAATTTTTTTAGAGGCTATCACGGAAAATGTTGAGGGGGGGGCGGATTCCGCCCCCCCCCGGCCCTTTTAGGGTTAAGCGGGCCCCGAACCCCACGCCGTAATTTTTTTGACCCACTTTTTGGGGGACCAATTTTTCTTTTTTGGCCCCCCCCAAAAAATTGTGTTCTGGATCCGCCCTTGTATAGGGCCTTATTTCATCCCAATTTCACAGAAATAAGAGCTCACAGTCCTCTGCACGGCTTCCACCCTTCTTTACAAACCCTCAAGTTCACGGCCCTCCAAATGCTCTAATACCGGAGATTTTGAGGGCACCCAAAGTCGTGATTTGGTCGGCGTTGGTAATTTCGGGCCTATTTACTGGTCTGCACCCATCAGGCCCGGATTTTCAAAAAGATCGGGGGCCTACAAACAAAGACATACGAACATATTATACAGTGTGGCTTGGCTTGCTTAGTACAGCTCAGAACCAACATGAGCTGGTGCCGGGACGGCGTTGGGCCTACGGAACACTGGTGCCTACAGGGCCAACGGAACACTTAATCCAGCCCTTGGTGATATTCACATCTTGTGCAACAGTTTCATTTGACACAAACACATTGTCTTTGAGACTGCAATTTCACAGGTCTAAAATGCCGGCATGTCCAGTTTACAAAAAACAAAATAGTGTTTTGTGATACGATGTCTTGAATAATAAACGTTTTACTTCCGGCTTGACAGCAAATGGGTTGAAAGCTGTCCCGAGTGCAAGAAAGAAGCCAAAGGATTGATTAATAAGAGACTATCTTTGTCATTTTACATTTAAAAAAAAAAGAATAACAAACTCACCGAGCAAGATGGCTCCAAAGATGGCGGTAAAAAACACGATTAATTTGGTCATCGCCATTTTTAAACGCTGTGTATAATAATTTCCTCTCATATCATTTCTGTGGTAATCATTTAGGATCAATGATGTGCATGGCTGACAATCTTTTGCTTTCATTTTTGGTCACTTCGTTTAATTTATTTATTTTTGGCACGTGTGCAGCGTAAAATAGTACCGTTGTTACATCCCTATTCAAAGTTTGTAGGCTATCCAAACGAGAAACCGTTAAACTTAAACAAAACCTGCAGCACCATCTGATCGTAAAAAAAATGGTTTTGTTTTTATAGCGTTTGCGATACCAAATCAATCCCTATCACATAAACTAAAGCTACAAGCAAAATAAAAAAAAAACCTTTTAGCAAATGAAATAAGGAAGTAAACGGAAAGCAGTAGCATGCATCAGCAACATTTTCATAGGACATTCTGGTTAACTGCCTGTTTTTTTTTTTATTCATATGGAAACATTTCGTGCTGTATGACCCTTTAAAGTGCCGCCTTTAGGTTGCAGGCCAGTAAATAGGCCCGAAATGCCAACGCCGGCCAAATCACGATTTACATGCTCTCATCATTGTTTTGCTATTAGAGCTTTTTGTGGGCCATGAACTTAAGAGTTTGTGAGGGAAAAAAACGGTGTAAAGGCCGAGTACAGGACTGCGAGGTCGTATTTCTAAAGTGAAATTTGAATGGAATTGGGCCCTAAAATTGCTATGTTTTGCAATGGAGCGGAGGCATCATTTTTCAACATGGCGATGGGCTACGGGACTTTTTCTAGGGGTGACTATCTTTGGATGGAATTTTCTCCCAAAAGTCACAGGTTAAACCCAAAAAAATGAACAGAAAATGAAAGATGATGAAATGAGCTTTAATTTGATGTGTGTGTCAAACACCTTGGAGGGTTGTGAGTATTTTTTTTCCTGAATTTCGGATTTGGGCATATTTAGTCTGGTTCCCAGACCAAAAGATTCCGACTATTTCTGATGAATTTTAGGTCAGGTAACCTCTGCAATATATATATAACGGCACGTGACCAAAACAGGAGGAATATCTCCCATTTCCGAAAATGTCCGAAAGTTTTGCCGATTGCATTTCGTCGACAATCTCGGATAGCGCCCGGGTATTTCCGGGTGTAAAGTAGGTTTTATTTACCTGCCATGCTTATTAAAAAAAAATGAGATAATAATTAATATTCATTGCTTCCATTAAGAAAGCTCGAAATTCAATGACGACTTTGTGCATCACGCATGCACTCGGATCGTACGAGGGGTGAGCTTTGCTGCTTCGTGTACTATTTTGAATCTGACGACGGTTGCAAACTCGGCGTTGTCTCCATTTCGGCTTCGCCTGCTATTTGGGTCCGTAACTTTGAAGATTCCACATCAACATTAGTAAATGTTTCTTACAGAAATATCAAACTTTATTATATATGAAGCAAGTGATGAATTCGATTGGAACATTAAAAGCTTTTTATGATAAAAAACCAAACCGGAAACGGAGCCGAGCTTTGCAAAAAGGGTCATTATGTTTATTTTTAGCCCTGTGGCGGTTACCTGACCTACAATTTAGACGTCAGAGAGTCGGGGAATTGTCAGGTCAGGGAACCAGACTAATTAAGGTCCTGTTTCGTACGCATGCGTCATGAACACACACTGAAGTGTACAAAAATCTGTCCAATGAGAGATCATAGGAATTAGAGGTCGCTCACGACGCGACCTGCAGTGCACGGGGCGCCCTGTATGAACCAACACTGTGCTAAAGAGCTGACAGCGGGCGCTCTATTCTCGAACACCGGGGCGCTTTTATGTCCTTGCTCGGCAGGTGGGCACTTTCACTTTTTACATCGGAGTTTTGTTGTCTTTTCTTTTCAGTTTCTGAAATCCCCGTACAGTTGTCACACACGGTGCATGGAGAGTGACAGCGTATTTCCGTCAGTGATTGGAGTAGTGACCCTGGCCCTGTGAAACTGTTGTCGTATGAAACTCGGTGTCATCTTCACAAGGGGAAAAGGTAAGGACGAAATGAAAATACGAGTTTGAATTACGTGATTTTGTTTGTCACTGCAAGTTGCCGAACAATTTGCTGAATGGAGATTTTTTTAAAGGCCATATCGGTAAATCCAAAGTACAGCCAAAGATTTGCACATGTTTTATATTGGCCTATAAATCTCAGGTTGTTGTTGGTCACATGAGGGCCAGCCTTTCGTTGGTACCCGTCAATGACTGACTTTCTAACCGACTGACTGATTGACTGGTTGTCACTTGTGAATTAGAATTGCTTAAGTCTCACTTTGGTCTAAAAAAATGACTCAGATTACTACCTTGACCAGCTTCACTAGTCTTGTATGATGATTTGTTTTAGCGAATAGCGTACAAATCTAGAAGGGTAAGTAATTGTGGAATACTTTGCGAGCCGTTCAAGTGTTCAGTTTCAAGATCAGTTGCGTTTCAAGTTTAATTTGCCAGTCGAAATTAAACTTTTAATTTGTAGATCAGCTCGAATGACTAAACCACGAAAACATGTCAAGCCCGCTGCACTCCGTTTTTTAGATGTTGTGAACAGCACCACCAGCTATAGCGCGGTGAATGGAATAACTGAATTCGACGCCAGTGGCCCCAGGGTTAAACTTTGTTGCCGGTTGCCAAAGCGACGTAACCTCTAAAAGCAGAGGCCATACAAGTACCGCGTGTGGGGCCTGCCTCTCCGAAGTAAATGCATGACTAGTTCACTTGTATAGGCTGATTCGGCACACAGATCCTATAGGTGTTATTCTCGTTAAACAGACTATGATATCACATAAGAGGGGAAAATGCACAACTGACGATAACATTTGTGTAAATCATCTGTCCGGTTTTAGATTTTGACATATTTGAATGACGATCAATCCATTGTAAACTCGAGTGAAAAGTCGATCTATTCAATTGACTGAATTTCAGTCACTCTAATGTAGGCCTAATCTTGTCCTTTGTTTAGGATAATTTTCACTAGAGAAGAGCACATTTTTTATTTTTGGAAATAAGGCAGACCCATTTGATGGTTCGTTTTGTGGTCAAAACCAACAGCCGAATTCTATTTGGGCGTAAAGATTCTGTGTTTCGCAGTGTACATGTAGGCAGTTTCTTGTTCGTATACAGTATTTATTTATGTTCAGCATTGTAACACCACAATACAAGCAAGAGCTAAACAACCACTGTATATGCTGCGTAAAAGCTCGGTAAATACGTATACACGGCTCGTATATAGTGCCTGCCACACGCTTATTTATTTAGTGCTACCATCGATTTGTTGTATTTAGTTTAAGAGTCCTGATTCATGTAAATTTTAAACGTCTGGGCATGGGCACAATGGAGCAACCCTGAAAATCGATCGAACACCTGCAGTGCGTGCTTTGCAGGGTGAAATTACTTCAAAAGTGGGTTGACTGGTGGAATTTTGAGGGAACAAGGACTATATCCCTTAGAAACTATGATAATGTCACCATTTTTATGGTGGTAATATTTTGCGTATGTAAATGCAGTATAATTGGCTTTTTGTCCTTCACCTGCGTAATTTTGTATGAACTATAATTGTTTTCCTGTGTGCTTGCGAGAAATGAATCACACGTTAACCCGGGTGGGACTCGCACCCACGACCTCCTGCTCGCAAGTGCAGAGGCTTTACCACTCGACCATGAGAAATAAAATGACTATAGGTATGAGTTGACATGCATTGATGGCAGATTCACCTTGCCGACTTGACAAAATCTTCCAGTTTCGTTGTTGTACCGTATCATAGTGATGCAATTTGTACCCTATAACTGTAGACATAATGCTTAGAGTATTGGTGGATAGTGTTTAGCAATTGAACATTGACGTTTAAGAATTGAACACATACTGTTAAGCTTCCAAACATGTTTACGATGTGATAGCAAGATAGTGTTGAAGTGCGAAACACAGTTTTTAGAGAGTAAAATAACTGAATTTGAATTTAAGTGTAGCAGCCATTGAAGGACATTGTTGTAACAATGGATTTGGTATGCACCCGCAGTTGTGAAATTTCCTATGATCATCTCCCCTTAACACCATCTTCATTCAGTTGTTCAAACAGATCCAAACAGATATAGAATTCGCGCTTTGAAAACTCTTTTTCCCGAGGCTACGCATGAGTCGTCAATATTTGCCGTTGTTTGTTAAGGATTTTGCTTTTCTACACCAGCTTAGCACAGAGATCTTTGGGCAAATAAGATAACTGAAAAGCAGTCGCAGACAACCACGATAGTCTGAGATGTTATTAGCGTCAGCGGGAAATGTGATCGATCATCGCAGTGTCTAATACAACTCGGCCAACCCCCTTCGCCACTGGGCGTAAATCCCGGGGGATGGGGTTATTATATATCCCTCCCCCACTTTTTGACCGGGGGGGGGGTCTATTGAATCGTCCCCCACAATTTTTGTGAAGAGCAAAAGAATGCGGATTTGAGGTGTTTTTTCGAACATGCCAACAACCGAAATGTATTCAACAGCACTGAAAAGTGGAGAAACAAAGTACACATCTTTTAAAATGCGCTCTTTTGATGTAGGCCTAAGCGCCAGTAGGTCTATACATATTATATCGATATACATCTATATCCCGAAGAGCGTCCCTAGTGTAATGTGATGTCCAGCTCCCCCCCCCCCCCAACCTTCGCTTTTCGAATTTGCACTGCCGGGCAATATTTAGATTTTGGTCACCCCCCCCCCCACACACACACACACACAAACACACCCCACATGTTTACGTTACGTACCTAGTGTGGACATTCCCTTGCTTTCGTGTAGTTAAGAAAAACCTTTTAAAAATAATTCATTTTATTCTCACTGTGAAAACACTTTCTATCAATTTTTTTCTATGATTCCCTTTAGTGTCTCTCTTCATTTTGCCACAGATAAACCTAACCCAAAAATGCCTCTAAACCTGTCCTCCAGAAAGGGGGGGGGGGGGGGAACACTGTGTGGACTTGCCCAAGTCCACACAACGCCGCCTCTACCTGGTTTATGTGGACCTGTTTTGTTCGGAAGTCCACACAGTGAATGTAATGCTAGAACACACTCGACGGTGTCCCGGAGGGGGGGAGGGGCGCCAACAAACGGCTGGATAGCTCAGTCGGTAGCACCGGAACGGCAATCCGGAGGTCGCAGGTTCAAGCCCCGCTTCTGATCGCTCAATTTCTTTGATCAACTTTAAACTATTGATCATTTTTTTCACACAGTTAAGATGTCGTCCGACCATTGCAATCTCACCTTCGCTGGCACGTCTTTCCTGGGTGTCTACAACATCGGCTCGGCGGTGTGCATGTTGGATTACGGCAAGGAGGTGGTGCGTCACGTGCGGTCCTACGGCGGGACGTCAGCGGGGGCCAGCACGGCGTGCGTCATGCTCAGCGCGCCGGAAAGACTCCCCGTAAGTCCGAGGCTGCTATGCACTGACAGAAATCTACTGTTGACTGGTACTTAGTTTCAGTTTTTGTGATCTGGATATCTTTTCCGCTAAGCAGCATGAAATTGAAAGGGCAATAATCTTGGGAACGCGGGAGGATATATTCTCCAAAGGTGCACTGATCAGTTAAAATTGCCACAGCCAGTACCAATGAGAAACAGCCTCACTCAAAAGAAAATGGGCAGATGGCCCGGGGTTGATATTTTGCCCAATGTAATTGGTCAACATACCAGATGCCAATTCTCTCGGGCAAATTCTTACCAAAAATTGGTGCCATTTCTACCCGAATTAATACCGGCGTATTATAGCGCACGTATCTACCAGCAATTAGGTACTCAAGGCGCTGGAAATTATGTATATTATTAAAGACAGGTAAATGAAGTCTATGAGAAATATGAGACCCATTATGTAGCACCTTATAAGGGTTTACAAGGTGCTGCGGCGCAAATTGCAGCCACTGCCAGAAACACCGGGGCAAACCCCTTCTCTAAGCGATAAGTGTTACTGGGTTCTTTAACGTGCCTTACACAACACACCGGCTTTACGTCCCATCCGAAGGACGAAACAATAATGGTAAAGTGCCTTACTCAAGAGCACAAGCACCACGTTCCCACGGTCAGGATTCGAACCCATGTACCACGGCACACGAGTCGAACACCGCAATCATTGGACCACAGCACCCCATAACCAACAATTAGGTAAATTCATACCAATGTCGGGTGAATAACATTGCCCAACACTGTTCTATCTTCGCAATTCTCCAAGGTGTTCAAGACAAACATCAAATAAAAGCTTAATCATTTTTCTGTCATTTTTTTAACGGTAATCCAAGGCAGGCCTTTTTGAGATAAAGTTTATTAAAGGATTTAGCCCATGGAATTATGGGGGTACTCCTATATGACAGCACTGCCCTGCTCACAATTGTAAGTCAATCAATCACTCAGCCAGTGGGACAGGTGCCAAGAAAACACTAGGCTGGCCCTCTGGGACCAGCAATGTCTGTAAGAACACAAAGATGTTTAAAATCCAATTTCGAGTTACTTGCTTACTTAGTCCTCTTCATCCCTAGTGGGACATAAGGCCACAATGATCTCTCTCCAATTGGTCCTGTCCTTTGCGATGTACTGTGCTTCTCCCCAAGTAAGATTCATCTCAGCAAGCTCTGCCATTACTGCTCTTCGCTAATTTCGAGTTATATTCTGATATATGCTGCTGCTTTAAAATAGCCAGAAGCGAGGAAAATATTTGAATTTGTTTGATTTTCTTGACAACAGTTTTCTTATTCTTCATCATCAGCAATATCTGCAGTCGATTTACGGCCTGGCAGCCTCGATTTCAACGATGCAATATGGCGCCGTGACCCCTGGCTATGACCTCATGAGCGACATCCGGGAAATCCTCCAAACCCACCTGAAGGTACATGAGACAACAATGTGAACTGTTGTGATTTTATTAAATACACTGATTTGGAGACTAGTCATTTATTACAGGTATCGTTTGACTAACCAGATTAATCAACCTCGTTCCCAGGTCTACTTTCGACCACAGTCGGACGTTAGTAGAGCAGCAGCTTGTGGTATAGCGAGAGAGCTGATAGTGGAAGCGTATTGCTCGACGCTATGGGGACGAGGCTGCAGTTTAATGTTTTATGTGTATAATGTTCAGAAAATACAAGAAAAACCCAGGTCATTTTTTAGGCCTGTGCAGCTGTCACAGGCCAGGCCTAAGTGCTGGCTATGTTGTGGCCAAGAAAAAAACCCGTAAATGTATCTATACGTAGCCGAATGAACGCATTAAGTAAATTGCGAACTGGCTTGTGCCTATAATTAGCGAGTGGAGTATTTGTAAAAAGAAAAGAAAAAAAAAAGCCGTTTTGCCAACGATCGCTCTGCTGGGAGATCGTTTGAAAATGATACAAATTCCTTCTTTTTTTCTTGACAGCTCACCAGTCGCTACAGTTTCACAAATGTGTCACACTAATACTTTAATTATTCTTCTCACAATGAGGTAAGGTAAGTTAGTAATGTAACGATTTTTCCCTCCCTTTTGTTTGGGCAAATATTTCCCACTTCTTTTAAAGGAGGACGCTCACACGCGCTGCACAGGGCGCCTCCATGTGCCCATCATGGAGTTAGTCTCCATGACCCCTGACCCGAGGTCAAAGACGACCGCCATCGTGCCGCGGCCGACCAAGAAACCCAACGCGCTGGAATTTGGCGGGAAAACTTGGGCGTGCGGCGACAAGAAAGTGGTGACCAGTTTCAGCAGCCGGGAAGAACTGATTGAGGTAAGAAAAAAAGGAAAGGAATTAAGGCAGGAAGAATTAACAGACCAACTTTGCTTATATAGTCAAATTTATGCGCGCATGCGCATTAGCAGGCACCAAGGCAAGATCAATATGCAACGCATTGGTATAAATAGACCTACACGGGAGATCGAAGAGTTTGGTTGAATTGTAATTTATTATTAGCTAAGTTCTCTGATGCCTTCGTTTGTTTCCATGTTTCAAATGTAACGTTCATGAAAAAAAATCTTTGAAGCCTTGAGCGCGTTTGGAGATTGAAACTTGTGTGGCTGCCGGATAAACTGGTCATTTTTGTTTTATAATCGACCTGTTTTTCAAGAAGATGTAGATTTGTTACTTTCTTTCTTTCATTAGATCCCTGGAAACAATAGAAACATTGTTCAATTTGTTGCTCAATTAAAGTCTCAAGACCCGCATTCCCAAACCCCGTGCTGAACCATTTCCGAAGCATTTCCGAAGAAGGTTACATGTGTACATCCTTATCGAAACATATACAAAGGGCGAGTAAAAAAAAAAGGAAACCCAAATGGCAGGACCATTTTTTTTAATGAAGTTCTGCATGTAGCACTTTCAAAATCTAGGATATGAACGCCCAATTAATAGCCTAAGCTTTTGATTGTACAAGAATCGTTCAAATCACTCATATACTTTTCAAGTTACGGGATTTTAAACACAACCACCGTTTTAAAGCTCTGTCCACGGATCACAAAAAAAAGGTAAGTGTTCTTTCAGCAAAACGAAAACCATTCACATAGGGATGTACGTGAATTGTTTTCGTTTTACTGAAAGAACACTTATACTTTGTTTGTGATCCGTGGAAAGAACTTTAAAACAGAGTTTGTGTTTAAAATCCTGTATCTTGAACAGTACACGAGTGATTTGAATGATTCTTGCTCTAAAAGAAAGCTTATTAATTGGGCTTTCATATCCTAGATTTTGAAAATGCTACATGCAGAACTTCATTACAAAAATGGTCCTGCTATTTGGGTTTCCTTTTTTTTACTCACCCTGTATACACTCCTTTTATCACACAAATTTAAAAAAAATAATACAACTCGAACTAAGGCATACATTTCATGTTTTGTTTCTTAAAGGTTCTTCTAGCCAGCATGTATGTGCCGTGGTTTAGTGACTGGAAAGCTCCGTCTTACCAAGGAAAGGTAAAACATTTCGTGTTGACCTGAAACACCACTAGATGAAAGCATTGCTTCTCCTTGGGGAGAAAAATGGTACATGTATCTTTCTTGAATGTGTATAATATTAGCCTCTGTTCCATCCGTCCTGAATTATCTTCCGGCACAAGCTTGCTTTAATAATGACACAGATGCCATACATCTTTTCAGTTCTGGGTTGACGGATCGCTCCTCAACACCAGCCCGGGCGGGATCGAGGATCTTCGATTCCCAGCGGGCACGCTCATCACCATCTCCCCGAACAAACAGGCCGCGCACTCCCGCCCGCAGGACAACATCACCTCCACCTGGAAGGACATCAGCCACGAGCACTACGAGGCCTCGCCGTTCAACATGTACAGGGTCCCTATCAGCTCCGGCTCATCCGGCGGCCTGGAGTTCGTCCTGAACCCGCCTCCCAGAGACGTGTTGGAGAAGCTGTACGACCAGGGCAAGCTGGATGCGCGAGAGTTTCTGAATAAGTACGGGGTGTACGAAGGGCCGGTGGCCGATAAAAGACGAACTGATGGGCTGATTGGTTAGGGGGGGGGTATCTGTTGTGTTTAATTGAATTGTGACTATTGATTGGTCCTGATGTCTTAAACAAACCGTTTAAATTTCAAACGGAAATATCAAACAATATTTTAATACAACCAAAAGAATAGAGTGTGGTCAGCGCCAAAAAATACAGTCCTAGTTAAAGCCAATTTTAAAGGAACGAAACAGACGTGCTCGTTGTCCAGATCACAACTGAAGAAAAACCTCTTATGATGAATTGAAATTTGTTTCACTAATCACTGCCGTGATGTTGTAAATAAGCATTTTAAATTGCAAGAGGAAATGTCAAACAGTCATGGGCGTCGCGGGGGGCGGGGCAAAAAAGAAAGAAAAAGAGGCGCGGAGTCATATTGCTATTAATTTAATGGGGGGGGGGGTTAAATGTCCCTGCCCCCCCCCCCCGAAAAATTTCAGATGACGAGGATTTATTCAGGTGTTATATAAAGCAAATAATGAATGTTTCACATTCGTGCAATGGTAAGAATAATTTCATTCGGTGACAGAAGAAATGTTCCATCTCACTCGGCTTCGCCTCGTGGAATGGAACATTTCATCTGTCACCTCATAAAATTATTCTTACCATTGCACTCACAAACATTCATTATTTGTTTTATACAACTCCAGAATAAACCCTCGTCGTCTGATTGGTCAGAAGCACCAATCATGTGACCGTACAATACAACGTCTAGTTTTGTGGTGCAGCTGGGCCATGGGTTTTGGACGAATAATTCAATGACATGTGATCAACGACTCACCAATCAGATGACCTGGATTTATTCAGACGTTGTGTAAAACAAACTATCGCTATCAGAATAATACACACAAATCGGTGGAGAACCAGCTACAAGCATTCATGAGACTTTTGACTCGTAACCCGTTTTTGGAAACAAAAATGAAAATATTGTGTGATTGAATGATGTTTGTGCTACTCGGCTCCGCGTCCGGTGCGCTCTTAAGCCTTCAAAATTGATTTTTTTTGTAAAGCGACAATTAAAATAAAGGGTGTTAAATGCTTTGGCGTAGTATTGTACAGCAATTATACATGTACATGTATAAATTAACATTTTAAGTGATTTCAACTTTACAAAGAACACCAATCAAAAATCAAAAGTTGCGAAAACGTGGTTTAGTTCACTAAATTTGTGTTGCCAAAATAAAACGAATCACTTTGTTTCAGTGTATCTCCAGTAACGTTGGATATCATGAGTTACCGGTTGAATGTCTTTGCAGATGTCTGAATCGAAGTTTACTATTATCTCTATTTAAAGGGAATGTACAACATTTGCTTTTGCTGTAATTTTCAGAAATAAATGGATTGGGAGGGATATGTTATAGCAAATATTGTTAAAATGACTTGTTTCATTTTTTGGGTTCGATGATGCTGGAAAAACCAAGGAAACCCATCATGGTATTGTAGTCTGGTTCCTTGACCCCACTTAAGATGTAACGGAACAATTTATAGACGTTGGGAAAGTTTAAGGTATAGAGAATCAGTCTAGCTGGCTTGTACCCCTTAACAGGTATGTAATCAATTGCAAAGAAAATGCGGAATATCTAAATATGAACAATAAGGAGCACTTAAAAAAAAAAAGGTTTCTCCAACGCTGGTCGGCCGACCAGCGTTGAAAATTGATTTTAAAAAATACCACTTTACTTTAAAATGTCAGCACACAAGGAGCCATGATTTTACAGGATGCTTTAGACTGTCATTCCCTAACAGTCCAGTAATGAATTTCGGGATAATTTGATCATTTTGTTTTTGATGTCTGCAAATGTTGTATCTTCATTTTAAATATTAAAAGTAACAAGTTTGGCAATGCTATAGCGATCAGTTTTATGTGTAGATATGATATAATCTGTATGCACTTGTAATGACAAGTATTGTTTATCTGTATAGGCCTATTCGTTCAATATAAGCTATATGCAATTTCAGATTGTCGTTTTGACCGAAATCGTGCCCTTCGGTCGGTATATAACATCAATTTGGGTGAACAATAATTGTGGGATTTACACTCTAACACAACGAATTTGCACGATAGAAGTATTGCAATGAATAAATAACGTAATTGCAAGATATTTACTACAACCTTGTGCCTTCGACGCGACGTGGATTGGTTGTTCTCCGAGTAAATAAATTCAAGTTGACTTGCTAATTATCTAGCATTAAAGAAAGTTTGTGTGCTTTCCAACCCACAAGGTGGATCTACCTAAACACCTAAGGATGTCTTTTCAATCGTTACAGACGCCAACATAGAAAACAAAGTAGTTTACCGTTAAAATATAACATACGAGTTTTAATCGTTGGGAAAAACAACCGAATTTGATGAAGACACCGTCAGTACATCTAGACGGCCTATTCATACGCTAAGCATTATACTCTCTTAAGTTTCAAAGATAACCTAGACGGTTTAGAGTGAAGATCTAATTTTAGAAGGAAGTGTTTTCATGAAGGAGAAATTCTGTCGGAACTCCAGTGAAAACTGGATCCTATCGGTTGAAAAATTTCACTCAGTCTTGTCCTTAAATTCAATCGGATTTGGTAAATTTCAACTCGAGTTTTCACTCTACAGTTCGTCCCCCCCCCCAAAAAAAGTGTCCGTCTGACGTGGTTGGGATTGGAATCATTGCTTGGCTGTCAGTCATCATGGCAAGACATCAGTTTAATGCTCAAGGGCAAATTATTCCAATTCAAAACCAGTCTTTCTCACAGAATTTCTCACAGCTTGCATATTAACACAGCACTGCAATTTATTAAGGCAAGGAACTTTGTCACAGTGTCAAAAAATGTCTTTGTGATCAATATTGACCATTGCGCAGTGATGCGTGACTGAAATTAAATGAAACTCATACGGGCTTAGGTCAAGAATAAGGAGTATCTGCAAAATAAAAAAAATCTAAATTGACGTCATGGTTTTGTATTTATTTCCAAAAAAGTTAGATGGACACTTTCGGACCTATGAGGCGTCGGACTTATGATACGGCCGCGACGCAATGATAGCCCTGGGTGCAGGCCAGCAAATCATGATGCATGCCCTCATATTATCCGGAATAAAATTTTTTTAAGGGCCTTGAACTTAAGGGTTCGTAAAAAAAGAAGGGTATAGACAAGGGCGGATCCAGAACACAATTTTTTGGGGGGGGCCAAAAAATTTTTGGGTCCCCCCCAAAAAAGTGGGTCAAAAAAATTACGGCGTGGGTTCGGGGCCCGCTTAAGGGCCCTGACAATTTTTTGGATTCTAGATGCTCTGTGGTGCGATCTGAGGCAATTTCTGACCACTTTAACCAATGTTTTTTGAGGAAAAGATGGTGGTGTACTCATTGCCTGCCTTTATTGCGATGTCACATAAAAAAAAAATTGGTTTCGTTATTTTTTTTTGGGGGGGGGGGGGCATGGCCCCCTTTGCCCCCCCCCCCCCCCCTGGATCCGCCCTTGGGTATAGAAGCCGCGCACAGGACTGCGAGTTCGTATTTCTGTGAAATTTGGATAAAATTAGGCTCTAAAATGGCTTTATTTTGCAATGGAGCGTAGGCGTCCTTTTTCAAAACGGCGATGGGCTTCAGGACTGGTCATTCCGTTACCACCACCCCCCCCCCCCCAAAAAAAAACATGAAAAGAAAATGAAAGATGATGAAATAAGCTTTAATTTGATGGGTGTCTCAAACACCTTGCATGGAGAGTGAGCAATTGTAGCAATTTTTAGAAGTGCGTGTAATTATCACTGAGGTTTATGTAAATCTATATATACTGGTCTGAAACCCTCTGGGGCCGGTGTAGCATATGAAATACAGACTCATTGGTGGTATTGCGCATGCTCATGCATAGATAATTGGGAGAGGGACCGGTCGCGTGATAGGGTTTAACCAATATAAGGGAAAAGGAGTCCGATTTTCATACGAAACCGATTTTCATATGACACCGGCAATGCGACATTGTGACTCACAGCGCGAGCACGTAAACATATGAGGGCGTCTGTCAAACTTCACAGTGTGGTCGTGGGTAATGCATTATGATATCTCAAGCCACAAAATGTGATCCGTCAACTGCGATGACAGCTTTTTCAAAATGTACATTCCTTTAACAGTCGTCTGCTTCCAAATAAAAGTGCCACTAATCGTTGAAGTACCCACCACAAAAGAGACAATCGGGACGTTATCACGACGGCCTAAAGCCTTTGAAGTGCCAACGACGAGCTAAGGGACCGACTACTATTTTATGCAAATCGAAAAGTAAGTGTCAACAAATGACAACTTCACGACAGTTCAAGTTCACTTAAATTAATAACAAAATTGACACACGTTTTAGCAGGTGTAACTTTGAAATTCCTACAAGCTGTCGTTCGCGTTCAGTAGTGACAAGCAACAAATTGTGGATCTTGAATTGCGATAAACGAGACGGACCCTGACCCCGCTTGGATCCCGTCTTTCGCGGATCGTTTACCGTTGCTATTGACTTAGCAATCCGGGGGACGTCCAACTCAACACCAGGAGCGTAAACCAGTCTGCCGCTAGTGGGACCTTTGTCCCGTGGACTGCCGAGTGTTTACCCGCTCATGTTGACGGCGTGCCGTGGAAAATATTATAACCTGAAGGGGAGGTGATTTTGTTTTGGCATGCAGTGGATCATGTTAGCCCGGCGAAGTGCAGAGAGATTTCAAAGAGATTTTGTTTCAAGTACAGCTAATTGAAATTCATGAATTGATAGTGTGCATATAGAGAAATTTCGTATTGGGTTGCAAAACAATTCAGGCCTACGGTTTGCGTGTAAATTAAACACCAGCTCGAAAAAAAAAATTTGTATTGAGAAAAATCATAGAGAAAGGACACACAATTCAACACATTCGGCAGCGGTACATCTTCAATCAAGCAGGTAAGTGAATCACAGTGGAATCTCGATAAGTCAAACCTCAAGGGAAAAGCTAGGTTCAAAATTTGACAAGGATGTATATCATTGTTATACTACGTACTGTATGAAGGAAATGGATTCTTTGTTTGACTTAACAGTTGTTTTGAGTTATCAGAGTTTGACTTATCGAGATTTCACTGTATATACATAGGCCTACTTTGCGGAAAAGTTTAGTAAACTACACATGTAGGCCTAGTTGTTCTCGATAGTTCTGAGGAAGAGTTTGACATGATCTTATTCTACTTCTAGAACTAATCGACAGTCTATTGAAAAATTCAGGTTTTCGACAAAGATGGTTTTTCAGATTTATGTTACGGATATTTCAAGACATCGACGTCATCTGTACTGTAGAGAGAGACGTTTACGTCCAAATTTAATATCTGTAAAGGGGACTAGCCTACAGGATTTGTGTTAATTCTTAATTTCAGCAGTACCAAAAGATCGGCAGCACTGCAGCCATGTTTGAGGTGTGTGCTTTTGTTCAACAGGGATACGCATGTAGACCTCTTGTGTATTCATTGTTAATGAATTAACATAACATAACACACCTCAAACATGGCCGCTGAATGCAATCTATCTATTGAGCACTGCAGACAGTGTTGGCTGTCCTTGCTCCATGGTCAAATCATTAATTGATATATGCACAATTTTAAGCTGTGTGCGAGTATGCATAGTTAAGGCCTCTATGTAAATAATGCAAGCGAGCTGTAGAGTTTGCATAGGAATTAATCCCGGTGACACCAACTTCGCAATTGGTAATCAATATTTGGAATGGCTGAATTGTAAACAGCCCCATGGCGATATCTGTGCACTGTAGACCACAATAGGAAATCTTCACATGAGACGAAATCGATATGAACCTCTTCTCATTGTTAAGGCGGTAGCCTCTGACAAGATTATAGCGATGGAGGTAAATGAACTGTTAGCGGCCATTTTGGATTCGTGGATTCGTGGACTCCGACAAACTTCGTCAGCGGTGGTGTTACGACTAACCCATTGATGTTTCATCAGGCTTAGCTAGGTATACGTACATGTACGTGACACGCAACAAGTTAGTATATGATGCACTTTGTCTGATTCGATGACTTACCTTTGAAGTTACTGGGCCACTCGCTTAAAACTAGACCGAAAGAGCAGTTTTAGTTTAGACTATCACAAGTCCCTGCACTCACAAGTCGATCCTTCAGTCTCAAGTCAATTAAGTCACTAGCTATTCAAATGAACTGTCACAAAAGCATTGTTCATACAATTACTTGTGACTGGACTTATGGAAGGACTTGCGATGGACCCGACTACAACACCTGCGAAAGAGTCAAACTAATCAGTTCCTATATATTTCTAGATTCTCAGATAGTCACTCGTCAAACCGGGATTTATGTACAGAAGTTTCAATTTTCCTAAGTTAAAGGAGACATTTCCCGATTCATAAGGAATATAGAGGCATTTGATACACATGTACTCATTTCAATGATATGATTCCTAGTGTGATTCTATATAGTCGAAGGTATTGTTTGACGCAAAAGGACACGTCTATTAATTGTACTCTCGCTAACTAACTGGCTGACTGAGTAACTATAATTATAGTTAACTTTAAAAATGTGTTCGAAAGTTAGTCTTTCGGGTCAGGTTTGACTAGTCAAGCCTAATCTGGTTGCGATGTTCCCTTTGTCTGCTTCAAGCCTGCAAGTTAGCTATTTTCAATAGAGATTTGAGCAGACAGATTTCAGTCATTTTTGGATCAGTTTTCAAAGCTTGAAGAGTATTGAGAACATCTGTATTATCACAAGGCTGCATGCTTGGCTCATTGGCCTCGCTGAAAATTGAACCTGGGTCGCAGAGGTGTTAGGCGAATAATTTACCACTGAGCGATCCCGACTTTCCTTTAAAATGAGCCACATAAATAACCAAATGATTCCCCCCCCCCCTTCTCTGGCAGCCATGGGTGAGCATCTGAACCCGCCCTTTGACCTCGCCCTAGCCGGCAGCTCTTTCTTCGGTATCAGCAACATTGGCGTGGCGCAGTGCCTGTCTGATCACGGCGCCTCCGTGCTCGACAATGCTCGGCACTTCGGGGGAGTCTCGTCCAATGCCCTGGTGGCCGCTGTCATGGCAACGGCCCCGGAAAATCTAGCCGTAAGTTCTCCACGCATGCGGAGTGCTTCTTATAACATTTAATGTGTGATCACAATGTGCATAATGTGAATTCATATTTTTTTTGGTACAGCTTTGAAATTATCCGGATTTTGGAACTACCGGTATTGGGTGGATGAATATTACTTCATAGACGTTACTCAAGCAGCCATCAAACTTCAATGGACACTTGTTTCGGGATGCCTTTTGACAATAGAGCAAACTAAGGCCTTCATCTACATCCTGTGCCAAATATGACATCAAATTTAAATAATGTGTAACCCCGTTGCCAGCTCCACGTGTTTGGGCAAAGTTCTTAAGCTCGAAACAGCGGCTTTTAAGAGATTTTGAAAATAGAAGAAATCTTGAATTTGACTTGCCAGTATACAAGATGCAGTTTGACAGCAAATACTCTGCACTGACATCAAGCCACAAACATTGCAAGTGTCTTCAACAGTTGTAAGTTTTAATTAACGTTGGTCTTCTTGCAGAAATATCTGTACGCATTGTACGACATCGTGGACGAGGTCGCGCCACTTCCGTTTGGCGCGCTTTCTCAGGGCTTTGACTTCGTGGATCGTCTACGCAGAGCGCTCAGTGAAAACCTACCAAGCGATGCACATGAAAAGGTAGCCTATACTATTGACCCATGGTGCTTCATTAATTTTGTTCTGTATTGAGATGGTATACCATTGCTCTACTGAAAAAAAACCCGCAATTCTTTGTGTTGATGAGGGAAAGTCAGCATTTTGCCAAAATAAACAGGTTCCCATAGATGACGCCAAAGGTAAGTTACGTATGTTCATTCCTTGATTACTTTACACAAAGGACCATAACCAATCTGGGGTGTTTTTTTTTTTTTTTTTTTTTTTTTTTACAAATAAAGTCTACATTTCGTCATAAAAATTGACCAAAAGTGTATGGCTAAAGCCGCAATTGCTGGAAATCGTATTGTGTGTACATGGCATGAATTTGAACTATGTGTCCGGCCACGGACCTGTAAGGAAACAACATTTTTGTTTCAACGATCGACACTCTTATTCGACAGGCCACGAATCGACTACACGTCAAGGCGACCGCACTCAATCAGGTCGACAAGTACCAATCGGTCAGCGTGCACGACGTGGACCAGGGAACGAGTTCCAGCATACGCACCCGGGGACCCAAACAGTTCGAGATTGGTGACCGGTGCTGGAAGATCGGGCACGAGGTTGAGATCTCCAGCTACGAAAGCCGGGAAGAACTTATCGAAGTATGAAATTCAATCCAAAATAAACATAGCTTTGCAGTTTATACCAATTAAGAGACACAACAATATATAATCCAAACACCGTGCGTTTGTTTACCGTAAGATGGGCCTACATGAAAGATACACGCTGGATCCCAATTTTTCTATTGCAGTTTTTACTGCAAATAAATCATTTTTGATGTAGCGGGAATCGGTCTGTGATGAATATACACAATGTACATCTTGGGTGTAAATACTATTTGAAGTATCACCTTGAATATGTAAAGCAATCGCCGTCTTTATATTTAGAAAGATGACAGATTTTTTTGCAAATTATTAAGGAAAATTGTAAGTAAACAAACAATATTCTTACCTTTCTTTTGATTGCATGAAAAACATTGTAGATTTTTGCTGTATTTAAATATCCCTCTCATTTCTTGAATTCAGGTTTTGCTGGGATGTATCTACGTTCCATGGTTCCCCAGTTGGGATCCACCACATTATAATGGCCGCGTAAGTATCGACTTTTTTGTAACAATTAAAAAGGGTACTATCATTTTGTAAAGTTTAAAACACCAACGGTAGCTCCTTTTTAAGACAATGGTTAAAGACACAAGCAACCTTTCCATGTTGCACGTTTACAGTTAGTTTTACGTCTGTTGGGTAGTTAGGCCTATTCTAAACTGCACGCCTAGAAAACTTAATGTCTGAACTGTCTGTCTGTCTGTCCGTCTGTCTGTCTGGCCCATTTCGCTCCACTGCAGGATGAAGCCTCTTCACCAGTTTTCCATCTCACTCTATCTTGAGTTGTCTGTTGCCATGCAATGCCACTATGTGTTGTTAGTCCATCCCTCCATCTTCTGTTTTGTCTCCCTCTTTTCCTGGTTTAGTTGCTTGGAGTCCAATTGGTGGTTTTGCATGTCCACCGGTTGTCATACCTCCTTGCCAGGTGACCTGCCCACTTCCACTTCCTTGATTTAATAGTCTTAATAACTAGGCCCCCTATTATATTTAAACTCTTCAGTTCTTGGGCGATGCAACATTATCTCGCACCAGCAACCTTCCGGTCGATGTAGACTTCAGCTTCCATCCGTCCCACCGTCTCATACGGATCTCCCCGGACCCAAAATCCCGGGCCAGCATGCGAGACAAGCTCGCCTGCGGCTGGCAGGACACCACGGGCCAGCGGTTCGACATCAGCGCGCTGGAGATGTTCCGTACGGGCAACGGGCTGTACCCGCCCCCGAAGGGCCACCTGGAGGCCTGCTACGCGGACGGGTACGAAGACGCCACGCGGTTCCTCAAGTTTTACCACTGCTACCAGGACAGCCGGAAAGGGCTGGGTCCAAGAAGGGACCAGTACGCGGCCGTTCATTCCGTGGACGACTTGAGATAAAACTCGGGAAAACTGATTCTCGCTGGAACAATTTGAAACTCGTTGACATGCATGTACGTAGGACTACTGGTTGAACTCAAGTAAATATCATAAAAACAAGTGCAAGCAAAAAGAACGGGAAAGGCTATTATAAACTAAGTGAAAAATGAGCATTCTTATGTGTCAACATCGAGACATTATCACTACCAAACACAAACTTTCGACGATCCACTGACTGGTTTATGATTAAGTTTAATAAGTCTACAACCTGCAGGGTTTATGGCTTCGTCAGTTTACAGTCTGTTTTTGTTGTTGTGATTTCACGATCATATGGAGCCGCTTGATGACTTCGTCGGTGTACTAAAAATAGTGCGACTTCTTCAGTGTCTACAAACTGGCTTATGGCTTCGTCAGTTTACAAAGTATTTAATGACATCGTCAATCCACAAACTGGTTTGGACTTCAGAAGTCTACGAATCGGTTTAATGACTTAGTAAATCTACCGAATATAGCAATGGCTTCATTAGTCGATCCACTGACTGGTTTTGCGAGTTCGTCAATCCACAGACTAGTTTACATGACTTAGTAAATAATCATACAACCTGGTTTATGGCTGGTTTTGTTAAGACTTTTATAAGTGGACTGGCCTGGCTTATGGCTTCATCAGTTTATAAACTGGTTTAGGACTTCACCAGTGTACGAACTGGTTTAATGACTTGGTAAATGTACAGATATATTAAGACTTCATCGGTCTACTGGGTGGTTTATGACTCATTGACTGTCGATTTACAGACCTTTTACCTTCTTCTGTTAACAGACTGGCTTATGATTTGGTCAATCTATAGACTGGTGGCGGGGCCTATGGCTTCGTCAGTCTACGTAATGCATAATGACTTAATTTTGTCTCAGATCCCTTTTGTATGACGTCATCATACATACTGATATTGAGACAACATATTTACACGTCATCGTGGAACAAAACATGCGAAACTTCCGCCTTAAACAGATATCATAGATCACGTAGTAATATAAACATCCACATTTTCAAGACAACCTACTAATTTATATATGTTTGATGTACGATACGTTTACTATACAGCAATATTGTATCAGTTTGCATGTGACGTCAGAGAAATAAATTAGACTACGACACCACACGGACGCTTTAAACCAATGGATGCTTTATTTTAATATCACAATATTAATCCTTTATAAAAACAGAAATCTTCATAGTTAATAAATTGCACTTAATAATAAGCTGTACAGGTACTTAAAGGTGATGATCATAGACTAGCTAACCTACTCAGTGGGGCGAAGTGCTTTAACATTTTGTATACAGACAGATTGCATTTTGCGGCCATCTTTGGAGGTGTGCTTTATGTTAAATCATGAACAATGAATACACAAAAGGTCTACTCATGCGTATCCCTGTTGAACAAAAGAACACACCTCAAAGATGGCCGCAGTGCAAACGGTCTATTCAACTATCAGTTACTATAATTACCATAAGCGACTTCAAAGTCCGACATCCATTTCGACAATTATTATTGCTGTATCAATCTGATGCTGGTACCCCGCGGGACTAGTGTACGGTATTCAGGCAAATGAAAGGATGCTGGCAACCAGCTTGGAGACACAGCCGTTTTAGGCCTTATATTATAACCCCTTTGCTGATATGCGATGGTTTTGCGTATTTTGTTCAGATACGTCACTGGGGTCGGGGGAGGGGTGCCTCCCCCCTAAATTTGGGGAAGCAAAAATGACATTTTGATGGGGGAAAAAATTGCAATCTTCGGCAATACAGCAAAAACACTTATCAAATGGTCTTTACTTTTCAAGTTTCATGATCGGCACTCAAAATATGGCAGAGATTGGAAATGAACATTCACTGCCTCTGTAATGGGTGGTGGATTCACATAGAGTCGGGATGACCTCCAACTTTGGTGATATCTTTGGCTACTCTTTTATTGCCTGACATGAATTCGAGAACTATCTGGAAACATGACTAGCGCCTCTATGGTCTGATACTATTACAGCCTCCATCCCGCATGTTCTGTCATTGCTCCCACTCATCAAAACAGTGAAGAAACTATAGACTTTTTTGTCTAATTAATTAAGACTGTGTGTGAAATGGGCTTTCAGAGCTATGGCTCCGTCTATCCGGTTCGCTAGTGTGACGTTTCTTCAGTTTAAACCACGCCTACTGCACAGTAAGTAGCACTGGAACCGGAAGTTAACGCAATTTGAGTGTTTAACCAATGGGCGCTAGTAATCAGTGGTGCGCGCGCGTGCGGACGAAGTAACTGACGAACCGGATCGTCAGCATGTTGTCACGTGGTTGGAATGGGCGACGACCCGGACAATAGCTGCAGACTAGTGATTCGCAGGCGACGTAGACTTGCACACGAATGAATTTCTCTGAGGTAAAAACACTATTCCAGCGGGGTGGTAGACTAAGGCCCAGAGCTAGTCTCCACTCTCAAGCCACCTTTTCATTTCCCCCCACTATCGACTCACAAATTTGCCAACTGCTTACAATCAATAGCAAAAAGGTTCACGGAATCAAGGTCAAATAAATTAATCAGGTCGTCAAAAGCAAACCGGCAACGAACTCAGGGCACCAATAAATACATAATCATACATTACAAAACACCACTGAAGCAAGATGTACAGATAACATTTTACATCGTTCCGACCGGCCTTTTCTGGGCCATTCGCGAATGGGGAAGTTCGCCAAGTGGCTGCTCCTCTATACAGGTAACGACACTGTAATGAGTCGAGTATGAATGTAAGTTACCTATTAATTTAATAGTGCACTGTTTGTCACAATGCCATTTATCAATAAATACAAATATAATTTTATCAATGAAAATGAGAAGAAAACCAATTTCAAAATCCAATTTGCTCCAAAAAGTCCAAACTTTTATACTATTTCTTTGTACTGCGATCAAAGCCTTGCTTTGGTTTCACTATTAATTTTCCGTGCGGAGTGAAAAACGCTTCACTATTACGTTTCCGTGGGGAGTGAATAACGTTTCACTATTACGTTTCCTTGATGAATGAAAAACGCTTCACTATAACGTTTCCGTGGGGAGTGAATGACGTTTCACTACCACGATTCGGTGCGGAGTGAATAACGTTTCACTATTACGTTTCCGTGCGGAGTGAATAACGTTTCACTATTACGCTTCCGTGCTGAGTGAATAACGTTTCACTATTACGCTTCCTGGGGAGTGAATAACATTTCACTACTACGTTTCCGTGCGAAGTGAATAACATTTCACTATTACGCTTTCGTGTGGAGTGAATTACGAGTCACGGTGTTCCTTAGACTCCAACACAAGTCGTTTCTATTTTCAAATTCACACCTCACAAGTTGCTGCACGCACAGAGGCAAACGGCTCTTTTCAGTTTTTCCTTCCACAATTTGTAACATCTGCGACGTACGTTATGGACAAAAAAAGACAACTGTTTTACCATGATCCATTTCAGAATGAGCTTTATAAAAAGGGTCAAAGTTTACATACCTCCACTCATAATTTCTAGTTCTCTTGTAAAAAAGGGTACTTTTTGACATTTTAAAAATTGTATTAAATGTATATTTGTTTACGAAAGTTTGAGGGCCTATCGGAAAACGTTCAGTATACATGTAATTATGGCCTTGCAAAACATTCTTTTGAAAAAGTGGGGTTGGGAATGGGAAAGGATAGGCGTTGCCTAATAAGATTTTTGGAAGTAGGGTAACTTTAGGGGGGGGGGGCGTGGTGTGGCGTGGAATGCAGGTTGGAAGGGGGATTGGTAAGCACATTTTTTGGGTAGTAAGTATAAATAAGCCGGGTACCAGACACGAGCAACATACTTTACGTAACACTTTAGCTGGTAACCCTTTTTTCTGCTAAACAAACAATGTATGTGCTTAGCCAATCTGTGCTCCCTAGCTCCGTGAACTTTGGCCTCGGGTCTACAAAGGAATTTGAAGTTAGCTGCCAAACCCTGGCTCTCAGTGCCAAACGTTTTGTATCACATCGGGAACCAGTTTTTTCCATTCCTTAACCCTAACTCCCTAGCGTCTTTTACTAGGAACTGGACCAAGTCCATCAAAATCCATCAATCACTGTGCGTCCAATACAAAACTGTACATGACATAATGGAATCCACCACTGACGCACTGGTTGACATTCATGGACTTGCTAAACATGGCTTTTATCACAAAAGCAGTACAGCAAGCTAGGCAAAATCAATCGGATACCCCTAGCACTGCTTCAGGCCATTAGGCCCAAGTCCATCATACTCCATCAATATTTAGTCAAGCCAGGCCTTCTGGACCAGGTCCCCCAAAATCCACCAAAATGGGGGATGGATTTTGATGGAGTTGGGGTTGTTAGGGTTAATACCACAAAGCATGGGATTTATGGCACTCAATTTCACATGCTTATTTGGAATACGCCACTTAGATGTCTATTACACTAACTCATCTTCTGAATTACAGAAATTATTTCTTCCCCGTTTCAAGAACAGCATCTGTACGGTATAAGATCTGACGAACGTCTTGGCGTGACTTTTCTAACGGACTGACCCTAGACACACTCTAAAGCATCTACTTCTAAAAATTGTGCGACGCTCACTCTGCAAGAACCAAAAAAAAAAAAAATCATCATCAAAATAGAGGGTGACAATACTATTAGTAATTTGTCATGAATTCTTAAAAATCAGTTAAATAAAATATCCATCAATAGTAATATTGTATCTAGGTTAATTCATATTCACTGTATTTACAAGTACCACCCACTTCTTTGTACACAAAATTTTGATTATAGACAAAAAAATTAATAATTATAGTAATGACTGACCTTCATTGTGTCAGTTTATTTGTTTTTCTTAGAAATACTCAGCGTAATAAAAGTCCCTCAAATTGGAACCGCGTTAAGTTAAACAATTCCTTCTCATTGATTGAACTGTTTAATTAATACTCTTGATTTCATTATATTCCTGACACTATTATCCCCCCCAGAAAACAATTAATAATAATTGGGGGGAAAAATGAAGATAGCAAATATTTATGAACAATTATATACAGCACTGAGCAATTGTTAAAACGTTCCAAGTCTAAGACCTACGATTTCTATGGGCTACGCTTGGCTTAATAGCATTGTCATTTGTGTCTCAATCTGTCGGCGACATTCCTATTGGCTATGCTTTGCTTAATAGCATTGTCATTTTTGTCTCAATCTGACGGCGAAATTCTCTTACTGCGAACGCAAACCTCTCAGTTTCCACCCTGTGATAGGTTTAAATATCCAGCAAAATCCCTACAATTTGATATTAAAGATACGACTATGGTATGTTTCTGTCCTGACGACTACGACTACTTAACGCTCAATAGCTCCGAGACATAATGACGTCATGCTTTGTTTACATGTACACTTTCCTTATGGGAGCCAGACGGGGACGAGAGCCACTGAGCTCCAATGAGCAGGATTGTTGGACTCGAGTCCAAGACTCGGACTCGAGTCTCTGTCTCGAGTCGCAATTTCTGTGACAGGGACTCGACTCGAGTCACGTCGGTAAAAGACTCGGACTCGACCATCATGACTTGTAGTTAGTGATTCGTCACTTGCAAGTCACATATTTTTTTTCCCCCAAAGAACATTAATTTTTAAAAACATCACTCTGATGATTATTTTCCGAAAGTAACGTTAAAGCAACACTTCAGGTGGTGATGCCAATAACACTGTTTGTTACATATTTAATATGCGCCCATCCCTATGTTCAGCGACAGTGGCTCACTGAGGCTTACATGTATGACTTGTGTAGCCATATCCTTTCACTCGTGACTCATGACTTGGACTCAAACTCAACCCAAGTGACTTGAGACTCGGACTCAACCTAAGTGACTCGAACTCGACCCAAGTGAATTGAGACTCGGGCTCGACCCAAGTGACTTGAGACTCGGACTCGACCCAAGTGACTCGAACTCGACCCAAGTGAATCGAGACTCGACCCAAGTGACTCGAGACTCGGGCTCGACCCATATGACTGGAAACTCAGACACAGACTCAACTAGAGTGACTATACTACAACACTGCCAATAGGAAGTCCGAATTGTCCCAAGTGACTCGAGACTCAGACTCGACCTCGAACCAAGTGACTCGAGACTCGGAATTATCCAAAGTGACTCGAGACTCGGGCTCGACCCAAATGACTGGAGACTCCGACTCGACCCAAGTGACTCGAACTCGACCCAAGTGACTCGAACTCGACCCAAGTGACTCGAGACTCGGGCTCGACCCATATGACTGGAGACTCGGACACAGACTCAACTAGAGTGACTATACTACAACACTGCCAATAGGAAGTCGCGCATGAAAACAAACTGTGACGTCACTATGTATCAGGTCTACTGAGCAGCTGTCAAAATGGTTCTATCCCCATTTTGAAAAACTTGGCAATATTTTTTTTTCTTGGCAAGGGCAAAGAAGTCAGCTTTTTTTTCAAAGACATTTTCTAGGCATGTGACTGAATCCAAATTTTTTTTTAAACTTCAGGCGACTGAACTCAAGCACTACTTTGAAAATTTGCACTGCAAGTCCGACCAACGGCTGAAAAAAAATGTTTTTACAACGTCACATGCGGAAAACAAAACAAAAGAAAGAATCAATTTGGTCATCAGTTCATTCAAGTCACCACCCACGAAAACCTACAATTTGTTTCTTTTTACAATCACAACAAATGCAGCATGGATATGTTGGAAATAAAAATCACTTCTGACGAACATAAAAAAACCCACAAAAGTCATTCTTTTGCAAAAACGCAGAGCTGGTGGAACCCCAACTCAATATTGAAAAAAAAAAAAAAAAAATTGGCATGATCCTGAATGAATTTGATTGCTGTCACTTTTAATAAAACACACAGAAAGAAGTTATTGCCTTTTTATGTCATCTGGAAACGCAACAAAATAAAAAAATGCACATTAAAAAAATGTCTAATTAAAAGTTAAAAATAAGAGGAACTTAGGGGTTCTGTACGTGCTGGCGCCCTCTGTTGTTTGAAATGATTAAAGCACAAAACACTGAACACTCATTGCAACTGCACCCGAGGGCTGTAAGAAACTGGCCAGTAGGGGGCGCTCATCACGATACACAGTCCTGGATTTTGCTGATCCACTCTTCGGCTGCTGGTTTGGTGTCGGCGACAAAGTTGTACGATCTTCTCGTCGTCTTCAACTGTGAAAACAGAAGACAAAAATCACGGGTGAAAAATGCACTTTGTTTTTAAAATTTACATTGGATGCAATACAGGTTTTCCCCACAAAAACCTAATAAGTCGAAAACCAACTAATAAAGGAATATTGCATGTGAGTGACTTTAGGATTATTTTCAAATTACTTCTTAAAGTCAGATAACCAATCTGCCGTACAATCTGTATTTCATTCAAATCGATGCATTGGAACTAAGGCTATATGCTTCACCAAATTCAAGGGTTGAAAATCGTCTTGGGCCACTTTCCTTGAAAGTGAGAAAGGGCAGTTAGAGAAACACACAAAGGATATATTTCCTTTGTTCGAGAGGAACATGTGACTTATTCTACCAGCTTCGATCTGTAAGCTTGATAAATAATTGAAAGTGGCCCAAGTGGTTCTTCAAGTCCCGTATTGTGATTGCTGTACCTTTGGAACAAAACATCCCAATGAAACCAAATAAAAAGCATTTGGAAGATCAATTATTCTACTCGGCAATACATTAGACATGATTTTGAGTACTACCCCCACTTTTCTAAAAACATGCACGATTCAACTGTTTTTTTATTATTATTATTATTATTAATGGTTTATTATTCTATTCTATCGCCGCCAGCAGCGGAATTGCAGAATAGTTACATAACAAATAAAATTACACAGAGATTTAAAGAATAACCATCATGAAAGGGCATAGGAAGGGAGGGAGTGATAGGGATGGGTTGAGGGGAATGGAGCTGGGAAAACATGTATGGTATTAAAGTACACAGATACAAAACAAACAGTAAAAATCGAGAAACAGTTTAGTGAAATTCAAATGCAATAAAAACCAGGCTTCCTTTTTAAAATTGTTTACAAACAGGCTGTAAAACCGCACAGGATGAAAAAAGGTTGGGAAAAGAGGATGGAAAGGTTGGGTGTACACAGGGGCAGAGGTTGATACACGTAGGATAGGGAAGTTGTCTTGGGGATGGAAGGCATGGGAAGGGAGGTTGTTATATGAACAACAGGATTGTGGAAGGGAGGGGTCAAAGGTAAAGAAACACAACGGGGAACACTCAAATGTTACAATGTTACAAACACTCAATGTTGTGCGACAACCTGTATGTCATGTATGTCAAAGAGAGAGACAGTCGGGGCAGACCACTGAAATGGATGTTCAAATGTATTACTGCCCTCTGGTTTGCGTACTTTGCGCTGTCGCATGTCAACCATTACGCGCACATGTCCCGTCCACTTGGCTCTCGAATGCCAATCCACTAATTTGTGTTGAATAGAAGTTGAATACATTTCAACTCCGGCAAATTTCGTAGAGAAAATTTCATGATGTAAAATCTGCTTTGCATGCGCATTCGCCTGAAGTATGTGATGGCCTTTAATTTGTCATGGAACTTGTTGCTTAGAGCTCACAGATTATTACTATTAATTTAACCCTAACAGAACACAACCCATCAAACCCCAACGGCATGTTTTGTTGGAATCTGTCAGGATGGGTACAGTACCCCTAAACTGACAGTCTTTTACATTGGGTTGGGCACACCTCCAGAATCAAAGTCAGAAATAAGTGTGTGCAGTTTCCCATATGGTGTTGGAAATTTGACAGGATGGGTACATGTGTGGTTCCTAGTAAATCATGCTAGGGAGTTAGGGTTAAGTTCTACATGTAACTATTGCTATAATTATCCTTGTGGATGAATGGGCAAAAAAGAAAGACATTCTCAAAGCAAATGTTGGTTGGGGGTTAAAGGAGTATTACTTACATCAAAGAACGCATTCTCGTCGCATTTCTTGGGAGCTCCTGCCGTAGGGAATGCCGGTTGGACTGACTCCACTTCCTTCAAGTCGATGATGCCCTTGAAGTGGGGGTCATTCCTGGTCTCGTAGTATCGCAGCTGGGAAAGAAAAAAAAGAGTTAACAGTTTCTGTTAACTAGCTAGTTTCTAGCTAGTTTCTGCTAGCCAGCTAGTCAAGTTCTCATCTGGAATCATGATGCCCCTCGACGAAATGGTCGTCCCAACATGACCCTGGAAACATCCATCGAGCTAGAAACTGGTCTGAGTGGTCCATCTCTCTCCAACACTATGCTCGACAGGGACAGTTGGGCCCAACTCAACAAGTCATCATGAAATGAATGAGTGAAGAAGAAGAAGTATTTCAACACAATTAATGCACTCGCGCCTGTAATACATTGTGTCTATTCACCGATGAATACATAAAACCATAGAGTGCTTGTGTGGTTTTTAAGCGTTACAGGAGTAATAGCCAGGTCAGTTTGGGGCGGTATGGGCTCCGTGCGCAAGTACCCCGGCCAGAAAAGGAGAGTTGGGGGAGACCTAGGTTCCCGGTCCATCCACTGCGTATTTCGAATGATCCAAAGTTATTGGGGGCGGGGATTAGTCTGGGAGACCACCGCAAGTTAAATTTGAACGTATTCGCGCATCGACAATGCCTGAAGCTCATGCGAAGACGCCATGGCTAATAGCTTTGGCACATTCAGGAAGTCGTGCGTACTTCGCGGGCGAACCAGTACAGTACATACGCACACGCTGTGTCCTGTCCACAGAGCTCTCCAAAGTGGCCGAGCTCTCAAAAGTGGTAAAAACGTTGTTTTGTTGGCACGCAGAGCCCATATTGACTAAAAGGTGAAAACAACCAACACATTTTGCTCCTTTAATTTGAGTGTTTTATGCTGTATTTACTGCTTACAGTCTTCATGAAAATTGTATGCTTAGCGATTTCATTCAGGAGGTCAAAGACAAGGACAAACAAGAACATAACAAGCAGGAGTAACATTAAACATTAAGTTTAATAAAGTAGTATGAATATGAGTTAAGCAGTTCTTTATAAATATAGATAAAGTTAAGCAGTTCTTTATAAATATAGATAAAGTTAAGCAGGTCTTTAATAATACGGTCCTCAGACTATTCCAGGAGTTAACATGATTCAAAGGGGACCTCTGTTATGTGAAACTGTCCTGCCCGGTCAAGTAGTGGCCGAGAATACTGGGGAAACAATTCTGAGTATCCGTCCAAGAGTAAAAGCTACAGGATGATGTTCTACAAGTTATCCAAGATATTTCACGAGGTGACTCATGAAGGCTCTTGAGACTTTTCACCTGGTGTTTCTGGGAGTCCAGTACGAACCATCTCTGCTTCCAGCCTTTTAGTCTGGCCCCCCGTTTGAAGAGGTATCCGTCGTGGGTACTTGTCTCGCCGATCTTAGCGTAGAACTGCTCATAGCCTAGAAGGGGAGGGAAAAACATACATTGTTTGTGTAAAAGCTTGATTTTTTTAACCTTCGGAGATGACACTAAAAAAATCACACGGAGTAGCCACATGCAAGGTCATGCACAAGATATAGGGCAGTCACATGGTCTTTGTGTGGGCCAGGATTGTTTATAACCTGTCTGAGCTCTGGGCGGCACGAGGGGTTGGCACAGAGAGATCAGCGGCACAAAGGGGTTATAACTATATTTGGAAAATGTGGAGAATTTTATCACCTCCTGGCTTCTCCGAGGGTTGGTGGGTCATCTGTCCATAAGCATGATATTGCTGTCAATGGAAAGGGTTGGGGGTGAAGGGGTGTACATGTATACCACCCCTTTCTGATCTTGGAAATGGAATGACTAATTTATATGCAATTTATACTAAAAAATCTGTAGTACATGTACCTGATACAACTGGCGGTGCAACCGGGGTGCCAGCACTAGTCACTTCATCCGAGGTTGGCCTGGAAGGTCCTGCGCTAGGCTCCTTGGTGGATCCGCGCCGTGTGCACTGCTTGGGGACCTTGGGCACGCAGTCTTCGTGGGCGTTGTAGCCACAGTCTAAGCACTTCATGCCTGCAGAATTCAACCAACAAGTCACAAATAGTCAATCATTAACCGTGGCTCAATGGTTATTGTGTCTGACTCACGGTGCTTATGTTCTTGGGCAAGACACTTTACTACAATTGCCTCTCTCCACCCTACCAATAAGTCACAGATAGTCAATCATTAACCGTGGCTCAATGGTTATTGTGTCTGACTCACGGTGCTTATGTTCTTGGGCAAGACACTTTACTACAATTGCCTCTCTCCACCCAACCAATAAGTCACAGATAGTCTATCATTAACCGTGGCTCTATGGTTACTGTGTCTGACTCATGATCACGATGCTTGTATTCTTGGGCAAGACACTTTAGATTGCCTCTCTCAACCCAGGAGTATAAATGGGTACCTTTGAGGGCAGAGACCAGATTGCGCTGATCTCGAGCTTCTGCGGAAACAGGGGTAATATTTGTGATGCACTTTGAGATTTTATTATTATTATCATTATTACTATTAAAAGAGCAAGGTTTTGGGTTCACCTTAGAGCTGAGGGGAGGGAAAACTCCTTTTAGGATCTCGGAAATGGAAACGGAAATGGATTTTTATGAAATATTGTACACTAGTAGAGACATTCATCATGAGTTTATATGTGCAAAGTTAGCTCAATCAGACAAACTATTTTTGATCTCTAATATTCCACTGTTCCATCTGTGAATGATTTCATTTCGCTACACATAGCCAATGAAAAGGAACCCCATGTTAAACCTCGATGTTTATGAAATTGGTGAGAAAACACAGACAAGGCATCAATCTACAAACACACAATGGCTCAACACTAAACAAAAATGGGGCCCCAAACTCTTTTAGGATTAAGGGACAAGTTTTAGGCTATATCACATGAAGTGACTGTCTAAAATGCTGTTTGATTATTGCTATGTAATTCAGGCGATTCACAATGCAGTGCCCCACCAAGAGTTTGCCACAGAGAGTCCACTTTTCAAGTTTACAATCGACAAAACATTTGAATGAGTGTCAGTAGACACTTGAGCTAATTTGTTATAGATTGGGACATAGCATTCTGCCACCTTACAAAAAACACCATATTGATAAAAAGAAAAGGGCAGGGCAAACAACTACTGACCGGAAAAAAGAACAATTTCAAACAACTCGCGCTGCAAATTTGTCGACCATCCCCCACAATGCACTAAGAAATGCATTGTGAATCGCCCAAATTCAGATGTGTGCGCTACACAAGTTTTCAATATGAAAATTCCTTGTAAAACCTGTTTTAAAATGATCGCCCTTCGTACCTTTGCATCCCTGTTTGACAGCCCCAAAGAGCAGGTTGGAGCACAGGTCGCAGTCCGTGGGAGTCATGTAGGAGTGAGCCTCAAAGCGATGCTGGAAGGCAAAACCTCTGGGTTGGGGCTCAATGATGTGCTTGCCCTGGTATAGCACATAAGACAATGGGTGGGTGAAAGCAAATACTCCATACTTTGACAAGATAAGTTTGCGGTAGCACCATGTGAATAAATCTCTTTTGTGAGTATGTGTGGTTCTGAAAAGAACCGGAGGGACTCAACGTTTCGAACAGTATGCTCTGCCCGTCATCAGGTGAATGAGGGATTCCAACGATGATGCGAATCCCTCATTCTCCTGACGACGGGCAGAGCATACTGTTCGAAACTTTGAGTCCCTCCGGTTCTTTTCAGAACCACACATACTCACAAAAGAGATTTATTCACATGGTGCTACCGCAAACTTATCTGTCTTAGTATCTTCCCACCATGCAAACCTTCAAATCTCAACTCCATACTTTTACTTGTCCCAGGAGGCCACTATGGGCTCCGCGTACCAACAAGAGAGGGCGCTTTTTGATGGCTTCCTAGAGCCCTGTCGACGAGACCATGTGTGCGTACTGGTTCGCGTACGTGTAGCGCGAAGCATGCACAACTTTGTTTATTCTAACTGTGCACAAAGTCATAGCGTCTTCGCCGTGAGCGTCAGGTGTCGTCGTCAATGTGTCCGAATGTCTCTCCCAGTGGTCTCCCCCAACTCTCCATTTCCTACCGGTGAGGGGGTACTTGTGCACGGAGCTAATAGTGTCCTCTTTGTCCAAATTCTGACTGTCTGCTTGTCATTTGTGATTCAGACTCGTTGTGGGCACACGAAAAAGAGGGCTGGGCAGTGCTATCATATAGGATTACTGTGTACCACCAATGGATTGGATAAATCCAACCCATTGTGTACACCGGATGCACAAAACGATTTCCAGTGAGTAGCTGTTCTGAGTCGACTGAGCTGCTACTAGGTTTGCCTTGTCTTGTTGAATGAATGAGAGCAATGTAACAATGCCATTACTGGGTACAAACACCAGAAATTATCACCTTTTACTGAAGCAATTTAGCAACTTTACTTCCATCCCCGAATTAAATACTGCAAAACTTCAATTTTTGAAATTTAGCAACATGCATACACTTATGTTTAACCCCGGATTCATTTCAGGGGACCGGACAGCATCATACCAATGGGGGTGCTGTTCATACAGATGATGTTTGACACTATCGGAGAATAGGTGGCACTTTTGTTGCAGCATATACACGTTTGTATCTGCTAACAGACACATGATTTTGCTGGCAAGACAATTTTGCCGACAACAAAATATTGTGGGGGGAGGGGTGTCACACTCCCCACCCCTCAGCGACACCTCTCATCAGTATCCCATAATAGAGATGACATTGTTAATTTAAAAGTCTGAAAATTGGATGAAAGGTCTGACAAATGCACTTTTTTTCTACATTATTAAAGAGGTTGTGGAATGCTCGAAGACATTTCCGTCATTTTTTGGGTATATGTAGCCTAAGGTGTGATGAAATAAAAACGACTATTGTTTCTGTCATGAAATGAGTACAAAGGTTACTTTTGAGAGCTATTTTTCAGGTCCTGTTTCAACCCGAACGTGCAATTTGTGTAAAAGTCGTCGTTGCGGGCAGCAAACAAAACACACTAAATCGTGACGTAATAAACAGGACTTGTTTATGCTACTCTGCATCGGGAGTCCTGTTTATTACGTCACGATTTACTGTGTTTTGTTTGCTGCCCGCAACGACGACTTTTACACAAATTGCACGTTCGGGTCGAAACAGGCATGACAGGACTTGAAAAACAGCTCTCAAAAGTACCTTTTGTACTCATTTTATGACAAAAACAATAGTCGTTTTTATTTCATCACACCTTAGGCTACATATACCCGAAAAATGACGGAAATGTCTTCGAGCATTCCACAACCTCTTTAATGACTTTTTCTCAGATTCAAAAGTAAACTGCTCACCTTGACCAAGATATCGATGGTGGTCTTCTTGTGTGCTGACATGCTCTGTTGTTGGGCTTCCTTGATGGACAGTGACTTCCTGCGGACTCTGCTAGGGAAGCTCTTCTGGGCACGGTCTAACCGTGTCTTCCAGTGCTGCGGCGTCCGACCCAAGTCACCTTCCAACTGCATCATTTCCTAAAAAAGTAAAACAGAAGAAAAACAAGAGCTACTTTCGTGCAAAAACACAAACCAGTTTACCTTGAAAACGCAGAGTTTAATTCTTTTAATGTAATTTTTTCATTTTTAAAAAGTGAAAGGGCCTTACGTTCGGTCCAAGCAAAGACAAAATGACAGGGGTACATAATTAAGTAGGGGACCACAAGCATGCATTGGTGGAAGGAAAAATACAACGTGGGATTACGCACCAAACACTTATAAGGTATCCTGCCACTGTCTTCCTAGCATTTCATGGTACTAAAAAGCTATGAACACCACTACAACTATAGAAACTGCAAGTAAATGCAACTAGAACTGAGACAACTAAAAAGCTATGAACAAAACTACAAGTATAGAAACTGCAAGTAAATGCAACTAGAACTGAGACAACTAAAAAGCTATGAACACCACTACAGCTATAGAAACTGCAAGTAAATGCAACTAGAACTGAGACAGCCGAAACTGATACTTTGACCTACCTCTAGGTACCACATGTGCATATCGGGCTCGGCCTGCGTGGCGTTATCGTAGCAGTTATTGATGACCCTGCGGTCTGACGGCACTAGCGGCATTTCCTTGTCTTCGGCCGTGGCCAGGTCAAAGAGTTCCCGGTCAAACGAGGGCCCGCCGGCCAGGTCTTCCTGGGTGTAGAAATCCCAGATACTCAGGCTGGAGATGTTGGTGTACGGCCGAAGGACCTTGGTGACAAAAATTTCAAAACAAAAATTCAAAAACCAATGAACCCTTTGATTATCATGTTGAAAATCTCACCCTAGTCCCCAGCTTCGGATCCAGTTTACGATGTAGATAAATCCAGGCACAAGATCACTTTACACTCACGAAACCCCCTTCAATGGAGAACCCATCGTGCACGCTACTGTACAAAGCAACTGCACCGTGCCGGATTATCTGAACAATAGCTAGCACAATGTTATCGCCATTGTAGGGGGCCTTTGTGATAGAATTGACAACGTGCTGGGATCGGTCTACAGGTTGACAAGACTTCAAAGGTAGATCCAGAGAGAAGGGAGATCTACAACAGGGGCCATGCCCCCCCCCCCCCCCTTACCACCACTAAGTGTAAATTTGTATTTGTTTTCGCAATGAAACCCCATGACATGGCAGCTGTTTTTAAAGCGATGCTTTTCATCCTCTTACCAACTATTGACTAGTACTACTGACTGTCCATTAATTTGTATATTATACAGACGAATCGAAAATATTGACCCATGGAAGAGGTTCATGGAAGAGGTTCATGGAAGAGGTTCATGGAAGAGGTTCACTATGGACTAGTACTACTGACTGTCCATTGATTTGTATATTATACTGACGAGTTGAAATATTGACCAATGGAAGAGGTTCATGGAAGAGGTTCACTACGGGTTAGTACTACTGACTGTCCATTGATTTGTATATTATACAGACGAGTTGAAATATTGACCAATGGAAGAGGTTCATGGAAGAGGTTAACTATGGACTAGTACTACTGACTGTCCATTAATTTGTATATTATACAGACGAGTTGAAATATTGACCCATGGAAGAGGTTCATGAATATGCATGAGGTGTAATAAAACTTTGAACAAGCTTAGGGCCATCTCAATTCATATCCGGGACGATTTCCGGACAAGTTGTGGGCACTGTATCGGGTAAGAGTTGCAGGATTCTGAACAACTTCCCCGCAATCTTCCCGCAATGAAGTTATCAGTATTGATGAGTCAAGCAGTTGCTAATGAAAATGTCCGGTAAGCGTAATTTTTTTTCCTAGGAGGGTTAGGGGCAATGTCATGAATAATTCAGTTTTTCCTTTGAATCATTGCAAGACTTAGGTTCTCGTTCTATTTTCCCCTTAATTTAAAATTATCTCAGTGATAAATTTGGAGAAGAAAAATAGCTGATGAAAATGAGCAGCGATGACGTGGATTCGAACCAGGGATCTTTGTATCCAAAGCTCATCTTGCTATCCACTAGGCTACTGTGTGGTAGCTCGACGACAGTCGTTCTTTAAAATGCTTTAATGTATTGTAACTAGTTGAGTAACTAACAACAATGCTGTTGATGTCATTGTCCGTTCTCATGGATAAACATGGATAAACATGGATAAACATGAATAAACATGAATTATTCATGACATTGCCCCTAACCCTCCTAGGAATAAAAATTACGCGTCCGGTAACAAATGCAGAGCTTCTGCCGCGGACAAAGTGAATGATTCCACCACACAACTTGTCCGAGACTCGTCACGGATCCGACTTGAAACAGTTCAGGCCCTTACCGGTGTGTGGGGCGCAAACATGAGGTTGTAGAACAACGGTTGTTTGCAGTTGATCTTGATAATGTACTCCCAGAAGGATCTCATGGGGGTCTTGGATTTGTTGGGATCTCCCAATTCATCATGGCCCTGCTTCTTGTCCTCAAAGACTGAGTTGGCTTTATAAAAAAATTGACAAAGAAAAATTCAATGATTTCAAATTTTTAATTTTATTATTTTCTATTTCTGACATGAAAGCTGTCATCAATCCATCAATCAAAAGACATTTATAAAGCGCCGAAATCAAAAAGTTTGCTCTAAGATGCTGATGGGGCACCAAATGAAGAATCATTACTGATGGTGCGCCTCCTGAAACAAGAGAGCTTTCAGGAGTGTCTTGAATGTATGCAGTGAGGTGGTATCTCTAATGTATTCTGGAAGTTTGTTCCAGATTCTGGGGCCGTATACAGAAAATGATCTATCAGCAAAAGAGACACAATGGGTTCTGGGCTCAACAAAGTGCAGTGAACAGGAGGTTGATGATCGAAGTTTTCTCCGTTGAGAATTAATGTGGAGCATGTCCGTGATGTAAGTAGGAGCTTGTTTCCAGTAAGCTTTAAACATGAGAATGATGACCTTGTAGCTGATCCTTTGCGTGATTGGAAGCCAGTGTAATTTGATGAGTTCAAGAGTGATGGAGTCATAAGTCCATGTTGTAGTTGAGTCCACCACAAGTCCTTTCACCAGTCCAGTTACAAGAAACAGGAGGTGAGCAATAGCAAAGGAATGTCTTTGTTACAATTCATTTGAATAGCTTGTGACTTGAATTGTCACTGGAGGACTTGTGATGGACTTGTGATGGGCTTGTGATGGACTTTAATGGACTTGTGATGGACTTGTGATGGACTTGTGATGGACTTGTCATGGACTTGTGATGGACTTGTGATGGACTTGTGATGGACTTGTGATGGACTTGTGATGGACTTGTGGTGGACTTGTGATGGACTTGTGATGGACTTGTGATGGACTTGTTATGGACTTGTGATGGGCTTGTGATAGACTTGTGATGGACTTGTGGTGGACTTGTGATGGACTTGTGATGGACTTGTGATGGACCTGTGATGGACCTGTGATGGACCTGTGATGGACTTGTGATGGACTTGTGATGGACCTGTGATGGACCTGTGATGGACCTGTGATGGACCTGTGATGGACTCGTGATGGACTTGTGATAGACTTGTGATGGACTTGTGATGGACTCGTGATGGACTTGTGATGGACTTGTGATGGACTTGCAATGGACTTGTGGTTGACTTGTGGTTGACTTGTGATGGACTTGTGATGGACTTGCGATTGACTTGTGGTTGACTTGTGGTTGACTTGTGATTGACTTGTGATGGACTTGACTCCATTACTGGAACTTAAGCTACACTTCCATCGTGTATTAAGGATCACATATTTTGGTTTTTTGGGGGCAAAAATTGCAATACACTTAATACAATGTTGAAAGAGTTACAGCTATTCCATTAGCAAGATACTTACACGCGTCAAACCTTGCAAATTCGGAGTCCAACATGAACGTCTGGAAGCGGTTTGAGACATGATGATAGGCAATGGTCTTCAAGAAATACTGGTTGAATTCGAAGGACATCGGGAACTGTGCCTGCACCTGGGAAACCAGAATTTAAACAAATTAAGATTAACAATGAATTTCACATTTTTTTTCAACCCCACATTGGTCATTTTCATTTTTGTTTATGGTCGAGTTTCTGCATTTTTTCTTCTAATGTCGCACATATGATGACATACATGTACATGTACAGCCACTGATTTGCACCATTTCAATATTTTTTGAAAGATTATCAAGGATTCCATATTCATGATTTCTGCATATTCATGAATTTGAATATTCATGAGCTACCTGATACACGCAGTCCAGGAACTGCAGGAACACTGGGGCAAAGCCGCTGGCCTGATGGGCCATGGTCTGGTTACTGCGATGCGTGAACCGATGACCAAACGCCAACCACTCCTTCTCTATCAGAACCTGAAAGCCCTCTAAGGTCCGGTAGTATGGATCCATCAACAGCTGGGCTAATGACACCACCTGGGGGAGGATAATATACAAATATTACATGGTTTGCAGGGAAATAGTGAGAATCAGTTAACACATAGGGACCAGCAATTTTGCATTACCACCCCCAATTAAATCATGTTATAATAATGTTCTTATGACGCCTCATGCATAATTCACATGTTGCTTAACCATTAGTTACTGAACCACCTGAAAATGCCCTGCCTATTATTCCTCGTAGTGCCAGAGCGCCACAACTAAGCGAACCAAGAGGTCTGTTTACATTTTGACCGTTGGTCAATTCTTTACAGGTTTCAGTAGTGGAACCAACAAAATAGAAGGGCACCGAATGTCTTAGGTCAGTTCTCTGGTTCCAAATTCCAGTGCACAGGCCTAGGCCCTACAAGACACTGTACGTACCTGAGTTGTGAAGTCCCAGCCTTCTTCAAAGCTGAACATTACAGATGATCCCTGAAGGTCCATGAGGTCAACGGCTGCTCCAGCCAGCTGCATAATGCTCTGGACCTAAAGGGACAGGTGTCAAGCAATGTTTACTTTAGGGATTCTCTGATATGTTCACTTTGGTGACTTTGAGAAAAAGCTTCGAAGTTTGCACAGGGATTTGAATCTTTGAATTCGCGATTACCGTACTGGCACTCTTCAAACCGAGAGCCATCAGGCACCATGTTAGCAGCCTTCCCATTTGTCAAATAAAGCATAGATTTATTTTCCGTTGACCAATTTTCCAAGTAGTTTTTTTTTTATACCTGGACCAGCCACTCCGATTCCTCTACGAGTTTGTAGAATCCACAGTCGGGGTCTGTCAGCACCGTGCTGGGCACGCAGGCCTTCATCAGCTTCTTCAGGCTGTTCTTGGTGTGCCGCGTCTCTTGAAAGTCGTACGGAATGAAGTCGCACTTGTTGAACTGTTCCAACTTAAACGGCTGCCATAAAGAAATGGAGGTAGCATGGGTTTTTAAAATTATATTTTGTATCTTCTGCAGGTGAAGGCAGGCTCAACCCAATCAAGACTTGGGGATCAGGAGAGGATGTGGATAGGGTTGGAAGGTGGGGGTTGGAAGGTGGGGTTGGAGGGTGGGGATTGGGGATGGTGATAGGGATGGGGGTGGGGTTGGGGTTTGGTTTGGGGTTTGGGTTGGGAGTGGGTGACTTAGGGGTCAGGGATAGGGGATGGGGTGGTGATGTAGGGGGGGGGGGGAAGATGGGGGTGGCGATGTAGGTGGGGATTGGGGATTGGGGATGGGGACGGGGATGGGGACAGGGATGGGTGTGGGGTTGGGATGGGAGTGGGTGACTTAGGGGTCAGGGATAGGGGATGAGGTCAGGGATAGAGGATGGGGTGGCGATGTGGGGGGAGGATGGGGGTGGCGATGTAGGTGGGGATTGGGGATGGGGACGGGGATGGGGACAGGGATGGGGGTGGGGTTGGGGTTTGGGTTGGGAGTGGGTGACTTAGGGGTCAGGGATAGGGGATGATGTCAGGGATAGGGGATGGGGTGGTGATAGGGGGGGGGATGCGGGGGGCGATGTAGGTGGGGATTGAGATGGGGGGGGGGAGCAGTGGAAGGGGTTTCTTTGACAGTCAGTTGACCTGTAAGCACGCGCTTCATCAGAAACTCCAGGGGAAGGGTTTGCACACTTTGCCAATAACACCCCCAATAGCATTATAATGGATGAATTTCAAATAAGCTCAGCCCTAAAACATTCTGGATGCTTGTTACATGTAGGAATTTGCCAATATACATGTATCTCCAGCAGGCTTCCATCAGAGTGACTCATCCCCATTTTTAAACATGTACGGGTAGGTGTCATTGATACCCTTATCAATTCTGTGGGGATGTTTACATCTCTCATGGCAACCAACTGAAAAACCATAGAAATGTGATTTTTAAAACCAACCTGGCTTTTTTGTTTTTGTAAAGCTTCCACTTCTGGCAGTATTGTACAACCAATGACACCAATGTAACAGAATACCAATCACAATTTATGCAAACTTCAATAAAAACGATAGCTGAAGAAAAATGATATTATTATTAACACATACGTTTACTCCAACTTGTGGAGTTGTATGAAAGGAACTCACCCTGGACTGGGACTTCTCCCCAAAGATGTAGAGCGCGGCCTTGCGTGGGTCTTTGTCCCTCTTGGCCGCCAGGTCGTAGTCGGTCACCGATCCGTTACGGCTCACTGCATGTGGGTGGAGGGTCATGGTTTTAGGCGAGCCCGAGTTCATGCCGCTGCTGCTGGACCGGAAACTGCTCAATTTACCCAGCGTTGCTCCTACAGAGCCGGGAGATTGGGGTCAAAGGGGTCAAAGGTCATTGAATCAAACATGGCAGCACGTACCCCTTGATTTTTCTTGCTCAGATGTCAAAGTTTGTGTTTTTTGTTTGTTTTTGTTACCGATGCATTCATGCTGTAAATATCATTGTTGGTTACAGGACTTCTAAAATTTTGAGGCTGAAATTGAGAAATAAGACTTAAGAGTTTGCATGGTGGACATGATCAATGAATGGGAGGTTTGCGGCAACACCATGTGAATGATATCTCTAGTGAGTTGTGTGGTTCTGAGGAGAACCAGTTGGTTTAACTTGACGTTTCCTGATGACGAGCAGAGCATACTGCTCGAAACGTTGAGTTAAACCAACTGGTTCTTCTCAGAACCACAGAACTCACTGAGAGAGATCTTTCGTCAACATGGAGATACCTCCCATTAATTGATTCACTGAATTTGACAGTTCTGTTTTTTTTTTGTTCACGATACATCTTTGTCTCAAATGCTCAAACGCCATGCTGTTAGTATCTCGGTTTGTTTTAAGGACGTTCCGAAATGTTCATGGGATTTATGGTTGCTGGGAACATTCTGTCAGACTCTTTGTTTAGTTGCAAGGACATTCTGAAATTTATTTCTGATAAAATCTGATGGTTTATGACTGTGAGGCTTGAATGGTCAATGTGTTGAGGCAATGTTGCACAGTTTATTTTCAAGGCTGAAAATAAATGCGTAGCAAGTTTGTATGCGAACTGAAAATGAACTGAGAACTGGGCACAAGCACTAGGCATCAAATGACACTTGGCTGGTGACCTATTTATGCTAAGTACATGTAAACATTATGTGTACAGAGCACATATGATGGGTACCGAGCAAGTTTCTGTGCTTTCAGCTTCAAGATCTGGCTCCTAATATTTCTAATATTTTTAATACGTAGAACTTGTGAACTAGTACGGCAGATAGGCGATGGGATTGTGCCTTTGATGATACAAACATGGAATTTGACGCACAGTCAGAGTATGTCATGAGAAAGATATCTGGCCCTAGGGCCATCGCAGATTTGTCATTTAAAAAATGTATAGGTAGAATAACAAGCAATGGCAGCCATTTCGAAAACTTTGAAATTGCTTGTTATTCTACCTATATTTTTTCAAAGGACAAATCTGCGATGGCCGTATAGCCAAATATCTTTCTCAAGACATACGCAGACTGTGTGCCAAATTTCATGCTTGTGTCACCAAAGACACAATTCCCCCAAATATTTCCCCTATCTGCCCCACTAGTAGTAGTGAACCATTAATTATCATTTTCTAATGTCACATTTGTGAGAGTGGGTATTTGTGAGCATGTACATGATTTATGAGTGTGAAAAATGAGTGAAAATTATTACCGGAGATATCTGAAAAAAGTTGTTGCCATGGCGGTTTTTATGAAAAGATTTTAGTGAACGAAGGCGACATAAGACATCAATGAGACATTTAGCATGAAAAAAAAACATGGGCTGCAGACACTTTGGAAGTAGACAAACAAGTTTTAGCCACAGCAATTTGTTGGTATGTTCAGTATTTGGTATTCAGATGGTGAATATTTACAGAAAAAGACACAAAATGTTTACAAAAAAATGAGAGTGAAGAATTGAGTAGCATACATGAAGGGCTGACAACTACTGAGAGTTGATATGGACTCTCTGGACAAGCACCCTCTCATTTTAAGTGTGGGGCATCACTGCCAATGCAAGACACTCCCTTGATATGCAATGATGACGTGTGATAAAAGCACATGGGAACCAGCCAAGTTTGAGGCTGGTTCCTTTTCCCTCATGTCTGGATATATGGCATGTGTGGGAACCGGTCTACTTTTGCTCCAAGGCCGTGTTCGAATCACCGGTACTTGGCTGCGGTTGGAAATTACATGCATGCCTATGATAATGGCTGCAGCCACTTCACATAGACCCGTGTGTTAGTTCCAGCGGTAGCCAAGTAATTCGGAACCGGCCTAATTTTTGGAAAGAAACCAATTTCCCCAGTATGCATTCTCAAATGTAAATGGATGAACAGCACAAGTAAACCAGTGAAATTGTAAGTACCCTTCCCTTGCTCTTGTTGCTAGGGTAAAGAGCGCCCTCTATAGTTTGTGAACAGGTTCAATAAGAATTTATTGTTATGCTCAGTGTTACAACACATTAGGAAGATGAGGCAGAAAAGACATTAATAATGAAAGAGAAGAGTAGATACATGTAAGATTGGAAAACAGAAGTAGAAATAAGAAAGACCGACAGACAACAAAGATAAAAAGCCTGCAGAAAGGACACAGATACATTTGTAACAAAACAGTTTGAGTGAGGAAGGTACAAAATGTAGGAGTGGTTAAATAACAAACACATGATCAATTGAAATGTATTGTACTATGTAATGAAATGACATTTTCTAAGTTTTTGAATCATATGAATGGTGATATTCCTGGTTATGTTTTCAATCTGTGAAATTGAAATTGAAAACATGAAAGACTTCAATGTCTTTGTTTTTCGTTGCTGCAATGAATATCAGTCTGATAAAAAAAAAACAGCATTCATGAATATATGTATGAATGAGCTGAACGAAGAATGATCTATGTTGCTATAGGAAACATGTAGCGACAGCAAAGTTTTGGAAGAAGAGAAAGCAACTGTTTTTCAATTTTTTTATGTGAATAATTTTTAAAAAGTAGTGGTAATTTTTGAGAGATCAATATTATACCAGTAAGTTGATGTTATATTTTTGTCCCTTTTGTTAACAAACTTCAATTTCATCCATGTTAGTGTAGCAGAGCACACATTTCAAGTCAGTTATTCAAATTAGAATACATGCTGCCATGATGACCAATATTAACCTGAAACGTCACGGCCCCGAAAATTAAAGTTTCATAATTGGTCATTTTTGGGTTTTTTTGTTCATGAAATCAACATAATATTGTTATTTAGCGGATGCGGTCAGCTGGATGGAGCATGATGGGTAAATATGAGCAGTAGGCGATCGATGAAGGCATGGACCATTTGTCAAACTGCGACTTTGTCTCAAACTTCGGCTTCAAGCTTTTTGTTTTTATAATATAGATCTTTGGAGATGATTTTTTTCTCACAATGCGAAATTTTTGTTTGTACCAGAACATCAAATTCTACGGCTATTATCCAATAATTTGGAATATTTGAGTTGGGTTTAAAAACTAAATATCTTGAAGCGGGGTTCTTTGACAGAGACGAAACCAAATTTGGAGACAAAGCCGAGATTTGAAAAATGGTATTAGTTATTAGTACAGAAAAGTCCATTACATTGAAAGTTACATTCATGTATTGCACAGTCAATCTTTGAAAAAAAACATTTCTGCATTGACACACAGTTGGAGTCATAAAGAAATGGAGTCATAAAAGACTGGAGTCTCAAGGGACTGTTGGCCAAAATGGCCAATATGGCCAAAGTGGCCAAAATGACCAAAATGACCAAAGTGGCCAAAACGGCCAAAATGACCAAAATTGCCAAAATGACCAATGTGGCCAAAATGGCCAAAGTAGCCAAAATGGACACGTGGCCACCAATGCACAGGCCGCAACAAATGGGCAGCTGGTCAAGATAATCAGGTGGAAAGGAAAACCAGTCTGACTGTGACAAAATCCCCTATGTACATGTAATACCGGTACGTCTGGCATTGTCTGTGATACATGTACTCATGACAAAATTAGGAAAGTTCGGAACTTTCCACTTCCATTTTCAAAGCATTATACACAGTGGCGCAACTACTACGCAAGATACATGTGCATTTACAAATGTATGCCACATCGTAGTGCAACTGGAAATAAATGTACAGCTACATGAATGTGAAATGTAAATGTTGATAAGCACGCGGTTAACATTTTACATTGTTAAGTCAATCAGTATTCAACATTTCAGGGCACCAGTTAAGTCTGTAATCTTGTCCTCATGGGTTACCATGCAAAATATGCCGAAAGGCCACACAGTGCGACTTGTGCCCATTTGTGACTGAAGGGACCAGCCAAGGAAAAGTCCCTGGTATTCCGCAGGAACCATGCAAGGAACATTCCTTGGTATCCAGCTGGAGACATTCAAGGAAATTCCCTGGTATCCTGCTGAAACCATGCAAGGGATATTCCCTGGTATCCTGCAGGAACCGTGCAGGGAAAATTCCTTGGTATCCTGCAGGAACCGTGCAAGGAAAACTCCCTGGTATCCTGCAGGAACCTTGCAAGGAAAATTCTCTAGTATCATACAGGAACCATGTACTGGTCACCCTCAGCCACATTAAAGACATTCGCATACCAAATTCCTTTAACTGCATCAATGCAATTCTTAGCAAAAATGTTATTTTAATGTTTATTTAAATTAATCCAGCACCATGCAAAAAAAACCTGCTTATATTAAGGATAAATATATGGGAAAGGTTGCCATAGATATGAGTTTCTATTCACTACATTTTTGCATGTACAATCTTCCTTTTAAAATGTTTGGGAAAATTTATGATAATGCATTCACTCCATGAACATGACAAATTATGTAAACTAAATGTTTTTCCCCAACAGTGGATTACCTAGTGTGCACCTGCTTTGTAAATACACAATTATTTCATTACTTGGTACATGAATCAAATCAGTATATTCACATATGTAAATACAAAATAACAACATCCTGATGTCTTTTCTTCCTGTTCATGAAAGAATGGTTAGTCTTTACATTCCACAAAACAAAATCAGAGTGTGACCCACTCTCAGAGTGTGACCCACTACAGGTGTTGATTACTCAAAACAAGGTTTTGGGGGACAATCCTCATTTTGCCTCAGTAGGTCATAGTTAATGGTCTTCACATTTTCACAAAGAAGGTTACACGTACTTAGTACAATAATAACAATAATAAACAAACAAAAAAGTTCTTGCTTCATGCAAAGGGCATTTCGAAGTGCTACTAACAAAATGTAATTCTACTGCATGTGCAGATGTTCCTGAAAGAGAAAAACAAGCAAATTAAATGAAAGAGCAGAATTCGGAAGGAAAACTGAAAGATCTAAAAGGGATCAGGAGCCAGAGAACATGCTGAAATAAATGTGTTAGTATATAGGAACAAAATGCACACTGAGTCTAGGTTGGGTTTGTTTTTGCATTCAATAGGGGACGTTGAACAATAGAGGACAATAGGGTCCACAATTCCAGAAGGTCCACAATTGACGATCGTGTACAAAACATATGGGAGGTCTTCCTAAAAAGTTGAAGTACAAACAAAAGAGGGACAATAGGGAGTCCACGATTGAAGGTGTTTACACACTTAGGTGGGTGAGTTTGTTTTTGCATTCAATAGGGGACGCTGAACAATAGAGGACAATAGGGTCCACAATTCCCAAAGGTCCACAATTTGGGGATCGTGTACAAACATATGGGAGGTCTTCCTAAAAAGTTAGAGTACAAACAAGAGAGGGACAATAGGGGGTCCATGATTGAAGGTGTTTAAAACTGCAGAAAACTGCAGCTCAACTCCATCTATGCTCAGGAAATCAATTTCTTGGCAGTTCATAAATGCAGAAGGGGGGGGGGGGAATCTCACTAATGTACAAATAAGCTATAATCTTTTCTTTAACCCTAACCCTCTCAGACTCAGATCCAACAAAAAGAACTAATTATGGGGGGATATACATGTACATGTACAAGTGCGCACTTTTTAAATATACATTTTCATAAATTACCACTATTATATACGTGCATAAAAGTGAAATGATTCAAAGAGTGTCCAACTGTCCTTTTGCCTTTTTTGGGTTATTATTAAAAAACAAATCTTTTCTTATTTCTTCACATGTAAAATTTTAATGCAAAATGATTTTCCCCAAACTTTAAGAGATTAGCATCATCCAACCGACCCAAATATAAAAAAAGAAAAACAAGATTCCATAATGCAATATGCAGTGGACTTGCAGCAAGTCTAAAAAAATATCCACAGTGCAGTCACATGTACTTGGAGGGTCTGCATCTGAAATATCCCCATTATCCATAGACTCGCCACAAGTCCCCTCAAAGGAGTCACTGTCATCTGAGGAGTTGTCATACATGGACCAGCTTTCCGAGTCCAGCAAGGAATCGTCGAACGTGTCCACTATTTCCTCCAGTTCTGCAGACAAGTGGTCGTCAGTTTTTAGTGGAGCTGATTCTGAGTGAACCAATTCAGTTGGGATATTGACAGCTTAGCCAAACGGGTCGAGGGAGGTTTGCTAACTATCAACCCATGGGATAAACTGGTGGATAGGACAAGTTAACTAGCGAAAGCGCTGGTTTTGTTTAGCATAACCACAGGAGTGATCAACCGCCATTTTTAAGCGAAGTAGCTGGCTGCTTTCTCATAACCAATGGACTAAGCATCACAACAAACTGACGGATTAGCCAACCACTGAACTGGTTATATTTGTAACCATTTTCACTGGTTAATGTAACCACTGGATTGATTAACTTATGATTGGTAAGCAAAGCACCTGGCTGCTTATAACCAATGGACTGACTGGTAAAACAAATGGATGGATTAGCAAACCAATGACCTGGTTGTATTTTTAACCATCTGACTAGTTAGAATAACCAACCAACCAACCCACTGAACTGGTTACAAACTTACAATAACCGCTTAACTTATTAGCATAACCAACCAACATGACCAACAAACCAACTCACTGGACTGTTTACAAACCAACAATCACCGCTTGACTGATTACCATAATCAACCAACAAACCAACCAACTGGACTGTTTACAAATTTACAATCACCAATTGACTGATTAGCATAACCAACCAACAAACCTACTGGGCGCGCTTCAAACTTACAAGAATACTTTTGGGGGGCCACTCTGTACAAATATGTGTCTTTTTTCTTAGACTATGGTTTAAAATAAATAGATTAATACTGATCTCTAATACATGCAAACAGAACTGTTTATTAATAATTGGTTGTTTTTATAATTGTCTAAATTGCATTTGTAGCAAACAGAGAACAGTGGAAATTACATTATGTTTCTGAATGAATCAAAATATTTTCCAAGAAGAGGCGAAAATTTTGAATTGAAAGCCAACAAGATTTTTAACAAATTTTATGACATTGTGTCATTATTGTAGGAAACTCTGGAACAAAAAAATAAAGTCCCCACTATTTTGTAGAAAAGATCTAAAAATGCTAAATAGTTCAATTTTTCAAGCAGTGTTGTTTGTTTTCATGTAGTAGACTAAGTTTGAAGTCTTAAACACAACAGTCCATTTTTATTTGTCATGGTAGGTTGAAACTGACACAATAATTAAAAAAAAAAATAATAATAATACAAAAAAAAATTAAAAAAAATTGAAACATAACGTTAAGCGTGAGGGAGGGTTAAACTCATGTTGCAGGTTATTACCTCGCTTGAGCGTCGACAGGGACCTGTCGATCAGTCCTGGGGGAAGGAAACACACGGATTAGTAGCCAAACTCTGGAGGGGAAAAATTCATGCTACGGAAGGGAATTATTAACATGATGAAGAAGATAGGAAAGCTGAGCATGAGTAGGTGGGATTGACCATTATCATGTTGCGGCTATCTTGAATTGTTCCCATTCAACTCAACATAACTAAAGCAAGGCTGGAGGGAAAAATAGTCTGGTTCCTTTTTGCACAAAAAACATTGTCGTTAAGTACTGTTATTGGATACAGGGAACATGACTGAAATGGTGGCAGCATGATAAAGGTCTATTGTAACAAGAACATGGCGAGCATAAAGCTGGTCCCAGAGTACACAATTCTGTTCAAGGGGAAACTTTTGAGACGTTGGTGGCAGCAAACACACCAATCGTTTACGTCATGTTTAAGCTAAAGATCTGTTACACGATACCCTGTGGAGACATGGGTATAGGCCTAATAGGGAACAAAAGACTGAATACGTCTCCACAGGGCAATTTCTATAGTTGAATACGTCTCCACAAGGTTATCACAAAATAGATATATGGAATTTCCACGGTGTGTTGATCCGTCGGAAATTGAAGTATTTTATGTAAGGGATATTAAGTCCGAATTTCAGCCCAGGAAATTAACTCTGGTTAAAATAGGAGCATTTTGAAACTACACTTTAAAACTCGAAAACTTTAGTACACTTTGAGAACAAAGAAATGACTCCACAAGAATACAAATTCCAGTATGTTTGTGTGCATGCTCAATATGACACAAACAATGGAAAAAGGACCGGTTTGTTTGCTGCCACCGACGTCTCAATGGTCTCCCATGGATTTGGAATTTAATGGATTCAGAATGGCTATTCACTGGAAGTCTTATCGTGCATCTGTGCACCCAATGGGCCGGATTTTAAGCCATTACGGGGTGACCCTATACAATGGCACTGCCCGGCTTTCTTCACCAGCCACCAACCAGGCCAAGTCACAATTGACAGCGAGTCAGTGAGGTACAAAGCGGACTGTAGGCCAGCTCTCTGGGACCAGCAATCAACACCGGACATGATTGATTAAAAAAGCCCCAAAGGATCATTTGTAATTCCTAAGACAGTTCCTCAGAGAGTCCTGTATCCTCCTAGATCCGACAACATCCATCAGGAGGATTTGAGATGTTGCAGGATTGAGGCAGGTATGAGCAAATGGTCCTATGGGCTTTTCGAGTACTGTCACACAATGTGGGAAAACTGCATGCTTCTGAATGGGGAATGGCAAACGTGAACATGAGCGTTAATGCAAATTTTGAAGTTACGAGTAACACTTCCATCTTCAACTTGTACATCACTAAACAAATCTTGGTTGTTGTACCTTTGCAACTAAGACAAACGTATACAAATCACAAATGTTAACCGAGAATCTCAAACAAAATACACACACTTCCATCCCTACCTGACTTAGGCCCCGACTTGCCGCCGCTGGACCGCATGAACCCCCGCTGGATTAACGTCCCCGAGGAGTGGCCCCTTCGTGACCCCATGTTAGGGGTGGAGTCGGGCTCCAGGTGCATGGAGGGCGGGAGGATGGCGTTGAGGCTGACTAAGGAGTCGGACTTGTAGGAGCTCCCGCAGGGCGTGTTCAGGACAACCGCCGTGAAGAACTTCTCCTGTTCTATGCTCTTGCTGGTACTGGTCTCCGACGATCCACCTAAAGTTTCAAAAACGATGCTTTGACCTATGACAGCAGTGATGACTGTCCAACAGAAGTTCTGCGTCTCGAACATGCCGTGTTGGATTGGGGAGGTGCGCATGTTGTTGCCCAACAACTGCCTCAATATCTCACTCAGATATAAAGTCATGAATGGCTACTGCATCGTCGTTTTTTATGACATTTAACACTCATGAGTCATCTTAAAAGCAAATAATTATATACACAGATAGGCACTGCCTACAATTACGGCAGAACTTGGCCACTGAAACTACAATGACAAATAGAACAGTCAATAGCTACATGGACCCCTGTATACGAATGTTTACAATATACAAATCCTCTGCATCATCCTCTACACCATGAGTGCAGATTGACCTGGACCATTTATTGTCTTCATTTATGTCCACTTTACATGTAGACTCTAGTGTGGCATATTCTAATACATTACCAGCACTTTTAAAGCCGGTTTATACTCCACGCGAATCTGAATGCAAAGCGAATACGACATCAGGAAACTTTCCCTGCAAAATTCGTTGGAGTTAAAATGTGTTATACTTTTGCAAATCAGCAGCACAAAAACTTGTTGTGATGGCACCAAATCGCGTTTGCTTTCGCACCGTGTTTGAACCGGCATTTATGCCGACAGTTTGATGGACAGTGGGAAGTCGGGCCAGGTTTGTGTCCGGGGTTAAAGGTCAACTTACTGGTGGAGGGATTTTGTGCCGACTTGATCATCCCCATGACCCCTTTGCCGTGGAAACCGCTGGATCGTAGCAAGAGGGCCTTGGTGCCGGGATGCCGCCACGTGATGGCAGGGAAGCGACACTGCCGATGGCACTTGGCTAATCTCCGGATGCTGTCATCGGACAGCGCCGAGGGGACCACCACAAGAGACGGGTAACTGGGGGCAAACATTATGCAGACATGTCAGAGCTGTACTTGGGTATCAAAATCACAAGCCCAATCATGAGTAGGGTTACAAGTAACAAGGGATTAACAATGCCAAGAGAAAGCCTTTGTCAAAGCTTATTTGAAGTTATTGAGCTTGCAACTTCACTTCAGCCTTGTGATTGACTAGGCCTGTCTCAATTCATATCCGGGACGAGTTCCAGACAAGTTCCGGACACTGTATCGGGTATCAGTTGCAGGATTCTGAATGGCTTCCACCGCAATCTTCCCGCAATGAATTTATCAGTATTGGTGAGTCAAGCAGTTGCTATAAGTGAAGATTTCCCCGGAACATGGCCGGCACAAATGCAGTGCTTCTTCCCGACAACATGAACGATTCTTCCAGCAACTTGTCAGAAACTTGTCTTGGACATTGGTTGAGACGGGCCCTGGTACAAACCCAACTCCCCTGTGATATCTACTTACCTTCTACAGACCTCAAAGTGGATGTTGGCCTCCGAGATGCGGAAGGCTTCTCCGGGTCTCGGCCTCATTATGCCGCTGCTTCCCGGAGCGCCGAAGCCCAGACGGTGATAGTCCTGGACGTAGAGTTTGTTCTGCAGCTTATCTGCCGTCAGGACATCGATGGGCTTGAGCGTGGATGCTACGTCCTTCTCGTCAATCACTACAATGAGAACAGCAAAGCGTTTAGTGTAAAGGAGTGTCTCACAAATTGGGAAATTCAGGTTAGAAGTGAAAAACAGCATGCATGAGATGTTTATGAGATATTGGCGCAGTGGTTCTTTGCTCGCCTTCCACCTCTATGGCCCGGGTTCGATTCCTGCCCTGGTCCACATGTGGAAATGTGTGAAATTTCTTATCGTGTTCTCTCTACAGGTTTCGTCACGCTTGCGAGCTACGGTGCCTATTCTTTGGTGTCAGTACCAGAAATAAAAATAATTTTAATAATAACAGGCATGCAACTGGGAAATCACAAAAAAAGAGGAAATTCAAATTTTTCCCAGACTTTGTACAGTGTTTTTCTATTTTCAATGGCACACATGGGAAGTAAAAAAAGAGGAAATCAGCTGATCCGAGGAAAAGTTGCATGCCTGTAATAATAATAATAAAACCAAATTTCATTTAGGGACCGTCTCAATTCATATCCAGGGCGAGTCCGGCTAGAAACATTCACTTTGACTGGCAGAAGTTTAGCATGTATCCTGGACATGTTCTGCGGAAATTTTCATTGGCAACTGCCTGACTCACCAGTACCGATAAGTTCATTACCAGAAGACTGCAGGGAAGTTGTTCAGAATCCTGCAACTTCTAATCGATACAATGTCTGCAATAAGCCTTTTCGGAGTTCCAACTGCGCGCATTCGTAACCTGTGACAATGCTCATTGTTTGTCTCAAATGCCCTTTGACAGTACCCACAATGCACAAACAGCCTTTTTGTTAAAGTCAGTGGCGCGATGATGTCAAAGGCCATTTGAGACAAATAATGCGCGTTGTCACAGGTTATGAATGCGCAGTTGGAACTCCGAAAAGGCTTATTTGGGCGATTCACAATGCAGTGCGCCACCAAGAGTTTGCCACGGAGAGTTGAATTTTCCCAGTGCATTGTGGGAGATGGTCAATGAATTTGCAGCGCGGGACATTTGAAATTGTTAGTTTTTCTGGTCAGTAGTTTCGTAAGCGTATGATTCCGGTATCTGTTTGCCCTTTTGTTTTCTTTTTATCAATATGGTGTTTTTTGTAAGGCGACAGAACGCTATGCCCAAATTTATAATCAATTAGCTCAAGTTGTCAACTGACACTCATTCAAACTGTTCATGATTTGTCGACCGTAAACTTGAAAAACAGACTCTCCATGGCAAACTCTTGGTGGCGCACTGCATTGTGGATTTCCCGAATTGTACGGAACTCATCCCGGATATGAATTGAGACGGACCTAAGAACCAATTGAGCATGTCATTTCAGTGTCTCCCTTAAAGACTATTTATCTACTGGAGCTGATATTTCAAGACCTTTTTATATTCTGCATTGAACTAAGAATAAAAAGAAGATACATGTAAATGGTGCTACATATGCATTACATAGCTTGCAGAGTAGGGATATACATGAACTGAAAACTCTAACCCAAGCCAAAGGGAGCGTGAATATAAAGAAGCAAAATGAAAGTGCAGTAGTAATAGCATGGAAATGAATGCATGGAAAAGGCCGAGACAAAAATGATAAAATTTCATTTCATGACACGTCAGTAGGCATTATATCAAACAGCGATGCAAAATAAAACATGGTGTATATACTGTACATGTTGCAAATTGGCACTGTTTAAAAACTGGCCTTATACTATGTATGACTAGGGGTGCTGTTCAGGAACTAAATAGAGCACCATAGAAATGAACAGTGAGGAGTCGGCAGCCTGCTAATCACTAGGCTACAACCAGATTCAAAAAGATGTTTAGTTATTGTTTTTTAAGTTAGTATACAAGTAATGAATGCTTATGAGTGCAATGGTAAGAATAATTTCATGAGGCGACAGATGGAATGTCCCATGGAACATTCCATCTGGCATGGAACATTCCATCTGGCATGGAACATTCCATCTGGCATGGAACATTCCATCTGGTATTGAACATTCCATCTGGCATGGAACATTCCATCTGGCATGGAACATTCCATCTGGCATGGAACATTCCATCTGGCATGGAACATTCCATCTGGCATGGAACATTCCATCTGGCATGGAACATTCCATCTGGCATGGAACAGTCCATCTGGCATGGAACAGTCCATCTGGCATGGAACAGTCCATCTGGCATGGAACATTCCATCTGGCATGGAATATTCCATATGGCATGGAACATTCCATCTGGCATGGAACATTCCATCTGGCATGGAACATTCCATCTGGCATGGAACATTCCTTCTGGTATGGAACATTCCATCTGGTATGGAACATTCCATCTGGTCCCATCTGTCATCGAATGAAATTATTCTTTCCATTGCACGAATGTGAAACATTCATTATTTGTTTTATACAACGCCGGAATAAATCCTTGTCATCTAATTGGTCAGAGCCATCAATAGTGTAACTGTGCTATGGAATTTCTATTTATCGTGGATTAGAACTAAATTCAATGACATGACTGTGATCAACGACCCACCAATTAGATGACGGGGATTTATTCAGGCGTTGTATCATTTGTCCTAATACATGTGCTCCAACAAATGAGTGCAATGGGTAACCTGCTGTAAAACCTTTGCCTGCCAGGAAACAAAAAATATTGTTAATCTGCAATGGTACGGTACATTTAAGTAAATGGCGAGTCCACCAGGCTATCTGTTGCGAGACAGGGGTGCATTCCTCATACGCAACCACGCAAACATTGCTAATGATTTCCCACTGGCTATGCACAAAAGATCACGATCGTTGGCGACGGCTGCTCGTGTGGAACGCACCCTTGTTAACATGCATGTGAAATGCATCAGCCAATCAAATGAATGCACTGCTGTGCTTAGTCAGCCCAGATCCACCAATCAAATGTCTGTATTCAGCTGCCTGTACTATGCATAATATGTGGCAAACCTCATGGATTAATCTATGTAAAAGCACCAGCCAATCACACGAAGGTATAGTCTTACTTAGCAGGCCCTGATCACCAATGGAATGTCTCCAAATGGCCTGTATGTCTGCTATGCATATTCAGCAAACCAAACAGCTTAATTTATGTAAATATACACCAGCCAATTAAATTAATGCATTGTCTTCCTTGGCAGGCCCTGATCACCTATGGAATGTCTCCAAATGGCCTGTGTGTCTGCTAATGCATATTCAGAAAACCAAACAGCTTAATTTATGTAAATATGCACCAGCCAATTAAATGAATGCATTGTCTTACTTGGCAGGCCCTGATCACCAATGGAATGTATCCAAATGGCCTGTATGTCTGCTAATGCATATTCAGCATACCAAACAGCTTAATTTATGTAAATATGCACCAGCCAATTAAATGAATGCATTGTCTTATTTAGCAGATCCTGATCACCAATGGAATGTATCCAAACGGCCTGTATGTCTGCTACGCATATTCAGCAAACCAAACAGCTTAATTTATGTAAATATGCACCAGCCAATCAAAGGAACAAATGATGAATGCATTGCCATCCTTAGTCAGCCCAGGCCACCAATGAAAATTAGCTTCAATAAGCTTGTCTACATATTTTCAATTCATGAAAATGATCAACCAATAAAATTAGTGCTCTCGCCATGCCAGGGCAACTACTTTTTGCACCACATGTGTCACCAATGTTAAATCAAGTACTTTTTTCATGACTGTTCTGGAAGCGGTCTCACCAAAATTTTCCGGCCTAATGTAATTTTGAAGAAGTCAACAACTATGCATGATGGAAGGTGATCAGGATTCGTGTTGATGTGCCTAGGTGTAGGGGTCAGTTTTTAAATGTCAACATAAAAAGTCAACAGATTACCTAATAAATACATGTGTATATACCGTAGGTTAGCCGTCACTGTATTATGGGGGAGTTTTCCATTGTTAGGGTAATTAGGACCCAGTTGTGGATTTTTGCAGCCCCAACAGTGTCTTCTGCTCCCCATACTTGTATTACCATGGGAAAACTCTTGTGTAGTCGCCACAAATGCAGAACAAGAATTGGTATACATGTACATGAAGACACAGCACCATCACCACCTCCCCCAAACCTTACCCTATCCCAAAACCTTACCCCATCCCCAACCCGCCCCCCCCTCCCCCACCCAACCCCCTACCCACACCCATCCCATCCTCCCCTAACCACCCCCACCCTATCACCTACACATCCCAAACCCACCCAAACTCCAATCCCTATCTCCTTTCCCCTCCCCTGACCCGTACCCTCCCCCACCCCAACCCCCTACACCCACCTACCCTATCTTCCCCTATCTGTCCTTACCCACCCTGCACATCCCCACCCTAACCCTTACTCGAATTCCAATATCCCGCCCACCCATACATTCCCACCTGACCCCATGCAACCCCTACTCTGATCCCTATATACTGCCCCCTCCCCTTATCCAACCCCTACAACAACCCATCCCTACCCATCCCTACACATCCCCAACCCAACCCCTACTCCGATCCTATATCCCGCCCCCTGCCCAACCCCCTCCTAACCCAACCACTACATCCATACCCATCCTCTCCCTACCTGTCTCCCCTACCTGTCTCTCCCTACCTGTTCCCACCCCACCTCACCCGAACCCAGTATTCCAACCCCTCTCCCCACCCCACCCCACCCCACCCCGCCCCACCCATCCTAGCTCCCCTACTCATCCTATTCACACAAACCCTAACTCCAACCCTATCCCCAACCCACCCCACCCCACCCTACCCCATCCCTACCCAACCCAATAAACTAAAAGATCAAACCAGAAGCTCATGCACATCCCCAAAATGCATAGTGTACATGTACATGTTATACCGGTATACACACATGTACATGTTATACCAGTATACATGTATATGTAACAATTAAAAACTTTAACATTTCCTTGAATTAAGTTCCTCAATAAAATCATAAAAATTTACTGCAATGATATGAACCTACCTGAAGTTATAGAGATGATACATGACAACTGCATTTAATTTTTTTCCCCAAGTTAACTAGAACCAAAAAGTTCAACATTTTTATCTGAACGCGGACGGCCGGACGCCCGGACAGACGGACGGAAATTGGTATTACATAGGCTCGCATCTGCTTCGCAGCTCGCCAATAAAACACAATTTACTCTTGAACAAAGGAAATTTATCCTTTGTGTGTTTCTCTAACTGCGCTTTCTCACTTTCAAGGAAAGTACCGTAGCCCAAGACGATTTTCAACCCTTGAGTTCGACGAAGCATAATGTTTGTTCCTATGCATCATTTTGAATGAAATAAAGTTTGTATGGTAGATCTGATTTTAAGAGGTACGTGTAATTTGAAAATATTCCAAAATCCAAGTGCAATATACTTTTATTGATTGGTTTTCGACTGTTAGGTTTTTTTGTGGGACACACTGTATGTGGGAACATTTCTGCACGCGTGGGGAATATTTAAACAATTCTGCATGTACTGTGTGCAATGCAGTGGGCATTGCAATTGGCATAAAACACTGTTCTCTGATGAATGTAAAAAAAAAAAATTAAAAAAAAATCACAATTTCCTTTCCTGAAGATACTGGTTTTATAGTCCAATTAGGGGGGGAAGGGCAGCATTCAATGCGGAGTTTTTATTCAAGATGGCACTGTTCATTTTTCAGCATTGTGCAACATTTTTCGCCCGTTTTTTTTTTTCAGAAAAATGTAATTCTTAGACTTTCAGTCAGATTTGACTTTAGCTGGTTGGCTTGGTGAGAGGCAAGCTAAAGTATGCTTGGTGAGACCGCTACATGTACAAGTACTACACCGCCGGTGAGTAAAGCATTCCCCTGTAGCTCAATTATTTTAGAAATTGCGCCAGCCAGTGACACCAACAATGATCAAACATTTCTGTAACCTGCTGGAATGGACATGGAGCGACATCTTTCTATTTTTTGTGACCGCGGAGGCAGTGGAGCATCCGAGAGATCTGCAACTAAAAATCAGTGCGGCGGTTGCCCATGATTTAAAGTGTATCGATTTGATGCACAAGATGTTATTTAAAAAAAAAAAAAAAAATTAACAAATTATTTTTTTTTTAGAAGCTGTCAGTGCAGGCCTTTTAATGGTAAACTTAATTTAAGAGAAACAAAAATTAGAGTGTGCATGTAAATGCACATGTTTGGAAGTTTGTTCTTGACATAAGGCAGCTGCTCTTAGAACGTACATGTCACTATTAATTTAAATTGTGAAAATTGTTATTTTTTATTCAAACATTATTTAAAGAAAACAAATGCCTTCGTGCACAGTGCAATAAATGTGTACCAGGGGTTTCTCTTGCGAATAGCTTTCATTTTTTGGTGCATTTTCAGTCAATTTATCAGTCAATTGAGTGCTGGCATTCCAGTAAAGAGTGGTCTAGGTCTCCATCTATCCAGCCAAATCCGGTTTAGGCCCGAAGCAAGTCAGGACCAGGTTTAGCCAAATTGCAGTCTCCAGACCGGTTTAGGTATCATTCCAGAAAGGTCGAGTTTGGCTCCATTCCAATTAAGACCAGTGTAAATTCCAAACCAAGTCAAGATCAGTTTTAAGTCCAAATCTTGTCAAGACTGGTATAACCAAAATGCAGTATAAACCGGTTTAGGTACCATTCCAGAAAGGTCAAGTTTTGCTCCATTTAAGTTAAGACCACTTAAAATTCAAGACCAAGTCAAGATTGGTTTTAAGCCCAAATCTTGTCAAGACTGGTTTAGCCAAAATGCAGCATAAAGCGGTTTAGGTACCATTCCAGAAAGGTCGTTTTTTTTCTCCATTCCAGTTAAAACTGGTTACAGTTTCAATCCAAACAAGATTAGTTTATTAGCCCAAATCTTGTTGACTGGTTCAGCCAAAATGCAGAATAAACTAGTTTAAGTACCATTCCATAAGATCAGTTGAGGCCAGTTTAAATCAGTCTCAACCTAGTTCAGACTAGTTTTAAGCCCCAATCCAGTCCTGGCCTACTGCACGCTAGGCCGATTTGTCAGAGGAAGGCGTGATGAAATGTTTTGTTACATTGTATATTATTGTTTTCCCTTAACTGGAAAGAATTCAAATGTAATTTGACAGATATAAGATAAAGAAAGGTACCAAAACCATTAAAAGAAAAGACAAAATCAAGGGTAAAAAAAACAGATGAATGTAGTTAACCTGAAAGGAACGAGCCACCATGACGTCTATAACCTCTGGGCGAAGAGTCAAAGTCAAAATCTGCAAATAGCCACACAGTAATCACTCATGAGGTAACGTCAGGAGCTATTCAGTACTGGCCGAAATTGGTTATGGGCTCCTTGCGCAAACAAGAGAGGGTGCTTTTTTACCACTTTTGAGAGCCCAGCGGACGGGACAAACGGCGTGCGCATAATGGTTCATGCGCACGCCAAATGTGCACAAAGCCATAGCGTCTTCCCATAAGCATTTTTGGCCTAATTTCATGGCGCTACTAACCACATGATTTTCTGCTAACAGAGCCTTCGTCTATTTCATGGAGGCTGTAGGCAGTAAGCAAATCAAAAGGCACGCTTAACCCTAGCGGGAAACGTTGCTTAACCACTTCGTGCCGGTGTAGCGTGAATATCCGACTCCATGAAATGTGGACTCATTGGCAGTACTGCGCACGCATGAGTACGATACTATGCTATTTTTAGGATCATTTTGGGATAGTGACCTGTCACGTGCGAGGGATCAACCAATAATAGGGAAATAGGGGTCCGATTTTCATAGGAGTCGAATTTTCATGTGACACCGGGTTTATTTTTGCCGAAAATTTTGTTTTTTTGGCAAAATTTCCCCACCAACTTCTGATATACAGCCAAAAGCCACAAATACTGATTCGCACTGGAGTGTAAAGTGTCGAGCAATAGGCCTAGTACAACGGCCAATTCAAGATCAACACACGGCTCACCTCCACAGACTTCACAGACTTTGTGTGTATGTATAAAAGGCACATGGGATAAGTGTGTTTAGAGGTCACCCGGAGGCGAATTGAGGCAATCTTGACATCTTAACCCGTCAGCCGTGCCTGTGTATAAAAACAGCCAGTGCGTGTTATCACGTCCTCTGACGCGAACTGGTTAAGCACACATTTTCTGCTAACTGTTAAGCAGCGCCATGAAATTGGGCCCAGGCTTCATTGGCAATGCCTTCAAATTTCTCTCCCAGTGGTCGCCCTAAACTCTCCCAGTGTTTGCCCTAAACTCTCCCAGTGGTCACCCTAAACTCTGCCAGTGGTCACCCTAAACTCTGCCAGTGGTCACCCTAAACTCTCCCAGTGGTCGCCCTAAACTCTGCCAGTGGTCACCCTAAACTCTCCCAGTGGTCACCCTAAACTCTGCCAGTGGTCGCCCTAAACTCTGCCAGTGGTCGCCCTAAACTCTGCCAGTGGTCGCCCTAAACTCTCCCAGTGGTCGCCCTAAACTCTCCCAGAGGTCGCCCTAAACTCTCCCAGTGGTCGCCCTAAACTCTCCCAGTGGTCGCCCTAAACTCTCCCAGTGGTCGCCCTAAACTCTCCCAGTGGTTACCCTAAACTCTCCCAGTGGTCGCCCTAAACTCTCCCAGTGGTCGCCCTAAACTCTCCCAGTGGTTACCCTAAACTCTCCCAGAGGTCGCCCTAAACTCTCCCAGTGGTCGCCCTAAACTCTCCCAGTGGTCGCCCTAAACTCTCCCAGTGGTTACCCTAAACTCTCCCAGTGGTCGCCCTAAACTCTCCCTTCCTTACCGTTCGGTGCCACACGGATGGACCGCCATACGCAAGTACCCCATCAACAGTCATGAAGAGAGTTGGGGGAGACCACTGCTCGGGACTCTTGAATGCATTGCCTGAGGCTCACGTGAAAATGCTACAAATTTGTGCGCATCCGGTCGTGTGCACTTTGCGCACAAACCAATGGGTGCAACATGTGCGCAAACCAAAGGATGCAATATGCGCGCAAACCAAAGGGTTTAATATGCGCACAAACCAATGGGAGCAATATGCGTACAAAGCAATGGGTGCAAAAAGCGCACAAACCAAAGGGTGCAATACATGTATGCGCACAAACCAAAAGGTGCAATATGCGCACAAACCAAAGGGTGTAATATGCGCACAAATCAATGGGTGCAATATGCGCACAAACCAATGGGCGAAATATCGGGACAAACCAATAGGTGCAATATGCGCACAAACCAATGGGTGCAATATGTGCACAAATCAATGGGCGCAATATGCGCACAAACCAATGGGCGCAATATGAAGACAAACCAATGGGCGCAATATGTGCACAAACCAATGTGCACAAACCAATGGGCACAATATGGGGACAAACCAATAGGCGCCATATGTACATAAAACCAATATTGCTCTTGAAAGTGGTCACAAAGCGCTCTACTGTTCATGCACACAGTCCATTGCACCAACGGTAATCTAGTTTATTCAAACATGTAGATGGCATGATCTGCAACTGTTAAGTAAATATTTCAGCCATGCCATACGGTACATAGACACACACTGCTATTAAATGAAGGCATGTACAGAAATCTATTGGTGTCTACATGATGTATGCTAGTCTACTCGGTATGAGTACGGCATTGCATAAAAATATGCACACTGGGTGTGATCATTTTTAGACACATATAGTGCATGGTGTGCACATGTGGCCCCCGAACATGTGCCAATTGTGTCTCCTGAATGTACTGTTAAAATTACAAGCAAAGGTTTACACAAGGTCATAATTTTGCATGTTTGTTCAAATTTGGTATGCGTACACACCACACATTTTGTGGCTATTGCACATTTGAGTATGCATCATGCATTATACACGTGTACATTGTGCATCTTCACATTACACATACAGTATACGTGAAAATGTACATTCTATATGCACAATATGCACGAGCAGTACGAAAAAGTCCTCAAAGCAAGCTTTATTTTCCTCGCTTGAAATTGGACATGAATCTCAATGGTACAAAAACTTGAAGTTTTTTTCTCGTGTAGTGTGTCAAGGTATAGGTATGAGACTAGCATACTTCATATTGGCAACTAAACTGAAGAAAAACCTGTCTGATGATCAGATGGTCCCGACTAAATCTGGACAGATGTGAGTAAAATGAGTCTCAGCCAATAGTCTAACAGGAAATGATCACATGGTTAGTACAGTCAGCCAATGGGTGACCAGAATCATCTGGTCTGGACTGTGTGTTTATCGTATAACAACCTGAATCGTATGAACCGGACCGGCTTCTCAGAACTCGCAGTGAAGACTCTATCCCCACATCTGCATCAAAAACACACAGAATAAGCCAATTCGACATTCTAACATGTACACATCGTTGTGAATTTCTATACGCCCGAGGACAATACTTTGTGTTTCCCTGTGTCCCTGTAATTTAACACTCTTCCATAGACTAAAAAAATGAAAGGTTTGCTGAAACACCATGTGCGAATAATTTCTCAACTAAGAGAATGGTTCTTTTAAATGGTTCTGAAAAGAACCAGAGGTACAAACTCGACGTTCCGGTCAGTATGCTCTGACCTCTGGTTCTTTTCAGAACCATTCTCTTAGTTGAGAAATTATTCGCACATGGTGTTTCTGCAAACCTTTCAATTTTTAGTATCTCCACTATGCAAAGCCTCAAATCTTACTTTCCATAGACTAAGCAAATAACCGTATGATTGAGGACCATTTTCAACAAAAGACCAAACGCTCGAGGACTGAAAGGATCTTTTGTTTTCCTTTGTGGTCTCCCGATTTTTGTTTGTTTTAAAGTATAACATTTCAGTAAGTTTTTGTGAGCCCAAACTTTTCTAGGAAAAACTGTTACCATCTTCTTTTGGACTGCTACAAAACATACAAAACTGAAATTGTACACTCTGATTCCACTATTTCGCTACAAACAGAGAAAATCTTCAGATAGATAGAACAAAATTGAAAGTTTTGGCAACCCTGTAGAAAAAGACAAACACACAGCTTGAGCAACTTAGAAACTGTCATACAAGGCATTTAAACAGTGCTTTTCTGCTTCCGATTAGGTAGGTAGGGAATTGTTGATATTTTTTTTTGCCATTTTTTTTGGTGTACGATCATATGGAGGCGTCTGCGTGTAATCAAGGGTAGAAATTGATGTTTTGGGGTGTTTTTTCCCTCCTGAACAGTGATGGGCCAATTACTTCATTGTGCTGTGCAAAATAAGGAGAGCGTGGCCTAGTGGTTAGGGTTTGTGACTCATGATCAGTGGGTCAGGGGTTTGAATCCAGCTACTGGCCATATGGTGTGTCCTTGGGCAAGCCACTTCACCCCACTTGCCTCTCTCCACCCAGGAGTATACATAGGTACTGGCATTAGCTGGGGAGTTACTTTCGATGGACTAGCATCCCATCCAGAGGGAATAGAAATATTCTCACTTGTTTAAGATCATGCCACAGAAATAGAAGATAAATGTCGGCCTGTTGGGCCATATTGGCTCGTTTAAAGACTTCACTACTGTGCTGTGCCAAATCACAAGTGCAGTGCACACCAATAATGCTGAGTGCCCAGACAATGTGACCTTTGACCTTGCCTGTGTCATCTCCACAGTCAATCACGTCATGGTACTTACTCGACAGTTCGTCGTCCTCGTACATGACGCTGTTCGGCCGACTGTCGCTGGGGATGCTGTCCATGCTCCCTGCCATGATCTGACGCTGTAGAGTCGCAGCAGACGGGGGTCGCTGGGTTACCAGCGGCTCGGCCGATAGGACGTAGCGGTCCTTGCTGCGGGGGAGCAGTTTGGTCTTATGATGGCCCCCACTGCTGCCCCCTACACCCACTGCTCTCTTGCCTTTCAGGAATGTCTTCGAGGCAAATTTCCTGCTCACAATAAAGAGAGAGAGAAAGAGATATTAGTCGATATTAAAGGGACACTGCGTCCTGGAACAGCCCAATTCGGATACAAAACAAGCTATGAATTAAATGATGTTAATCGCAAAGAACATTTAAAAGTAGGATATAAACATCCAACAACTATCCTTTAAAAACTGGGCGTTTTGTGTTATTCCTGTTTTATGCATGCCAGAACGACTTTCAGACTCGTCCACTTTTGCGACCCTAAAAAGTCGAGCTGTTTTGGGTGCTAGTTATGATTTCATCCACAAAGTGTTCACCTTTTGCGGACGTGTAAGAAACCACATTTTGTACATAAGTGATTGGTCACCGCTGCTCGCGAGCACCGTGCTGTGTACGTGTGTTATACTAAACACACACAACGTGTACATGTACATGTATATTGTACATTGACTGAAAACGACAGGATAAACATATTCGTACTCTGTCGTGTCTGATGTAAACAACCAGGTTTTTTTCATGAACGGTAAGACATTAGGTTGGTTTCCTTTCAACCAGATGTTTGAAATAGGATACGTAAAAAATCAAAAACATGAAATTTCCGGGGATTTCAGGACCTAGTGCCCCTTTAACCTTTAAGGGCCATGCAATTCCTTTTTTTTTTTTTAAATGCAACCCTTAAAATGTATCCCATTTATCCTTATTTTCAATTTTTGTTGGGCATTTTTCGAGGGTATTCTTTTGCCTATTTAGTTTTTATGCTAATGCAATTTTCCATATTCATGAGCACAAGTGTGATGCTGTTTCAGGAAGAAATCTAAATGTTTCAGTTATTTCAACACCAAAAGTTGCCAGAATTTTGGAAATTCTGTTGTCGTACATTTTCTTTTCTTTGATGATTTGTTGTTGTGTCAGTACATGGCAGTAAGCCAGTCAGCAAACTTTTCTCACAGATGTTTTCAATGAGCAACTTTTTGGGTTCACTTCAATTTGAACAGAAAACCCCTGAACTGATCAATGTCTTCCTGAAATGATATCATAGCAAAAGTACCCTCAGTTGTCTGGAAATAGCACGGAATTAAAAAAAATGTTTAAAGAAGTGCTCTTTTCAATCAGATCAACCAAAAAGGTATGTCAAACAGTTTAGAGAAGTAGAAAGTTGCACAAAATATGTTCCTAAGAAAACTTCACTTCATGATCCTTTAAGGCATATTTTTACACTCAAATGACCTGTGAAGAAAGCATTCCTTTGTTCTTGTTCATCCTATTTTACGAGTGACGCATCTAGTCGAGCCCTTTCTCAATCTCACCTCAAGGTGGCGCTCTTCTCCTTCTGCTTCATCTGCGTGGAGAGGTGCGGCGCGACAGTGGAGCCCTGGAATGCAAAGGTTTCGTAGAGGCTGTGCGGGTAGCGGCAGCGGGTGCAGTTTTTGCGAAACGCCTCCACCTTCTCCGCGCCCACCTCCTCGTCAAACGCGATCTTGATCAGCTGGGAACAGATCACACAAAAGTGGACTTGTTTGAAGTTAAAGCTGGAGTCCATCATTTGCAGCTATCCAAAAAGTAACTGGCGTGATTCTTGTTGACAAACATACTTGGTTGAAAGATAGTAAGGGGACTAAACTCCCTGTGAAATTATTCTTTCTGGAAAGCTGTCATTTTGAAGAAATCAACAAAAGAAGGCCTTTCCAACGGGGCTTCTTAAGACGCACCTTAGGACATTTAAATTAGTAGTTTGTTTTGTTTTGCAGCGAAGCGCGCGCAAGCATTGGCATGACGCACACGCATGCGCGGTTGCTATAATTCGTCGGATCAGTGCGCGACATCGCGTGGCTACAATCGGCTCAGTGAGAACGTGTCTCGGACGCTGAATTCAGGCCGAATTCAAAACATGACTCAGCAACTTTTGATTTGAAATTGAGATCCTAGAATGCTGTTTTTCTCGGAATATACAAGCTGAAGCTGAGCTGAAACTTCATCAGGTTAGTTGTTCAATACCCTTCTTTAGATTTTGAGCACTTTTGTTGCTTCAAACGAACAAAATGCACAAATTACAAATGATGGACAATATCTTTAAAGTTTAGCCAACTCCAAATTTCCATTCCAAATTTTTGAGGTCTCACTGTGATTTCTACTGGTAAACCCTTGATTATTTTATAGACAAATATGCCTAATTCACACTGCTCAGATTTTACCAATGATTTTTATGTAGCATAGTGAACGGGAAGATCTGAGTTGTGGAGTCCCTTGGACATGAATGTTCAGGGTGGAGTGACTTGACAGGGCTGCTGACGTTATAAAATGTTGCTTTTTTGTTATAAAATGTTGTTTTTTTATGACACAGGGCCCTTGCTTTTTATAGCAGTGGACCCTTGCGTGTTACAACAGGGGCTGTTGGTTTATTTTTTTATTGGCAGAGGTCCCTGGGTGAATTTAGCAGAGGTCCCTGGGTGAATTTAGCAATGGACCCTGGGTGAATATATCAGAGAACACTGGATGAAAATAGCAGGGGGGTGGATGAAGGTAGTAGGGGACATTGGGTCAATTCAACAGGAGACCCTAGGTAAAATTAGCAGGGGACGCTGGGTGAAACTAACAGGGACCCTGGGTATAACTTACCAGGGGACCCTGGGTGAAAATAGCAGGGGAATTGGATGAATATAGCAGAGGACCCCGGAAGAATGTAGAAGAGGACACTGTGTGAAAATTGCTGAGGTAATTGGGTGAAAACAGCATGGGACATTGGGTACATTTAACAGGACATCCTAGGTAAATTTACCTAGGGACTCTGGGTGAAAATAACAGGCGCCCTGGGTAAAACATAACAGGGGACCCTGGGTGAAAGAAGCAGGGGACCGTGGGTGAAAGAAGCAGGGGACCCTGGGTGGCAGGGGACCCTGGGTGAAAGTAGCAGGGGACCCTGGGTGGCAGGGGACCCTGGGTGAAAGTAGCAGGGGACCCTGGGTGAAAGTAACAGGGCACCCTGGGTGAAAATAGCAGGACCTGGATGAGAAGTAGCAGAGGACCCCCAGTGAAATTAAGTGAATATAGCAGAGGACCCTTGCTGTTTGATGGGAGGGTGGCTTTGGTGTAAACAGTTGGTATACAATACCTGGAAGGTGACTGATCTGATTTGGAGCCCCTCAGACATGAACTGTTCAAGGTGGAGTGAGTTGGCAAGGCTGCTGACGTTGATCTTCTTCTCCTTGTACAATGCTGAGACGGGGAAACTCCTGGTCACCACTTGCTCACAAGCTACGAGAAAAGCACCAAAACAGATCTCCACATTTGTTTTCTTTTTCTGTCATTCCCATTTGAACAGCTTTAATAACGTTATTTGCATCTTCAGTTCAAGCACACGGTTACATCAGACAGAAGGGAATGCTCTGACATCAGAACACAACTGTTTGAGGATATGGACACTCCACATTTCGTTTCAGAAGTAAGTAAATCTCAATGTATTTGTAACTAAGAACATTGGGTTATATTGCTTTTTTTTTTTTTTATAACAATTTTTTGAGCATTTCAATTTTAAATTAAAATGTTTAAAAATGCAGGCCTATTCTGCGTACCCTGAATATTAATGCTATTGCCTTTTCCATATGTGGCCAAATACCGGTGTAAGAACAGGAAGATACTATTTTAAGTTTACAGTACTAACCTGGACTTCAACAGGACTGCCTTACAAAAAAACCTGGAAGATACCATTTTTAGTTGTAGATGAAAGCCTATTTAAATATGTAAATGAGGAAGATACCATTTCAAGTTTGAAGGTATGAGATTTTTAAAATTACCTTGTATATCGATGGGAGATCCCTTGAAGATAACCCTGTATGAGGTCAGGAAGATTGCACCTTCAGCCGGGAGGTAGGAGGGGCCTCCCATGACCCCGCCCACTCCGTCCTCCCGCCCGTCCGTCAAGAGATAGCCCCGTAGGCCCTCGCTGATCTGCTTCTCTCCAGGCAGCAATGTGGGCTTGAGAATCGTGGGCTGTGGATGGGAACAGAAACAATATGCACTCTGGTTGCGTCTCAAAGCTCTTAGACTTCTGAGTGCTGGAAGACATCTACGTCATAAGTTATAAGTAGATTAAAGCTACAGTCCATCATTTGCAGCTATCCAAAAAGTAACTGACTTAGTTATTGTTGAAAAACATACCAGGTTGAACGATAGTATGGGAGTAAACTCCCTGTGAAATTATTCTTTCTGGCAAGCTGTCATTTCGTAGAAATGAACGAAAGAAGGCCTTTCAAGACGCACCGTTGGAAATTTCCGTTAGAAGTTCTGTTTTTTAATTCGGCTTTTGACTTACAAACTTTAGCCCGAAGAACGGATGACTGATTTTTGTGGCACCCAGCCACGAAAAGTCCTGAAGAAATTGTCCTACAATAACACACTCCGCTCTCTTAGGTTTTCTAAGAAATAGTACATTTTCCACCTGTTTTTTTTAATGTTTGTAACAAAGGATTCATAGTGATTATTTACCTTCTTAATTGGCGGAAGTCTCTTGCTTTCACGGTTCACAGTCTCCAATGTATCAACGTGCATGGCCACCATTCCTGTACAAAAAACACAACAAAAGAATTTAACGATTTCTGTTGATTACATCAAAATCAAGCTGGAAATGATCTCGGAAGCTGCGGGCCAACGCATGTGTGTACGTGAACTATATACACCCCGAGGACAGACAGACAAAGGGAGAACAACAGATTCTTTGTTGTCCTCGACAGTTCATCTTTTGTTGAAATCAGTCCTCGGTCGTGCGTTTGTGTGCTTAGTCTATGGGAGAGTGTTATATTACAGGGACAAAGGAAAAGACAAAGCATTGTCCTCGAGAGTATAGTAAAACACGGCTGTGTGTGTTCATGCACGGGTGAAGTGATTGTGCCATGTAATTTCTGGTAGGAGTAGTGTTTTCAGTACAAACATCAGGTTTTTGACCCTAGTGACCCAATTTTCCAGAACTGCATGAATTGGTAGGCAGTCAGTGGAGACCCATAAAGTGAACAAAAGAGGGCCCGGGCACGAGGGAGGAGTTACCTTGGCCTGAAGGACGAGGTGATTTATAGCCATGCAAGGCGGTTGCTGATGTTTGTTACTAACCAACTAACCAATGAGCCAACTAACAGAGAGACCCAATGATTTGTTGAGCTGCTGTCCGCAGCTAAAAACTGAAAAATAACGATCCCTCCACGGTCGAAAACATTATTGTCCTCGAACTTTGTACATTTCAGGTCAATCCAGTCATTAAGTAGTTTGTAGCAGTTTGATTCATTTCTCATCAATTAAAAAAAAACTAGATAAATATATGCCGAATACAAAAAGAAGGAATACTAACCTGGTATCATTGTGTGCAGGTTCTTGAGGTGTTCGCTGGTCACGCCGGCCTCCGTGCACACCTTGTCCACAAACCGACTGATGAACTTGACAACTTGCTGCGACACGTCGTGACTGTTGCTGTCAAAGTTGTTTTCATTGTAACTGTCACTGCCGCTGACACTACTGCGCAAAAAAAATCAAAAGACAATCAATGCTTGCCCATCCTTTCACACCACAGGTTGTCCCACTAAAAAACCTAACGAATCGGGCATGTGTTCAGAAAAGTGGGGTAGTATTCAAAATCTATCTAATGTATTGCTGAGAAGAACGCTTGGTCTTCCAAATGCTTTTTAGTTGATTTTGATTGTGATGTTTTGTTCAAAAGATGCACAATCACAACACGGGACTTGAAAAACCACTTAAGCCACTTTCTGTATTATCAAATTAACAGATCGAAGCCAGTAGAATAAGTCACACGTTACTCTTGAACAAAGGAAATACATCCTTTGTGTGTTTCTCTAACTGCGCTTTCTCACTTTCAAGGAGAGTGGCCCAAGACGATTTTCAACCCTTGAGTTCGATGAAGCATAGCTTTGTTTGAAATGCCTCGATTTGAATGAAATAAAGTTTGTATGGTAGACTGGTTACCCGAAGCAAACCATTGTGCAAACAATGGTTTTCACAATGGTTTGCTTACTCGAATGGCATCCATGACGATTTTGCAATTTCTATGACTTTCCCCATCTTGCGCCTTCGGCGCTATAAGATCTTTGCTTTTGTCTCTATACTTTCCACTGTAGCCTGCACCTTGAGTAACCTGCACCCTGAGTGGCCCTCTGGCCTTGTGATGGGGGATTACCATTAAATTCAACCATGGTACTAAGTCTGGGGCACGTGTGGTCTAGCGGTGGAGTACAGGATTCGTGATCAAGAGGTTGTGGGTTCGAGCCCCACCGTGGCCATGCGTGTTGCGCCCTTGAGTAAGGCACTTCACCTCAATTACTCCTCTCAACCCAGGTGTTAAATGGGTACCGGCATTATTCAATGCTGGGAAGGTAACAGACTCGCTGTGGAGGAGGTGTGGCGATCCCCCAACAGCAGCATTTCATGGACTCGAGTCTGGCCCAATTGCTAACGAAAGGGAGATGGGCACTCCGTTCCTGTGAATACAGGTTCGCCCCCTTTACCTTTACTTTACTAAGTCTGACACCTCACCTGGGTCATTCCGTGTCAAATCAACACGCTTTTGGACCCGACCCTCACAGATTGAAACGATATTTGGTGTGATGATTGGCCTATATGAGAAACCCCCAGAACTGATTTTTTTTGAAAATTGACTCGTTAGTTTTTGAGATACGGGTCAACGAACTTTTGACTAATTAGCATGACCTCCGAACTTTAAATACTTGTATCTCAAAAACTATAGCGCCTACAAAGCCAAGTTGTACATCATATTAAAGTTCTTTGAATGGCCTCCATTTCATAAAATAAAACCAAAATCGTAGCATGAAGTGCAGAGAAAATGCGTAACAAAATGACCTTTGACCTCGAATTACGAAAAACAATATGCTTCAAATTTTGTAATTTTTTTTCAAATGTTAGTTTATGATGTCAGCAACAATCTTAAAAAAAAATTGGGATGGGCGCTCTTAAAGTTTTTAGGTTATGATTTTTTGAAGAAAGCCTGTCCATGAAAAAGTATGCATAAAGTAACATGAAAGTAACATAGACCGGTATAACATATTTTTTATAAGTAATTTTGTTCTGCCCTTTGAGTTGAGACTATATGGTTGTAAAGGGCAAACATGATGCACAAGTAAAATGTGCACATGTACACAGTACAAGTATACATGTACATGTACATGTACATACATGTACATTTAATATGGGGTATGTTACAGTGATGTATGACTGTTACTGGTGGCTAGCATGTGTTCAGGAGATCCTTCCAGCATCCCAAGAAGTGGAACTGAGTTTCCTTCATCCCCATGGGCCATCTCCATCTTTCAAGTTCCCCTATCGACCAGACACACTTGTAATTCATGGCATGGATGTACTAACAGCAGTGGAACCGGTCACTGAAACAGGACGCGTATACAAGATCTCCGCCGAGGAGATGAACACTGCAACACAGACTTTGGTTGAGCGAAAAATGAAAGTAACATAGACCGGTATAACATATTTTTTATAAGTAATTTTGTTCTGCCCTTAATATATATGAGTTGAGACTATATGGTTGTAAAGGGCAAACATGATGCACAGGTAAAATGTACACATGTACATGTACACAGTACAAGTATACATGTACATGTACATGTACATTTAATATTATGCATACTTTTTCATGGACAGGCTTTCTTCAAAAAATCATAACTTAAAAACTTTAAGAGCGCCCATCCCAATTTTTTTTTAAGATTGTTGCTGACATCATTAACTAACATTTGAAAAAAATTTACAAAATTTGAAGCATATTGTTTTTCGTAATTCGAGGTCAAAGGTCATTTTGTTACGCATTTTCTCTGCACTTCATGCTACGATTTTGGTTTTATTTTATGAAATGGAGGCCATTTAAAGAACTTTAATATGATGTACAACTTGGCTTTGTAGGCGCTATAGTTTTTGAGATACAAGTATTTAAAGTTCGGAGGTCATGCTAATTAGTCAAAAGTTCGTTGACCCGTATCTCAAAAACCAACGAGTCAATTTTCAAAAAAATTCAGTTCTGGGGGTTTCTCATATAGGCCAATCATCACACCAAATATCGTTTCAATCTGTGAGGGTCGGGTCCAAAAGCGTGTTGATTTGACACGGAATGACCCACCTGCTGGTCAGGTTACTGCTGCCGCTCTCCCCGTCCATGAAGATGGAATTCTTCAAGCCTTTGTGAATGTCCAGAGGGACCCGCATGCAGATCATGCGGTTGGTGTAGTGGATGGCCAGGCTATAGACGATACTCTCCTCGTTCTCAATCTGCTTGTCCTGCTCATCGCAGTCCAGCTGGGACCAGAGACGCAGCTGCTCGGCGGCGATCTCCAAGGGGGAGCGCTCCCCCGAGGTGATGAAGCCGTTGGCCGAGTTGCTGGGGGATTCCATCGTCCCGTTTTTGTCCTGCTGGGGTTTGAAGAACGAAATCAGGTTTACAGGCCTACACGCGTGCAAATTTGTCACGTAATAAAGCCACACGTTTTTTATAAATACGCACAAATCAATGAGCATGTTTACATTTATGCAACAAAGTCATGCGACTTATCCCGTTTCTTGTTTTGCAATCAACTTTCAAAGTGATTTTATCGCGCAAAACAAAATGTCGCACACATGTACATATGTCACCTGGAAACTGTCAGTTAATTTCAAAAATTGCGCGGCATTTCACACATTTGTTGGACACATGCATGTTTTACACTGCCATGCTTAAAGCCAGAGTCCATCATTTGCAGCTATCCAAAAAAGTAACCGGCGTAATTATTGTTGAAAAACATACTGGTTGAAAGATAGTGAGGGGACTAAACTCCCTGTGAAATTATCCTTTCTGGCAAGCTCTCATTTTGAAGAAATCAACGAAAGAAGGCATTTCCAATGGTGCTTCTTAAGAAGCACCGTAGGAAAATTTTAATTAGTTGTTCGTTTTGTTATATGGCGCAGCGCGCACAAGCATTGGAACGACACACAGGCGCGCGCGGTTGCTATAATTCGTTGGATCAGTGCGCAACATCACGTAAGGCTGCAATTCAAAACAATTTGAAACATGATTTAGCAACTTTTGATTTTAAATTGAGATCCTAGAATGCTGTTTTTCTCGGAATATGAAGCTGAAGCTGAGCTGAAACTTCATCAAGTAAGTTGTTCAGTATCCTTCATTAGATTTTGAACACTTTTGTTGCTTCAAACGAACAAAATGCACTAATTACAGCTTTAAAGATAGTAATAGCACAAAACTCCCTGTGAAATGAGTTTTTTTCTGGCATGCTGTCATTTTGAAGAAAACTATAAAAGAAGGTCTTTTCCAAAGATGCATCTAAAGATGCATTTATGGACATTTCCGTTCATAGTTCATTTTTAATTCAGGGAAGCCGTGAATGGGTGCGCACACGCATTGACACGATGCGCGCGCGCGGGTTGATATAATTCGTCGGTTCAGTGCGTGACATTGCATAGCTGCCATCGGCTGAATGAGAACTAGTCCCAGATGCTGATTTTGGGCGCAATTCAAAACATGACTCGGCAACTTTTGAATTGAAATCGAGATCCTAGAATATTTTTTTTCAGAATATACAGCGTGTCAAAAAAAAAATGTCCCTCTCATAGACCACAGAATAATTACTAAAATAAAGTTTTATACTCAATTAAGTTTACATATTTAGAAAGCCCACTTTATTTTGTAGTTCCTGTGAAAATTTTAAATATCTCGCTTCATTGGTTTTGAATACACAGGCTTGTATGTAACAGCAGTGCTTTCTGGCCCATTCCAAGTTTGATAAAAAGAAATGCACACTACAGACATACCATACCTTATTCCATGCTTCACTTTTAATTCAACAACTGTGTTGTTGTTTTTGTTATTGAGTAACCATTCCTCCATGGAGTAACTAAAGTCAAGTTCATTTACTTGTTAAAATGAAAACTAATCAAAGTTCAGTTCCACTGGTCGTGTTTGCTTTCACAGGGTGTGTTCCACTTATGGTTTGTTCTTCAATGTCCAGCTTGTAAACCTTTATTGTCCCCCTGCACGTCCTTCCACCTGCAAACTTGGAATGGGCTGAAAAGCACTGCTGTTACATAATAGACTGTGTATTAAAAACCAATGAAGCGAGACCAATGAAATTTTCACAGAAGTTACAAAATTAAATGGGCTTTCTTAATCTGAACCCTAAATTGAGAATAATACTTGATTTTGGAATTAATTAAGCAGTCTATTAGAGGGACATTTTTTTGGGGGACACGCTGTACAGCATTCAATAAGCTAAAAGTTCATCAGGTTTAGTTGTTAAGCACCCTTTTTACATTTTGAGCACCTTTGTTGCTACAAACGAAACAAAAAAAATGCACAAACAACAAATGATCTACTCTACCTTTAAATGATACTGACAAGGGGCAAAATACCCAACAGTGAAAGTAAATTACGCTGACACAAAAATTCCCTCAACAGTTGAGATAGACTTACATCGCATTTGGTATCATGCTCCGACACGTACAGCTGCCTAATGTTGGTCTCCACGTCTCGGTAGAAAGCTGTCTCCCAGAACCGAAGGCTCGCCCAGACTGGGTGGTCCTGGGTGCAGCTGTAGGCAAACTGAATCACCCCTGTGCATAGTTTCTGTGGATGGAATATAACGGGTTAAACTGGGTGTCCCTGGGGACAGCAATGGGCAAACTAAATAGGTGCTTTAGATAGAATATAAGGAATTGGGTTAGATTGGGTGGTTCTGGGTACAGTTATAGGCAAACTGAATCAGCCTTGTGCATTGTTTCTAGCGATAGAATATAAGGGATTGGGTTAAACTGGGTGGTTCTGGGTACAGTTATAGGCAAACTGAATCAGCCTTGTGCATTGTTTCTAGCGACTGAATATAAGGGATTGGGTTAAACTGGGTGGTTCTGGGTACAGTTAAAGAAAAACTGAATCAGCCTTGTGCATTGTTTCTAGAGATAGAATATAAGGGATTGGGTTAAACTGGGTGGTCCTGGGTACAGTTATAGGCAAACTGAATCAGCCTTGTGCATTGTTTCTAGAGATAGAATATAAGGGATTGGGTTAAACTGGGTGGTTCTGGGTACAGTTATAGGCAAACTGAATCAGCGTTGTGCATTATTTCTACAGATAGAATATAAGGGATTGGGTCAAACTGGGTGGTTCTGGGTACAGTTATAGGCAAACTGAATCAGCCTTGTGCATTGTTTCTAGAGATAGAATATAAGGGATTGGGTCAAACTGGGTGGTTCTGGGTACAGTTATAGGCAAACTGAATCAGCCTTGTGCATTATTTTTACAGATAGAATATAAGGGATTGGGTTAAACTGGGTGGTCCTGGGTACAGTTATAGACAAACTGAATCACCCCTGTGCAGGGTGATCTCACGCATGCAATGCATGGCCGAACCAAACGAAGCAAGTGCCCCAGACTGGTATACGGGCCATGACTTATAAATGCCTTGAAAGAATAGTCACCGATTACAAAGCCAGAGAGTTGAATTTTGAGGAATGGAAACTTGCAATGAATACTAAAAGTATAAGTGAGCTTACTCTGTAGAAGTTAGATAACAGCGGCAGGATGGCCATGGGTAGACTGTACTCCTCACTCGATGAGTCCTCCTAGTCAACAAAGAGAGAGACAAATAATGATGAAAAGGGTAAAGGTCACCCAAAATAAAGGTCAAAGGTCATTTCCAAACTGGGCACGTGTGGTATAATGGTCGAGCATAGGATTCATGAATGTGAGATTGTGGGTTCCAGCCCCACCCTGGGTATGCGTGTTGTGCCCTTGAGTAAGGTGGTTTACCTCAATTACTCCTCTCAACTCAGGTGTTAAATGGGTACCGGCATTATTCAATGCTAGGAAGGTAACAGACTTGCTGTGGAGGAGGTGTGGCGAACATAGGTTCCTCCCCCTTTACCTTCACCTTTGAACTCAAGGTCAAAGGTCAGGAGAACACTGTTTACCTGTAATGCACAATTGATGAGCCTGACTACCATGTCAAACTGCTGCTGCTCCAGTAGCGACCGGTTCTCCTGAACGTAGACCGTCAGCTGCCTGAACAAGGCCAGTCTGGTAACACGGCTCTTCAAGGAGCGCAGTACTGCGGGAAAAAGCTGTAACGAAAAACAGGGCACCAGTCCATGTCAAATAAATTAGTAATGCCATCCATATCCACCAACGGCTTTCTTTTTTTTGACACGAATTACTGCATGAAACCACATTCTAAAGCAAGTTCGGACGAGAACTATCATGGTTCTCTATACAGGGTGGTGCAAAAAGAAGGAAGCCCACTTTTGACAGCAATTTTCACCTACTTGTTAAGTACATTTCAAATTTTAATTCAATGTTATTAAAATATTGACCTTTAAACATAAGTGACGAAAAAATGATTGCAAATGCCCATTTGGTCTCTGGTATATGGTAGTTTAAAAATGTCATGTGCCAAACCTGTTTGTCCACGGACGGCTTTATTCCGTCCGCTTCACTGATCTCCAAAGCTTGATATTACACGTGGACAATAGTGATTTAGGTGACGTGTATTCAAATTAGTATAATAACACTACAAGTATTCTTGCGATTTTTTTTACCATAGATAGTTGAATAACTATACTGCACTACATTATAAAAAAAAACAGTTCAAATAAGATTCCATCGTTTAAGATATTGTTTTTTTTTTTTTTTTTCTTGAGTTCAATTTCCTGACCTTCTTGGCGTCTAGGATCCTGTTGTCAAAGATGTGCCCGAGACAGGTCCGGAGCACCTCCAGCCTGCGCGCGCTGTTGTTGATCACGTTCATGCGATTCTCAAAGCTGCTGATCTTGGGCCCCGCCGGCACGTTCTGGGGCTTCTGCTGGCGGACTTTGCTGGCCTTCTGGTTCAAGCTCTGCACGATCTGAGAGATCAAATCGATCGCAAATTGATCCGATGTGATTAAATTGGATTGAAAATAAAATATATTTTCCAAGTACACGTATCTCCGTTTAACCTCAGCAGGATTTTTATTCTGGGTGGGGAAATTTATAAACCAACAAAATGAAGAGGGTCTGATGTTCCAGTCTTAACAAGATCTTCTTCAGAGACAATTTACAGTGGTACAGTTGTACAGTGGAACGCCGCTATACCAAACACCGCTATCCTGAACATTCGGCTATACTGAACATCGTCCTTGGCTCCCGATTTTTGTGTACAAAACCAACTGAACATTGTTGTAGAAAACCGTCAACAGAAGAGCGACAAGTGGCTATTATTTCCCCAAGGAATAGAAGGGGAAAGCCACCCATCGATGTAGGTACATGTAGTAAGCTCAAACCTGTGTAAAAATTTACATAATTCAATAGTCAGCACGTGTTCGAAGTTGTCTTTCAGTAACTACCAGAGCATGCAGGGTGAAGTTATGAAGGGCGCCATTTATTGAAAATGTGAGTACCGGAGCACCGGCAGCTTCAAATCGTTATACCGAACGATCGCAATTATGAATATTTTCTGTGGTTCCCGCGATGTTCATTATAGCGGCGTTCCACTGTACAAGAAACAAGCAAGTAGGAGACACACAAGCATGCATGGGTGGAAGGAGAAACAAATCTCTCCCACTGGTCTTCCCAAGCTCCCCCTTTCTTACTGTTGAGGGGAAACTCGTACATGGAGTCAATTACATTATGAGAAAAAGCCGTTATTAATTTTGTCCACGACTCACTGCTTTACTGAGGCCGTCTTCGATGACCTCCCCGACCAACTCCTCCTTGAGATGAGGGAACGGCATCTGGTTGATGCGCGTGTGAGCGCCCTCTGTCGGCCGGGGTATCTTCTCCAGGTACGTGGCCTTAGCAGGGTTTTCCTGTCAAAGAAAAACCATCAAAATAATGTCAAAACTGCGTATGAAATTCATAGAGGTGGGAAGAAAACTCCTGAAAGACATTTCAGGTAGGGACTGAAAACCCAGTATGTACATGTATGACGGCCTGTGCATCACAGAAGTTGTGTACATGTGAATACACCTTTATCGTGCTGCCGCCATTTCAGTCAAGTTCCCTGTGTCCAATATCGGTACTGAATGAAAATGGTTTTTGTGCAAAAAAGGAACCAGACTATTTTTCCTTCCAGCCTTGCTTTGGTTACACTGACTTGAATGGGAAAAAAAATCAAGATGGCCGCAAAATGATAATGGTCTATTCCTCGCATCGCATAAGTTACCTACTGTTTTGTGGCTGCTGCACACCAGAAACCAGAGCCTTTTTTTTTGGCTTAATGGTATTCCACACTGTTTCTTATCACCCACCATCCCCAATGCCCCACCCCTGATGTGATTTCCCCATTCATCCACATACCCATTCATGACCCCCTCAAGTTATTCCCCAAATGTGTTTTCCCTGCCCATTCAAACGTGAGGTGGCCGACCTCCCTACTTTCAGTGACCACCTCGCTCAATTTTTGCCAATATCACCACCTCGCTGTGAAGATTGGCAACAAAGGAAATACTAATTGAAAACTTTTTATTTTGTGTTATTTATGAGCGTTTTTCTTGACTTCTATGCATCAAGAACTCACAATTTTAATGTGTAGACGGAATCATCGTGCATTTTTGTGAGCAGTACATTCTTTTCTGTTGGCCAGACTGCGTAAATTTTGTTTCAATCATCAATTTGAACTTTTACCACCTCGCTCAGTTCATTAGCCAGGGGAAACACTGCCCCAAATCACCCCATCCCTCCCTCCTTTTTTACAGTCACTCACATTGATGTAGAGATATTCCCCTACGTCCCGGATGTTCTTCAAGGCCCTGTCTGAGTTGCCTTCTTCTTGAGTCATTGTGTCTGAGATGCTGGCCACCAACTACATGACAAAAATGCAAACAAGTGACAAAAAACACCATGACTGTTGTATAAATAACTAGGTAGAAAACCCTTGAACATTGCAACCATATCTGCACTTCAAAAAACTAAATGTACAAATCATTATGTAAAGTATACCTGCAGTATGGCCCCCCAAAATGCTGTTACTATATACATGTACATGTAAATATGCACCATGTAGTAATAATTTGATTTCACTTCATAAATATCAAAATACATTTTCGTAGATGCTGGAAAAACCAAGAAAAACAATCATGTTCTTGTAGACTGGTTCCCTGACCCCACTTAAGATGAAACAGAGCAATTTATAGACATCGGGGAATTGTAAGGTTAGGGAACCAGTCTAGCTGGCTTGTACCTGTTCATAGGCGTGTAATCAATTGCAAACAAAATGCGGACTAACTAAATTATGACAACTAAATGACTAACTAAATTATTAAAAAAATTATGACTAACTAAATTATTAAAAAAGCCATTTTTTTCCAACAAACGTTGGAAATTGATACAAAAATACCACTTTTCTTGAAAACGTCAGCACACCAGGAGCCATGATTTTACAGGATGCTTTAGACTGTCATTCACTAACAGTCCAGTAAGGTATTTCATAATAGTTTGGTAGTTTTGTTTTTTTGATGTTTGCAAAGGTTGTAGGCTATACTTCCTTTAAACTAATAGTCAATATTATCAATCTCTCAATACAATTCTGTGCAAGTGGGCAACCTTTGAGCGATAGGCATCTGATTAAAAGTAACAAGTCTGAAACCTTCATTCCTTTACTGCTGCCAAAGCAAGGCATTCAGTCTGGGAACCAAACTAAAGGACAATCACATGTATGGGCTCTGTGCGCCAACGAAAGAGGGCGCCCTTTTACCTAGCAACGACTACCCATGGGTGGGACATTTAGCTGGTTGACGCGCACCGTTCTTTGTGTGTGACGCACGTACACCAGGGGATTGGCACTATGTACACGCAGTAGTACATGGTACGGCCGCGCGTCGCGGCAAAATTACAGTCAGGAAAGATGGCGTCGGTCCGTCACCCCCAACTGTGCTTTCTTTGCCGGTGAGGGGGTACTTGTGAACGGAGCGGATACTGTGACAAGTACTACTCACAATCCTGAATCCAGAGTTAGTGTTCAGAGAGAACTAAAGCTATAGTAAATTAACTGACGCAATGGGATGTCGAAAAAAAAAATTGCATATTGGCTCGTAAATATTACGAGTAATAAACAAACTTTACTTAACAAACGATGGTCCAAAATCAGTGCATAAATTCAATCATTCATCATGCGGTAAAATTGGCCATTAAAGATCATTTAACTTGTTACAAGTAAATCAAATCTAGTGAAGAAATTGGACAATTTCTAATTTTGTTGACAAGTTGTAAAGGAACTGCTTCGCTCACCTTGTCAAATATATCGCATACCCTGTAGGGTGGCCCCTTCTCATTGACAAACGTATTGAAACTCATGCTGTCCAGCACCTTGCTAAGGAACTCCTCACCGACCAACGATCGCTCAAACAGGAACAAACCCTGGAAAAGAAAAGGAAAAGTAAACAGTGGCCTAGTCAATATTGTTACAATTGGAAATAAGGCCGTGGTAGTTGTGGATTGCCGAGGCAAAAAGCTACAAAAATGGATTGAATATCTTGTGAATTATGCTGAATGGTGAATTATGCTGAATTCACGTACACATATTATGATGTTGAAAAAGGACATGCTTATATTTCCAAACGTCGCAAAAAGTGGAATGCAGCATTCAAATAGTGAACCACAACGTTTGAAAAAACTGTGAACCATGGTGGTGGACAAAAGGTCAACCAGGTGAACCACGAAGTTACAAAAATGAATCACATAACTGCCTAAGTCGGGAACTTTTCCTTAACCCTAACCGCCCTGAGTCCTTCAAAATCCTCTTTCCAAAAGTGGAGGAATTTGGAGGATTGAGGTTACATGGCAAAAGTGCGTTACTGATTTCGTAGGATGCACTTTGTCAAGGTCTTGGGACGGACATCATGTTGTTTTTGTTCAGCCATGCATAAATATAGGCCTGGAGTATGCTTGAAATCCTCCGTACTGCTCCAGGATGTCACTGGCCAAGCCTCAACATATTGACAGTCACTGCCGCAGGATTTTGCAGGATTCAGGCAGTGGTTACCCCTTGAATGAATGAATGAAGGCATTTGCAGGATTAAGGCTATACGCTATTTTCTATGAGGCCAATTGGAGGATTTTGTAGGATTGAGGCTACATCCTATCAAGAACACCAACCTGTTTAACCAATATGGCTTCAAATGGCTCTCTTCTGTGGTTCTCTGTACCCTATCCAGTCTTTATATAGAGATCAGTGGTTTAATCCCACTTGCATTCCAAAAAATCGCCAAACCTGAACCAAACCATTGTTCCGTATAACAACCCCGATTTCAACGACTACAAAACCATGCTGCACGCCTTTTATTTACCGTTGGCAGGCGTGAATCGGCTTCTCCACTACTTAACCAACTTCACTGGCTTCCCATCCGGCAAAGAATTGAATTCAAGATAGCCCTCCTCATCTTCAAATGTCTCCATCACACAGCTCCTCCGTACCTTAACCGCCTCATCCAGCTCAACGTATTTGGCCAACCTGGTCTTCGTTCCAGTAACGATGGTACACTATTGTCGGTGCAGAGATCCAAAAACACCTCCACTGACCGTGCCTTCGTTATTGCCGGCCCTAAGCTCTGGAACACCATACCCTCAAGCATCAGATCACAGGAGACTATTTCATTACTCAGACAACAATTAAAAGCTCACCTGTTTCCAATTTCATGTCTGTTTTCATTATCTTGTGTTGCGTTAGCGCCATGATCTGGATGGAATGGCGCTTCATAAATCCTGTTATTATTATTATAATTATCATTTGAGGGTTGACTAATATTTACCTTGTTGAATGTGATGACGGGTTCCGGGTGTATCCTGATGAGCGTCAGGCAGGACCGGTAACCCATGAGCAGCTCGGCCTGTAGTCTCAGGAAGATGGCTCGGATCTCCTTGTCTGTCATCTCCACTCGCTGGTTGGTCTCCAGGGGTTTTGGGAAGGCCAGATCTGCCGCCTTCAACTCCGGGTTGAGAATCTAGGTATGAACAAGAGGGGGTAAAAACCACTAAGATGATTTGACTCTGAAGCACAGGAAAGCAACACACAAACAAACTTACTTTTCAGAACTAAATATCTTCTAAGCAGTAGTTATTACCACACGGTGTTACCGCAAACCGAAACGATACCAAACAAACAAACAAATAAAAAACCTAAAACAAAGGCTTTTCCTAACTTTTGATATACATGTAATGCTTGACTGAACTGTTTTTAGTTTTGAAGTTGAATTTAAAGATGTTGTAATGTTCCATACTAAACATGTATTCTGAAAAAATAACCCCAAAAGGATAATTGTACGCTTGTCGAACACGCAAGGAGACAGGCGCATGACGCCTGCATTTTAATAACAAGTAGAATGGGCCTTCGTGTAACTATTACGCGAACACGTAACATCGCGTAACATCACGTCAGTGATTTTATCCCGAATGAGCTTTGACCTGGACTACTTTATCAAGGTACCAAACTGGCTTATTCAGGCCAGTACGATCGGTCTATTGCCCTTAACAATTCTTATCACTTGGGGCCTGTCTCAATTCATACTTGGGACAAGTTGCGGTCAAGTTGCAGACATTGTATCTGGTATAAGTTGCAGGATTCTGAACAACTTCTCGCAATCTCCTCGCAATGAAGTTATCAGTATTGGTGAGTCAAGTACTTGCTCATGAAAATTTGTCCCAAATTCATCAACGGGTATAAATTGAGACTGGCCCTTACCAATGTCAGATGATCTTGCGTGCGTTGGAAGATGTCTTCCCGTGGCATGTACAGGGTGATGCATTCAGGGACGCTGATACTTCCTCCGTCTAAGTCAGCAATGATGATATCCAGCTAAGAAAAAAAATTAAAATTGAAATTTTGACAATTCTTTTAATCAACGTCTTATATACACCGGGTTCCCTGAGCAGTTATTTGCAATGTTAAGTCTTTAACCCTAACTCCCTAGCGTGATTTACTAGGAACTATACCCATCCTGGCAAATTCCAAAACCATATGGGAAACTGCACACACAAATATTTCTGACTTTGATTCTGGAGGTGTGCCCACCCAATGTAAAAGACTGTCAGTTTAGGGGTACTGTACCCATCCTGACAGACTCCAGCAAAACATGCCATTGGGGATTGATGGGTTGAGTTCTGTTAGGGTTAAGTGAAGTGTTTGTAATGCATAAAAAACATACATGTATAAAGAAGACACTTTCTTTTCGAAAGGTAATATGAAAGCCACAGAAAATACATTCAATCCTGAACAAAAATCACAAATTCACAATCAAAACTGGGATTTTTACCTTCTTTTGTAACAGTCCACAAAGTTCATGCTCATTTACATAAGTATGTTAAAGCAAACTTCAATCCTTAACCATAACCCCCTAGGGTTATCTGGCTAGAGACCCGGCTAAACCCTAGTCTGTGATATGTGAGCAGATTCAATGATTAATTATGCAAAACAAGGCTGCATCTTGACCTTGAGATTCTGACCATTCAGCGAGCGCCTTTTATCGGGTCTTCCGTAACCCGTTGTTGTATTACAAAAACATGGTAGCCAAATTGACCACTCAACAGCTCAGTCCACAATTTCTTAAGTTGACTCCGATTGGCTGGCACGCGGGGTCTCATAGAATTTGCATTTGTCGTGTGGCTCTGCTCATGTGAGTATCTGATACTCAGACGAGCTAAACCCATCAATACGCAACATTTGTCAAACTTACCCTCCTGCTGTCTGAATATTCACAGACAGTCATAAAATCAGTCCTGTTCCCCTAGCATGCCTTTTACACAAACTAGTCACCAACAGTCAGATCAAATTTTTTGTTTAATAAACACTGTGACTAGTCAAATCGCATCAACAGACAAAAGCATTGTAGGCACAGCTGGCTTATCAATCACCTACATTTGTACAGTCTAGTCACAATCGACCTATCGCCGTTTGCGAGTTAGCCACGCCCCTTAGACAACCCTATGGAATTTTTGTATGCTAAGTTTTGTTTGTCTCAGATGTTGCGCGTCCTGCGTCCATTTGTATATCATGTAATTGGACAATATTTCACAAGCTGCGTTGACGCAATTCTAAAGTGATTCTACCGCGATAGGTCAATTACAGTAACAGTTACAGCCAGTCAATCCTGTTTTGCGTTGGCAGGGAGCTCTTACACATGTACAGTTAGTCACTTGGTCATTGGTGACTGCTGGGGTGGTTTTGGTGAATTTGCCAGCCAGAGACATGAGAGAGGGACAGATTTATAGCAACATTGGTGAGATATTTTCCCACATAAGCGCAGCTAAACACTCGCACTCAGAAGCGTTTCCCTTACGGATCGATCTATAAATTTGGGGTCCACTTTTTTCCTGTTCCTGTTACATCTGACATTTACAGTATGATTTTGATAATTCTAATGCACTCCTTAATAACCCTAATCCTGCCAGAAGCAACACAGTGCATCAGGTGGAAAAGAATTGGTGCAATTTGTTGCATCCAGCTACCAACACCAGTGCATGAACGGCCGCATCTGAGACACTGAGAGCTAGTCCCATAGAAACAATGCCACAGTTGTATCCTGCTGCGTGCGGTGACCACAGACTCCGAGGCAGTTTCCCCTGATGGATCTTGCTACATAATGGGCAGGCTCGTCACTTAGACAAGTGTTGCATGTTGCTGTGTTTGGCAGGGTTTCTAGCCAAAATACCCTGGAGGGTTAGGGTTAATTAATGTAGTCGTCTTCCAAGAGTGATTATCCATGACTGACTTACCAACCCAACAAATTTTTAAAAAAATAAGCAAATTATGGTAAAACTTGTGCATTTGTTTGTAAGTGTCTCACCAGTTCTGCCATCTCGGTTTTCATGGAGGAGTGGACACCCATGATGAAGGGTGTTGGAGTACTAAGCACCTCCATCAAGGCAGCAGGAAGGATGGGGATGTACACATAACTGAAAGAAGGAACAGAGAAAGGGGAAAAAAGAGAAAGACCGTCAAAATAAAATTTTAAAAATCTGTTTACAAATTTTCAGAAATGTTTAAAGGTTATGTACAAAAGTACATTTACTTTTGCTCTAATATTTTCAGAAATGGATGGATTTGGGGGTTACTTTATAGCAAATATGTGATGCAATCAAGCTAAATGAGTCGTTTGTCGGGAATTTTTATTTGGAGATACAGGCCAAAATAGGGCCACTTCATCACATCACTTCATCACATCACTTCATCACATCTCATGGTGTTCCAACTTCCATAATTTTTGAACTAAAGATGGTATCAGCATGCGGTTTTCACAGCAGTAATGCTGAGATTGTGCTCTTTTCAAATTTGTAATACTAAAAATTTGACCAGGGTCGACAAATGACTCATGTACATGTAGCTTGATCGCATCACATATTGTTACACTGACCTGTTTACATTTATCTAAAATGTTGTGTTCATAGATGCTGGAAAAACCAAGAGAAAAGAAATGCTGTTCTTGTAGTCTGGTTCCTGACCCTACTTCAGACAAAACGGAGTGATTTATAGATGTCGGGGAATTGTCAGGTCAGGGAACCAGACTAGCTGGCTTGCACCTGTTCACGGATGTGTAACCGATTGCAAACAAAAATGTGCACTAACTACATTTGGAAAATGAGGGCAGTACTGGTATTTGAAAAAAGTCATTTTTTTTTTTTTCAATTATGGACGCCGACCATTGTCGGCAATTGATACAAAAAATCCACTTCTCTTAAAAAATGACAGCGCACCAGGTGCCATGATTTCACAGGATGCTTGAGACTATTATTCACTTACAGTCAAGTAAGATATTTCATAATAATTTCGTAGTTTTGTTGTTTGATGTTTGCAAATGTTGTCTATTACTTTTAAACGAAACTCGCACTACAAATGTATAAAAAAGTGACAATGTGTTTACTCGATCTGCCCTCAAAGTTACACACGTGCACTTTACAAACAATCAAGGATTCCTTTTACCAACTTAATTAACAAAGCATTAGAAGCGCCGTGGTACTTAATCACATTCCGGGCAGTTAATATGTTTACAATGACTGTGGGTTGTCTATTGTGTCAGTTATATACAATGTACATGTATGCTGTTTTCAACAGGCGCAAGAGTAGCAGCTTTTGTGAAGTGGCTCAACGTTCAAACGTTTAAAGGGAATATACACGTACATCATTTGCTTTTGCTGTAATTTTCAAAAATAGATGGAATTGGGGGGTTGGAAATATATAGCAAATATAGTTACACTGACTTTTTTGAGGTTTTGGGTTCGAAAATGCTATAAAAACCAAGAAAAACAATTCTTTTCCTGTAGTCTGGCTCCCTGACTCCATATAAGAAGAAACAGAGCAGTTTACATACATTGGGGAATTGTAAGGTCAGGGAACCAGTCTAGCTGGCTTGTACCCGTTCATAGGTGTGTAATCCATTGCAAACAAGTGCGATGGTCAATTGGGGCCAGTATTTTTTTAAAAAGCCAGTTTTTTCCAACGCTGGTCGGCCGACCAGCGTTGGAAATTGATACAAAAATACCACTTTTCTTGAAAACGACAGTACACCAGGTGCCATGATTTTACAGGATGCTTTACACTGTCATTCACTAACAGTCCAGCAAGGTATTTCAAAATGATTTGGTAGTTTTATTTTTTGATGTTTGCAAATGTTGTACTTTCCCTTTAAACGCTGCTTAATAGTTTTGATAAACTGTTACAAAATTTAAAGTCCCATCCTTAGCAAAAACACTACGACAAATGCGTGGAAGGAAATTCTGAAAAGGTGAGCGAAGGATTGGTTATTAAAACTTCTCCTGGCTGCATCATTTATTGTTGTCATTTGATTAAAAAAATTGAGTCAACTCAAGTCAATGAGTCGACTCGACTTGAGTCCGACTCAAATCGTAACTTAAAAATATAGAAAGTTATCAAAACCTTATCTCAGGCAATAGCCTACAACTGGGAATTTAAGAAAAACAGGGAAACCCTAAACCATACAAAGACTTTGTGCAGTATTTTGCCATTTGTTGTGGCATTCATGAGAAGTTAAAAAAAAAGGAAATCAGTGGATCTGAGGAAAAGTTGCAGGCCCGCTAACTAAAAAGGAAACGATTGATAGATGCTGACTAACATGCATTGTTCTCTCATCGAAACTTCAGCAGGTTTAGCTTCTGAAACTATACTATTGATTTTGAGTGCACTACTTTCTGAAGTTGAAATTAAAAAAAATTATGTAAATCGAGGTGTGACCTGTCATCACGAAATGAGCTTAAAGTCGGAAATTGTCACGTAGCAGTACAGCGAGCAAAGCCAAAAGCTGAAGGATGTCAATTTTTTGGTTTTTAGGAAAACCATGATATCTGCAAGCCCTGTTTTACAGGTAACTTTCTCCAATGGTTTGTTCTGCTAAACATCTTTAAAACCTCTTTCATCCTGTTTTGATGAGTTGACTGTGCATTTGATGTAACACAACTGCAAGATTTTTTAATGCCATTTCTCAAGGATCAATTTTCCACTTGAAGTAAGTTGGTGGATACCGGTACTTCCCTTACTAAACTCAGTGCCCCTGAACATTATATACCATTGGAAAGCTCTTGTTCTGCAGAATCCAGATAAAAAAATATCTCAATTCTTGAAGAAGTCTGACTTTAAGCTCATTTTGTGAGAACAGGCTACGAATGGGTCCAACTTGGCCTTTGATCCTTCCTTCACATAGATTAAATAACGGCCCAAGTTGTCAATATCTAGAATAAATATATATCTCACAATACTTTAGGAATGGTTCCTCACCATAGAGATATATTAAATTACTAGAGCGCTTACTCGATGTACAAAGTGATGCCTGCTGGCCGCATCCATATTTGTGCACAAACCCATAAAAAACTCAAAATTTTGGACGGCTTTTGTATGGCTACCGGTATTTGCATATCTGCATTTGTATTCTATACAGGTACGTTATCGAAGCCGATACACCCAAAACCGAAACGCACAATCAGAAAATGAGCTTGTCATTTTGCCCTGTGCAAACGATGCAAACGTGTGCACATATCCGCCGCAGATGATTTTTGACGTGTCTTTTTTTAACCATCATGACACACTTTAGTTGTTTGCATATCTTGTTTTTGCGTGTTGCATTTAGAGTACACTTTCAAAATTCGCTCCATCTAATTTCATTATGTTCTACAAACACGCACATGAATTCAAAAATATCTGCACCCAGGACGGCTTTGAAGTATCTCTACGCGTAAGAATGAATAGTTAGCGCTCTGGTGATTCTATGTTCCTCACACATACATGTATCATCTAAAAACTGCTTAGGCTCTAAACCAAATCAAATTTCTCACAATGTTTTGATGAATAAGCCATTTGCAAGTTAAATTTGAATAAAATCTGGAACGCTGACTTAATCCAATGCTTTGCACGTTTTAACTTTGCATTCTCCCGAACAAAGAGACTGTTACTATATGACGTGATTCGGGGCAAGCCTTATGCTAGCAACCCTCAGCTCCGGCATGGTCTGGTGTCTTTGTGCCATTCTCACCCATTGTGAACAATGTCTTGGTGCTGAGCGTCTCTTACGTAACTATGCAAGAGCTTGCCGCAAATCATGTGATGTGGCAACAGTGTCTTTGGTCTTGAGAATTCAAAGTTAAAATGTGCCAAGCATTCTGAGCAAGTCAGTGTACCAGATGTTTTGGCTTATTGTTTTAACTCACCTATATTTCAGTGGGTAGAGTAGGGACAGCAGGGCGGTGCAGGCCTCCGTTAGCCTGGTGTAGCTGCTTGAATGAAAGAGGATCTTGTTGTCTGTGATGGCCGCGCTGTATAGGCACATTACATTGCGAATACCTAGAGGAAGAACAACAGCCAAAGTGTGACAAATGTGGATACGTGGAAGAAATTTTTTTTTCTAAACCCGTTACAAAAAAACCTGAAAATAACTACATCACAAATCAAATTAGGTTTTGCCCTTCACCGACGTTTAAACACTGTATACTCAGTGTGTTACCTCCCGAGTGAAAAAAATCACTCGGGTGAAACTACATCACACAAAACAATTGCAAATGCATTGAATTTTAATATTAAAAGCAATGAAAAACACAAAATTAAAAAGCAATGAGGGTTTTTTGCTTACGTGTTATGCCTGTCATTCTGGGGGATTTTGGGCCACTTTGCTAAAACTGTTCCCATCATGCTATTTTGTGTTTTTTTCCCCCATTTTTACATGACTTTACTTGACAGGTAAGTGTCTACTTAGAGTTACATGTACAATGAATAGATGGAGACTATGTGATTTCATGAATTCCTAATCAAACAAATAATACATAAAAACATAAACAATATGAAAATTTAAACAGTGATAGTAATAAATGTAATCAGGTGGCGGCAAATTATGGGGGGGGGGTTGACTGCGGTGAGAAAGTCATTACATACAGCGAACAGAGGCGTAACAACTCAAGTCAATGAGTCAACTCAAGTCAATGAGTCGACTCGACTTGAGTCCGACTCAAATCGTAACTTTTGGCAACTCGAATCAAGTCCCGATGGGTAACTGACTCGACTCAAACCCACTGCGAGCAAATGACTCGACTTGACTCGACCTTCTTGACCTAATGACTTGACTTGACTCAAGTCACTTTCTTAAAATGACTCGACTCGACTTGAGTCACAAAATTCGGTGACTCTTTGCAACTTTGACAGAGACAAAAGCCTGTTAAGAATTAACCAAGATTTGCTAATATAGTAAGACAGTACATAAGGGAAAGGAAAAATTTTCAACTACAACTGGTTTTCAACTACAAGTCATTAACATTATACAGATGGACACGGAGGTACCGGCAGGTGGTTAGCCAACCCCATTGTTGTAGTTAGGTCCATCACAAGCCCCACTGCAAGTCCCTGCAAGTCCATCACAGGTCCTTCAGTCTCAAGTCAAGTCACTAGCTATTCAAATGAGCTGTTACAAAAGCATTCCTTTGTCATTGTTCATCCAGTTACTTGGGACTAGACTTGTGAAAGGACTTGTGACTGACGTTATGAAAGGACTTGTGAATGGACTTGTGACTGGACTTGTGACTTGACTGGTGACTGGACTAGTGACTGGACTTGTGATGGACTTGTGACTGGACTTGTGACTGGACTTGTGACTGGACTTGTGACTGGAATTGTGACTGGAATTGTGAAAGGACTTGTGACTGACGTTATGAAAGGACTTGTGACTGGACTTGTGACTGGACTTGTGACTGGACTTGTGACTGGACTAGTGACTGGACTTGTGACTGGACTAGTGACTGGACTAGTGACTGGACTTGTGACTGGACTTGTGACTGGACTTGTGACTGGACTTGTGACTGGACTAGTGACTGGACTTGTGACTGGACTAGTGACTGGACTTGTGATGGACTTGTGACTGAACTTGTGACTGGACTTGTGGCTGGAATTGTGACTGGACTTGTGACTGGACTTGTGACTGGACTTGTGACTGGACTTGTGACTGGACTTGTGACTGGACTTGTGACTGGACTTGTGACTGGACTTGTGACTGGAATTGTGACTGGACTAGTGACTGGACTTGTGACTGGACTTGTGACTGGACTTGTGACTGGACTTGTGGCTGGAATTGTGACTGGACTTGTGACTGGACTTGTGACTGGACTTGTGGCTGGAATTGTGAAAGGACTTGTGACTGGACTTGTGATTGGACTAGTGACTGGACTTGTGATGGACTAGTGACTGGACTTGTGATGGACTTGTGACTGAACTTGTGACTGGACTTGTGGCTGGAATTGTGACTGGACTTGTGAAAGGAATTGTGACTGGACTTGTGACTGGACTTGTGACTGGACTTGTGGCTGGAATTGTGAAAGGACTTGTGACTGGACTTGTGATTGGACTAGTGGCTGGACTTGTGATGGACTAGTGACTGGACTTGTGATGGACTTGTGACTGAACTTGTGACTGGACTTGTGACTGGACTTGTGGCTGGAATTGTGAAAGGACTTGTGACTGGACTTGTGATGGACTTGTGACTGGACTTGTGAAAGGACTTGTGACTGGACTTGTGGCTGGAATTGTGACTGGACTTGTGACTGAACTTGTGACTGGACTTGTGACTGGACTTGTGACTGGACTTGTGGCTGAACTTGTGACTGGACTAGTGACTGGACTTGTGATGGACTTGTGACTGGACTTGTGGCTGGAATTGTGACTGGAATTGTGACTGGACTTGTGATGGACTTGTGACTGAACTTGTGACTGGACTTGTGGCTGGAATTGTGACTGGACTTGTGAAAGGAATTGTGACTGGACTTGTGAAAGGAATTGTGACTGGACTTGTGACTGGACTAGTGACTAGACTTGTGATGGACTTGTGACTGAACTTGTGACTGGACTTGTGGCTGGAATTGTGACTGGACTTGTGAAAGGAATTGTGACTGGACTTGTGACTGGACTTGTGACTGGACTTGTGGCTGGAATTGTGAAAGGACTTGTGACTGGACTTGTGATTGGACTAGTGACTGGACTTGTGATGGACTAGTGACTGGACTTGTGATGGACTTGTGACTGAACTTGTGACTGGACTTGTGACTGGACTTGTGGCTGGAATTGTGAAAGGACTTGTGACTGGACTTGTGATGGACTTGTGACTGGACTTGTGAAAGGACTTGTGACTGGACTTGTGGCTGGAATTGTGACTGGACTTGTGACTGAACTTGTGACTGGACTTGTGACTGGACTTGTGACTGGACTTGTGGCTGAACTTGTGACTGGACTAGTGACTGGACTTGTGATGGACTTGTGACTGAACTTGTGACTGGACTTGTGGCTGGAATTGTGACTGGAATTGTGACTGGACTTGTGACTGGACTTGTGACTGGACTTGTGACTGGACTTGTGACTGAACTTGTGACTGGACTAGTGACTGGACTTGTGATGGACTTGTGACTGAACTTGTGACTGGACTTGTGGCTGGAATTGTGACTGGAATTGTGACTGGACTTGTGACTGGACTTGTGACTGGACTTGTGACTGGAATTGTGACTGGACTTGTGACTGGACTAGTGACTGGACTTGTGATGGACTTGTGACTGAACTTGTGACTGGACTTGTGGCTGGAATTGTGACTGGAATTGTGACTGGAATTGTGACTGGACTTGTGATTGGACTAGTGACTGGACTTGTGATGGACTTGTGACTGAACTTGTGACTGGACTTGTGGCTGGAATTGTGACTGGAATTGTGACTGGACTTGTGACTGGACTTGTGACTGGACTTGTGACTGGACTTGTGGCTGGACTTGTGGCTGGACTTGTGACTGGACTTGTGACTGGACTTGTGACTGGACTTGTGAATGGACTTGTGACTGGACTTGTGACTGGACTTGTGACTGGACTTGTGACTGGACTTGTGACTGGACTTGTGACTGGACTTGTGACTGGACTAGTGACTGGACTTGTGACTGGACTTGTGACTGGACTTGTGACTGGACTTGTGGCTGGACTTGTGACTGGACTTGTGATGGACTTGTGACTGGACTTGTGACTGGACTTGTGACTGGACTTGTGACTGGACTTGTGACTGGACTTGTGACTGGACTTGTGACTGGACTTGTGACTGGACTTGTGACTGGACTTGTGACTGGACTTGTGACTGGACTTGTGACTGGACTTGTGACTGGACTTGTGACTGGACTTGTGACTGGACTTGTGACTGGACTTGTGACTGGACTTGTGACTGGACTTGTGACTGGACTTGTGACTGGACTTGTGACTGGACTTGTGACTGGACTTGTGACTGGACTTGTGACTGGACTTGTGACTGGACTTGTGACTGGACTTGTGACTGGACTTGTGACTGGACTTGTGACTGGACTAGTGACTGGACTTGTGACTGGACTTGTGACTGGACTTGTGACTGGACTTGTGACTGGACTTGTGACTGGACTTGTGACTGGACTTGTGACTGGACTTGTGACTGGACTTGTGACTGGACTAGTGACTGGACTAGTGACTGGACTTGTGACTGGACTTGTGACTGGACTTGTGATGGACTTGTGACTGGACTTGTGACTGGACTTGTGACTGGACTTGTGAAAGGACTTGTGACTTGACTTGTGACTGGACTTGTGAAAGGACTAGTGAAAGGACTTGTGACTGACGTTATGAAAGGACTTGTGACTGGACTTGTGGCTGGACTTGTGAAAGGTTTTGTGAAAGTACTTGTGACTGACAATATGAAAAGCCTTGTGACTGGCATATGAAAGGACTTGTTACTGACTTTATGAAAGGACTGGACTACAACACTTGCCAACCCACCCACCCCACCCCCTTCGTTGCATAGAGGTCCATGCTGTACCTAGTTGTTGCATGAGCATTGCTATCTTTGTCCCAGTAATCGGCAGCTTGTCACTGAGAGGTGGTTGTAGCGCCTGTCTGTCCCCCGCCCCGATGGAGAAACGTACCTTAGAAAAGAAACACAAAATGAAATGAGATAAGATTCAGTTGTTAACTGAATGGTTTTCAGACAATCAAAGCACAAAAATAGATATTTTTGGAAACCAAAAAAAAAAAAAATTTGCACAGAGATTCGAGCCCTGCAAATTGGGCACTCAAAACGCACATCTATCACTACTGAAGCTCTTCAATGGCTGTGAGAAATGTGAATCTCATATTCGGAATGTTGTGTTGCAATCCCCTAACTACACTGTACAGCTGTTGAAAAACACATTTTGGCTTTCGTAAAAGAAGTCACTACTTTTTTACCTTTTTTTTTGAACAAGTACAAGCCAGCTACACTGGTTCCCTGACCTTACAATTCCCCAACGTCTATAAATTGCCCCGTTTCATCTTCAGTGGAGTCAGGGAACCAGGCTACAAGAACATGATTGGTTTTTTTTTTCTACGAACACAAAACTTCAAACAAGTCAGTGTAACAATATTTGCTATAAAATACTAAACCCCTAAATACATCCATTTCTGAAAATTACAGGAAAAGCCAATGTTGTATATTCCCTTTAACTGTAACAGCACATTGTACTTCAACCACACACGGTTTTCCCCAACCCGTTTCTGAAACTGCAACTTGTTTCCTGTATAAGTTGCAATTTATTTCCTTTACGTTCTTCTTTTCTTTTCTTTTCATTCAATACAATTCAAAGCTGGGACCTGGAAAAGAAACCCTGTGCTACAACCCTGGTTGAAAGCAGATACCCAGAATGAATAATAAATATGCAAACAATGGGTTAACACAATATCAGTTGCAATGTTTGGCTATTATAAATACAGCAGTATACATACGTGTACAAAGTATAACATGCATTGGTTTACGGCTTGCAAAATCATACCCTGATTTACATGAAAAGTTATTTAATTTACTTTAGAAGAAAATGTAGGCATTTTTGTTTTTTTTCTCGATTTGGTGGCATAGAAACAGCAATGGCAAAGTTTATCATGAGAGTTCGAAAACATTCAACAAAATTGGCACATTTTATGGGGTTGTCTCTGAAATGTTTATAATACAAATAATACATAATGGACAAGAAGATATGAGAGTTTGATGCTAAGTTGTGCAGTTCTAAGATGAAGCAACTTTGGCTAAAACAAACTAAATGGTGTACTTTGTTCACAAATCTAAGAAACTGTGCGTCAAGTCAAGTAAATAAGCAGTGCCAAGACCACACGACGAACATCCAAATTGCATATCATTGATTGAAACTTTCACGCAAGATTCAAATGTGAGCCAATTAGCATTCCAAAGAGACAATATCAAACACTAGCTGTCCACGTCCATGTACGCAATGTATGGAAACGACCCACGGTATGCAGTGATATACCGGTAACACGTGATAATAATGCACACCTCCGCTAGTAATTTTGAAAAATATTTTTGTCCAACTTTCTTCGGACTCGATCGGCAATTCTATAAATATTCTGTCACCACTAAAACAGCGACTCATACAGAAAGCTGTGACAGCTTTGTTTCAACCTTGACAAGTTGTGCAATCACAGGCTCCATGACAATCATGATTTGCCGGTAAAAATAGTCATTTTCAGTCGCTATGCCACAACTGACGCCACCTACATTTGTACATGTACATGTACATGTAAAATGATTGCGCAACTTGCGCAAAAATTGTGGCGCAAGTGGAGTTATGCCAGTGCGTTAAGTTTCGTGAAATCGGCTGTTGTTCATGAAGATTGAAGTAAGACTTGGTTGGGCAAATCAAATTAAGCATTTGGTATAAGATACTGGTACTGATCAGTAACTGGCTGAAACCAAATCAGTAGTTTATCTACTTACCATACGTACAATGTACACATGTAGTTGTGTCTCAGAAAGCACAAACCAGCATTAAAATCACTCTGAAGAATAGGCCCCCCCAAAAAAATATTCAGTCTCTGGTCAGACCAAAGTTCCGGAATTGACGCGGCCACGCGGCTTTTTTTCTTTTTTTTTCTTCAAGCTTGGATTGTACAGACAAGGTAGGTACTATTTTGCTATTTGGTGTCCTCATGTACATTGGTGTCCTCCATAATTTGCCTTGGTGCTTTCGATAATTTGCCTTGGTGCAATTTCCCATTCCTTGGTGCTCTTTGGTAAAAAAAATTGAGGAGGTGCGGAAATAGAGGGCACTGTTGGAGCTACCGCGGAACATTTTGGGAAAAAAAAAAAGATCGACGCGCATGATTAAAATCGACGCGCGCACTGACCAGAGACCGACTTATTTTTTTTTTTGGCCATACACTGGTTTTTTTTTTTTTTATAGTAATAACACTGTTAACAAGACAAAACCAACATACTGTAGAGTAAGAAAGCCAAGCAATGGTTAATAAGCAAAAAAACAAAAACAGCCATTATGAAGAAAAATCCGAAACCAAAAACAACAGACCAACAGACAAAAAACATTGATAACGACAGACAACTAAATATGGATTAATAAGAAATATAATTCAGGAATATATTGCATTGCATATCCTCAAAATACAGCAATTACTTTAGTTTACATGTAAGTCTAAACAAGCAAATGTATACGTGTGGAAATTGGTAAAATCAGGGATGCTTAAATTCCATCTACCGGTACGTACATTGTGTACATGTACATGTACAATTTACATGTAGGTACATCATATATTTACAGCATGAAACATCCAAATTTCCAAAATGATAATATGATAGTGTGATCACCTTTATGCACCTGCTGTATAGCTTACGTAATTGGCAAACTACATGTGCATGCATTCCACAAATGTGAATTAGACGTACACGTACATGAACATGTACTGTATGGACATTTGTAAAGCATACTAAAAATATATTAGAATGTAGCCTACGGTACATGTACAGGAGTAAACGGTACCATACCTCAAAAAGCTGTAATATATGTTTCCATGAGGAATATGCATGGCAAGGATTAGCTAAATAAATGTCAATTATTATGCTCAATTCGCGAACCTGGCATCAGATTCACACCAAAAAAAAAATAAGGGAGAAAAATGCAAACTCTACTTTGAAAAAAAGAGCTAAATTTAATACATGCATTTAATTAAAACAGCAAACCAACCAAACATGAGTCTACAAAGCATGATGGCCCCGAACTATGGATGAAATGCATTATATAAGTGAGTGAGTGGCCCCCGAACCTGGATGTTCACCTACCCATTCATGCTCTACAGTTTCTTGTGAGCAGTCGTTGAACAAGTTCTGTGTGTGAAAACCAACATATTTCCGTTTGTTTATAAAACAGAAGAGGAAATGTCGAGGGGGACCAATACCGAGAATTTTCAGATCTTGTGCCGCAAAAGACAGATTCATGTCATCTTCAGTGCTGAACCAAAGTAAAGTGAACGTTCTACATTGTGCATAACAGTACAATCCCACCTGACTCAACAAGCAATGCCACATTTTTATTGACACCACGTTGCTTCACACTATGTGCAGTGTGTTGCCAATGCTAACATACATAATGCAGCTGTGCTGGTGCGAGTGTCAAATAACCAACAATTTACAAACATTTGAAGTGGTTTATTTATTTACATGTTCAAATAAAACATGGAGAGTAGTCTGGAAATTGACATCTTGCGTTGTAGCCATTTCCAGTGCACCCTGATTTATTTCTTCCTAAATTCTAAATGTTCACATTGATTTATATATCTTGGTAAATTAAAAGTCCACCCAAAATAGTTCTAACTTAGAAAGAAACAAAGAATCATTGGTTTTTCTTGTCCTTTGTCCTTTGGGGGAAAAAGATAGATGTCGTCTCCAAAAAATAATAAGACCAACATGTAGACCATGATTTTATCCAATTCAGCACCTATCGGGTATCGAATGTTGACCCACACATACTGAAATTTTTATCATTGTGGAGACATTTCTTTGTTCTCGTGTAGTAAAGTTTTCGAGTTTGAAAGTGAAGTTTGAAAATGCTCTTATTTTAACCAGAATTATTTTCCTTGGCTGAAATTCGGACTTGATATCCCTTTTCTAAAACTCTTCCATTTGCGACAGATCAACCCACCTTGGAAATTCCTAGTTTTTGAGTAAAATCCATACATGTATATCTATTTCATGAAAATCTTGTGGAGACGTATTCATCTATAGAAATTGCCCTGTGGAGACATATACAATCTTTTGTTCCCTATGTGCATGTCTCCAGAGGGCACGGTGTATCAGATCCACGCTTCCAACGTGGAAATTAGTGCACATAGTTGCGGCATGATTAAAAGACACTGCCCCACACAGGAGAGCTTTGATGCTCCACCCTAGAGCTTGAGATTAAATTTTTATCGTTTTTCATTTCTGCAACAGTTATTCCTGCCCCTATATTTGATCTCATGAGTAGACCACAGTGCATAATTCTATTTTTCCTGCACTTAGTCCAGAGAAACCAAAGTACAGAACCGTTGCCAATGGTAAAATCCAATAATTGAACATGTGCATGACCAAAGTCCCAATCCATATTAAAGGGAAAAAAATCAATGAAGCAAACTCTCCATAAAAAAATCCTCCGCCAACAAGGGAACTTTTTGGGACGCCCTTTGAGAGTGGCACGGTTAGTTTTGATTTACTCCCATGTTAAAGTCAGAGCTACACATTACCATATCACAATCATGCCTTTGTCATGTAAATCACTAAAGATGCAACACACAACACAGTCATTACAGTTGACAGACTACGGACTGTTTCAGATATTCCAAATTTCAAAATGTTTTCAAGATTTCTGAGCATTCCATGAAACCAAGTGCAAACTGAAACAAACCCACAGACGCCAAGCAATTTAGTTCAGCACAATGCACACACATTTATAAACAAAAAAAGTTGCTGCGTTCTTCTTGTTATGTTGGGGAGGGGGGGGGGAGGTGAGGTTTTGATAACTTGCGAAATACATGAACTGAAAACTGCTGCACTGGGCTTTAAACATACCGGTACACACACATGAAAGAGTACGTATGTACAGGGGTCATTCCAAAAAATTAGGGTCCGAAGTGTGACGTTTGTGACTAGTCGTCACAAAATGAGCTTAAAGTCAGATTTTTTTTAAGAATTGAGATATTTACATATCTGGATTCTGCAGAACAAGAGCTTTCCAACGGTACACAACATTAAGGGGTGCTGAGTTCAGTAACGGAAATATAGACCACCAATGATTACTTGAAATTGTAAAACTGATTCTCGAGAAAATGGTATTTAAAAATCCTGCAGTTGTGTCACAGTGAATGAACAGTCAACTTACCATAGACGGGATGAAACAGGTTTTAACCCTTACATACCTGAATCCATCAAAATCCACACCCCTGTTTTGGAGGATTTCGGCGGATTCAGGATACCTCCATATGGAACAAGTTTGGGGATTTTGATGGATTCAGGATAGTAAGCCTAGCGGTACTGCAGGATTTTGATGGATTCAGGATACCTCCATATTGAGCAGTTGGGGGCCTTTGATGGATTCAGGATCTCAACAGTTTAACTACATGTCCATGTATATGTACCAATATTTTTGGTGTGTAGGAGGTACATTGTGTACTACACTGGTGGATTCTGCTGGACTCAGGACACCAACAATTTTGTTTGCATGACAAAATTGGTGGATTTTAGCGGCCGATTCAGGATACTTTCTAGTAAAAGTGCTCAAGGGGTTAGGGTTCAAGACGTTTGACTGACCAACCCAAACAAAATTGGAGAAAAGTAAATCAGGACTCAGAAATTAAGGTTTACCTGAAAACAAAAAAAATTGACCATCCCTTCAAATTGCGGCTATGACCAGTGGTAGCAAGTTGCAACTTTAAGCTCATTTCGTGGGGACAGGTCACATTATTTTTTCCTGTCCCTGTTTATACCTCAGAACTTGGTACTTTCAAATTCAAGTTTCATTTGGTGGGAATGAATAAAAAAATGTATTTGTTGGGTAGGTAGTTTGCTATTCATAACCACTCTTGGAGGACGACTGCATGGGGTCCGCTCATACATGTAAGTCGGACGCCTCATAGGTCCGACGCCTCATAGGTCCCACAGAATCGCATCCCCCAACCAAATAAAGGCCAATAAGTTCGACGCCTCATAGGTCCAACGCCTCATAAGTCCGACGCCTCATAGCTCCGACGCCTTATAGCTCCGACGCTTCGTAAGTCCGACAAATTAAACGACTCGTTTTTCCGTTGTCGGACTTATGAGGCGTCGGACTTATGAAGCGTCGGACCTATGAGGCATCGGACTTATGATACGGCCCCGACTGCATTAGGGAGTGCCTCAGAATTATAGAATCACAGATGTCCGATGTAACAGGGACGGGAAAAAAAGGGTACCCCAAATTTATAGAATGACCCCCATTCCCAATTAGTAATCGGGTAATTGCAACCTGAGTGCCCAGTAACACACGGATACAAAACATTGCAGGACAGCAACAAAATGGAGACATTCACCAAGTTAATATCTCACACAGTGTTTCTTTGCTACACAAATCATATATATTTTTCAGTCGAGTTGCACTCTCAGTTTCAAGTTTTATACCGAGATCCAAGCTGAACTAAATTTCAGAACGGTTTACAGGTTGGACAAAGCTCTCACAATAGGCCTTATTCACGATTCAGCCATATTAAATTCAGGCATGCAACTGGGAAGTCACCAAAACAAGAGGAAATTCAAATCTTATTAAGACTTTGTGCAGTTTTTTTTCTATTTTAATGGCAGACTTAGGGAATTAAAAAAAGAGGAAATCAGCGGATCCCAGGAAAAGTTGCATGCCTGTAAATTGAAAGTAAGGTAAAATCTTCATTTTTTTACTCGCGAATAGAAATGAAAGCAGCAAAATAAAGTTTTACAAATTAATACCAGTCTGCTCTGAGGAATAATTTAAAATTTGTGTTTAAACATATCCTAATGTTTTAAGCCACATTCACAACAAAAACGAAATGAGGCTTGAAACGCATAAATAGTCTGGCACCATCCCATTCAATAGTTAACCATTCATGAATACATTCAGGGAACATGATCAAAACGGCTTCCTCATCAAATAAGGTCTATTCTCGGCGTTGAACCTTCTTTTATCCAGACCACTTTCAAACAGACTCAAGATTGAACATGGCCGCGTCTCGTTTACTTGGTAATGGCTTACAGTAACACGTGCATCTATGGCAGCGGCTAACGCCACTTCCCATAGACACGCGTGTAAGGGCCAGTCGTAGCCACGTCATGCAACTTGGTCTCACCTGAGGCCCGCTGGCTGGTGGGACCTGTATGTGACCCAAGATGTTCCCAACTAGTGTCTCCAGGGGCACCTCCATGGAGTCAATGTAGGCCGTGTAGATCAAACCCAGGCAATTCTGGAAACAACACACAGGGATGTTACGTTATAAGATTTGAGGCTTTGCATGGTGGGGTATCGGTATCGTTTCGGTTTGTGGTAACACCATGTGGTAATACATGTAACTACTGCTTAGAAGATATTAGTTCTGAAAAGAACTTGTCCTGCTTATTATCAACTTTGCTGAGTAGTTTTTTTGTTCTGATAAGAACAGTCCTGCTGTAAGTTCTAAACAAACTTGTCTTTGGTCTCAACGTTTCGACTAGCCTGCTCTAGTCATTGTAAGGAGACTGTTAAACTACTTAGCAAAGTTGATAATAAGCAGGACAAGTTCTTTTCAGAACTAATACCTTCTAAGCAGTAGTTATTACCACATGGTGTAACCGCAAACCGAAACGATAGGGATGTTATGGTTAACATTAGGTGAAGGGCAAATGGAATTTTGACTTGTGCAAATATACATTCATCTTGAGACTACGAGTTCTGTAAGTGGAAATGTCTGTGCTACGGCTGTTAAGTTGCCCAGTGTATAATGACTTTTAACATACACACAGCTGCCAACTTTTCAAAATCCAAATGAGGTTCGAGTTTGTATGTTTATACACACATTTACATTAGGGCCGCCGTACGCGATAGAAATATCCCGCCAACATACCTTGCAAACGCATGCTGTTTTTATCTTTTCTGGACGTTGTGATAAACTCAAACTCCTTTCAATACTTGTCACTAAGAATTGTCCCTTTTTTGTTGTCTTGGAAGCCATGATGATGTCACATAAAGTTCGAAAAATGTTTCGTGAATAACTACGAACATGATGAAAACTTCAGACTCACATGGCAATCCTTAGGGCGCCATCTTAAAAAGCGAGTGTATGACACATACGCTGGTTCCAAGTCATTTGCACACATGTATTATACTAACTGGCTGGCGCCCCGCGGTTACATCGATGTCAGAATTACTTGGCTACAGCATGATATTGGTAGCAATTGCAGCCATGTTCCATAAGACTCGTGTGCAATTTCAATTCGTAGCCTAATATTTCAGACACGGCTTATATCTAACCGATTTTTCAGTGTTCGGTTCATAAAATCACGGTATTTAATTGACAATGGCCAAGTTCGGGCAAGGACCATTAGTCGACTAGCGGTTGATTTGTGACGTACCTTACGCCTGCGCACTGATAGCAACGTGCGAACGCCTCTAGTCAAACGCTGGTCAAAATGTCATCGCAAAACTTCTGGATCCTGGCTCTCTGCTAGCATTATGAATGTGCGCGGCTATTGGTTACCAGCGAAGCAACCAACCCCAGTAGGCTGGTTCCAAATAGTCGACTAGTGTAGTCAACCACCGTCGACTAGACAGAGTTCGGGCTAACTTTAGTTAACCATTGGTCAACTATAGTCCTTGCGCGAACTTGGCCAATGTAAACGATTTTGAGGAAATTTGTAATAAAGGGCGATAAATTCGTAATTCGGAATAAAGCTTGTATTTTCGTAATGATTATGCCGAATTCGGAAAGGTTGGCAGGTATGCCTGACCCTCACAACCCAACCACCAACCTTGAGTGTTTCAAAGTAGCCCAGCCGGGAGATGAGCACCAGACTCTTGGGCGCAAACATCATGGTGTGGTGCACGAGGGCGCCGTCCATCTCATCCTCCACGTCGTCGGGCCGCGTGGGCGTCATCTTGACGGCCTCGGAGAAGGTAAGCACGGCGCAGTAGTGTCGATCGGCGTCGATGTCCGTCAGGACCGCGATGAAGAACGTGGGCTCCAAGGCCTTGGACAGAAGCTTCCAACCGCCTGGCTGGCAAAACTGAAATGGGAAATAAAAGCAATCAAGTAAGATTTGAGGCTTTGCATGGTGGAGATACTAATAATGAAAGGTTTGCGGAAACACCATGTGCGAATAATTTCTCAACTAAGAGAATGGTTCTGAAAAGAACCAGAGGTATAAACTCGACGTTCCGGTCAGTATGCTCTGACCGTCTTCAGGACAGGGAGAGTTGGTTGACTATGTTTTTGTGCACATCAGAATAAAAGTAGGTGTGTGTACTTCGCGCGATACGTGCGCGAACACACGTCTGTGTAAGCACCTTCAATCGTGGACCCCCTATTGTCCCTAAAGCAATCAAGTTAATCCCTAAAGCAATCAAGTTAATCCCTAACAGCAATATGAGGTCAAACAATATGGGCTCCGTGCGCGAACAAGAGCCCCATGGACAGGACACACTATGAGTGCGTACTGGTATACAAACATTCAAATTGTGGACGTTGAGGACGATAGGGTCCATGATTGACCAAAGGTCTGGGATGTGTGATCGTGTACAAAACAAATGGGAGGTCTTCCAAAAAGTATGAAGGGGCAATAGGGGGTCCACGATTGATGGTGTTTACACAGACGTGTGTTCGCATACGTGTTCTACAGACATACAAAAGGAGAACAACAGATCCTTTCAGTCCTCCGGTCTTTTGTTGCAAACGGTTCTCTGTAGTAAGTTCATGTGCTTAGTCTATTGGAGAGTGTTATACATGTATTACAGGAACAAAGGGAAACACAAAGCATTGTCCGAGGGTAAAACAAGAGTGCATGCACGTATCGCGCGAAGTACACCCTACTTTTATTCTGATGTGCACAAAAACATTGCGTCTCCCCAACTCTCCCTTTCTTAATGTTGAGGGGGTACTTGTCCACAGAGCCCATAAGGTCAAACAAATAAATTGACTAAAGCTGGGTTTGAATCTGGAACCACTGGAATACTACACCAGTGCTCTACCAAATGTTATCCAGCATTACACTGTACAGAGTGTGTCCCAAAAATGTGCAACATTCAGAAAACAAATGAAAACTGTTTCATTTTTTTTTTTTCAATGAAATTATACATTACATTAAAACCTGACTATTTCTCAATCCACTACTTTTTACCCCATTCCATTTTGGTCCCTAGATCCAGAAATACATGTACATTCAATTAGGTGAAAGGGTGTAAATTTTACTAGGGCCACTCTCACCTGGACATGCTGAATCTGGGTTAAGCACTGAATAGGCATTGAAGTTGGTGACATCACAGGTGAGAGTGGCCCAAGTAAAATGTACACCCTTTCACTTAATGGATTGTATTTCTGGATCTATAAGGACCCAAATGGAATGGGGTAAAAAGGAGTGGATTGAGAAATAGTCAGGCTCTAATGCTAATAAAATTAAATAAAATTTCATTGAAGAAAAAAAACATTAAACACTTTTAATTGTTTGTTTTCTGAATGTTGCATTTTATTTGGGCACGCTCTGTATACATGTACGGTATGCATGTGGCCAGAGATCATGGCTAGTATTATGATGCAACGCACATACAGCACAATCCCTCAAAAGAATGAGGCTAACTATATTACTGTTCCAGATGGAACTGGTATTGCACTGAATATGACAGACATCTTTTCCTGAAAGCTCATAAGATTGCAATTACATCCTCGACATTCTTTACAGCTTCTCATGACCGCTCACATTTTTCGAATACATCAGGCTTTCAAGCAGATCTAGGGTGAAAAGGTACCGGTAGGAGAGTACACATACATGTAGTAGGAACACAATTTTTAAAAAATACAAAGGACAAAAGTAGGATTTTTGGAGGACAAAATCAAAATAAAACTAGGACTTTTCCGGGCTTTCGGGAGCACATGTAGTTTTTGTTGATATCCACCCGTGTCCACAGCATCACAAGCCTCATTTGGCATGCTCTGTACTAACAACACTTGTGCTCCATCCTCAACTAAGCTCTTGGAAGTACAGTTGCAGTACTCCTGCGCCCAAGCCCTTCATGGCGTGATTTCCATTACGACAATATGTAACACTTTTATGAAAAGTCCTCAGTGAGATTTTTCATTTTTCGGAGTTGTGGGATAAAAAAGTAAATTGTAGGAAGAAGTAGGAATTTCAAGAAAAAAAGTGAGGAAAAGTAGGGGCAAGGTAAAAAAAAAAATAGAGAAAAGTAGGAAAAGTAGGAATACCTGAACGCCTGATATATTCGAATTGGAAAAACATTATTCGGATATTCGTTTGGTGATGACCAATCGAATATTTGAATATGCGGAATACTCTGCACAGCCCTACTCTTCCATCTTACCAGGTCAATCCCAGCAATGAATGGCACATCCTCCCAGTCTTTCTCAGGGAAGCGTTGCAGAATCTTGCCTCCTCCAAAAAGCGATGCACCCTCTGAGACAACAAGAAAAGAGACTATTATAAGATGGAGATTCGAACCAGCCAACCGATCCCGTTAGCTCGGTGGTCGAGTGGTAAAACATCTGCACTAGAAAGCAGGAGATCGTGGGTTCGAGTCCCACCCCAGTGATTTTTTCCAACTTTCACTCGGGAGGTAACACACTGAGTATACAGTGTTTATACGTCGGTGAAGGGCAAAACCTAATTTAAGAAAAGAGACAATACTTATAATTTACACATGTACATGTAGCTCTAGCATGTCTAGTGACAATCAATGCTGAACTTAAAGTACTATAAAATGCAATGTTACCGGTTAACACAAATTTGTACAATTTGTGCGTGATCATTTATTTCTCACTTCTTTAGCTTTACCTAAACAACGTACAGGTACCAGTATTGTACACAATGAATGATGACATCTTAGCATTTTTGTCAAGGTGGAAATGGACAAAGCTAATTTTTTTTTAATTTTACAAAGGCTGCGAGGACAAAAACTCATCATATTCAATGGATCTGGTCTTCAGTTGAATTGATTTATTTCCTCATTTTCGTTTTTACAACATTCTTTTAGTTTATTAAACCCTAAAACCAAAGGTGTTACATACGGCTACTGCACAAGTTTGTACAATGTATGTACAATGTGTCACATACACATGTAGACTACTGTACATTTACATGTGTACGTACCATGTATACATGTACATGTACAATGTACATACATGTATATAAATAAGAAAAAGTACATGTACCGGTACGCGGTACACATTATGTACATGTATGTTTGAAAAAACAAGGTAATAAACCTATTTCTAGGAAATTTACAAACGTAGGGTTAACAACAAGGTCATACGGTTGAATCATACATGTATATGGCGTGCAAGTGTCTTCCCATTTACAACTAGTGTCAATGTACTTCAGTTTCCCTTAGTGTGTGCACGTACTCACTCACAGACTGCATACAATATCATGTTGCTCAATATAATTATGATCTATTTGTACCAGCATACAGTTACAGGTGTACCATGTACAGGTGCCCTCATGCCCTGTGTACAGGCAGCAAGGTCAAAGTACTTTGCAGCCTACATTGTACATTGTACGTGTAGTCTTAGTTACAACCATACATTTGTACATGTACACAACTAGTACACGTACCGGTACATGTACATCTAGACTCATGACAGTATACTTGCAACTGTCATCGTTTCACAAACAGTTAATTAATTGCAAGCAGTGTACAATGTACCGTAGTTTGCAAGGCGTTGAAAGATGTATATATTGTGCATACACATCATGTACATGTACTGTAAACGTGTACATGTACATGCACACACTGTACAAATGCTATATGTTCCTGACTATGAACCACTAGAAATGGTACATGTACATAAATGTACTTCAAATGTACACGTTTGTACGGGACACATACAATTTATGTATGTGGCCCAGTAAAAGTTGCTTGTTAAATCACCATTTTGCATGGTTCATCTGGCAAACGGTGGGCAATACAATGTACATGTGCATTTCACATCAAAATGTTAAGAGAAATAAATTTTTTGTAGTGGTTTTGGTGAAATAACCACACAAAATGTTGATCTGCACATTGTACATGTAACCAGCTACCGTATCGGGGGGAAAAAATCAATCTACATACACACATGTACATGTACATGTACATGTAGTACTGTAGTGCATACCGTACCAGTACATGTACATGTACATTGTACGAATGTACATGTAGGCCTACATGTATGTATGTAGAATCACAACCTCAGTAAAATTTGCCTCTGAAGTGACATCACAGCCCAGTGCACCCTCAGTTGTCAGGGAATATTACTGCCATTGAAAATCCTAAAAATCTAAGACTTTCAAAAATTGTATACAAATACGGTGTGTCTCGTTATTTTCATGCAGTACAGAAAATGTAGATGCTTGTTTATTTTTATGTATACGAAGGCCCCCTTCCACGGCGAAAGCATTGTGCTACCTGTAGTTCTTATTCAGATAATCCATCATGGGGAAGTTGCTTTGTTTGTACAATAGCTTGAACAATAGTTTCTCTATAGCAGGGGGTCTCGTGACTGTCCCCAGCAGTACAGTGATCACGCGGGATTCATACACTCAAAATCAGTTTAAGAGTGAAATTTATTGCATGACCCCTTTAAGACTGAAACCATCGGCATAAGGTGCCATTAGGCGAATAACAAACCATAAAATATTTCCCGACCATTCCGCCAACAGATGGGAGCGCGATTCATTTGTCTATCTAATGATTAGGAGGTGCCTGGGAACGCAGGGGGGCTGACTTTTTTTCCGGCACAGTCAAGAGGAATATTTCTTCGCTGAGTTATGCCAAATATTTCCAGCCATTGCCAGATGACCAGTTGATGTGTGAGATTACCCGTAGGTCAGCCCTGCAAACTCAGTGGATATGGCTGCCAAGAGACCTTGGAGTTGGATCGTGTGAAAGAATTTTTTGAACAGCGGTAGTTTGAGAGTAGTGTACATGTACGTAAAAACTAAATTGAAAAAAAGAGAATTCGAAATGGAATCTCTTTTTATGGTTATTGTACACTATGCCCATATTAATTACATGGATGTACATTACTGTTCATAGTTGTACGTGATATCTTTAACCCTCCTACATTTGTAGATACCGGTACGCATTATCCTCCGATACTTTAATGTACTCAACATGCAAGCACAAGCTCATTACTGTTAATTATTAATCCCCTCATTTTGCTGCACATTATAATCTGACAGTGTGAAGGTCACATGAACTGACATGACAATACACCTGTACCATACATGTACACATACACAGTTTGTAACTTTCAGGTGCATTTAACATTAAATACCAGGGTACAATACAAAAAGGCCAAGACAACACAAGCAATGCGACATTTTTAGCCTTGAGATGAAACTACTGGTAATATCCATGTCTTACAATTACATGATGTACATGTACATGCATAAAATATGTACCGGTATGGACATACATGTACATACACATGTAGGTTTTAAAATTCCATTAGTACAGTATACATGTACAATGTACAGTACCTGTACTTGTAATTTGCAAGATTATGGGTAGGTCGCCAAAATAACCCTCATGCTGTTTGAACAGTCACAGACAGTCAAAAAATAATCCTCTCCCCTGCTATGCCAAGTTAATCAGGCTAGTCACCAACAGTAAGATCATATTTCAAGCAAGCACTTTGACTAGTCAAATTCAGTCAACAGACAAGAGCAGGCAAGTGGTAGGCACAGCTGGCTTATCAATCACCTACAGTCAATGCATAGCTGAATCAAGTGTCACAAACAGTCATTGCCAGTCAATCCTGCTTTATGTAAGCTGGGAACTCTTTAACTGTTAAAAACAGTCACTTGATTGATTTTGACTGAAAGGACAATTTTGCACTAAATACACAAATGTAGGCCTACATGTTTGCATAGGATGGGCCCTTTACACATGATGAACATATTATATGAAGGATGCAATGGGACTGCCTATAGCCTGGGAATTCCATTTACCACCACAGGTCAGTGGCCTGACACAGAATGCTTGACTGTCATTGATAGATGACATGGTGACACAAAGGCCAGGCTAATCTGAATAAACTCAAGGTTGTACAGTTCACAATTTGTACCGGTACATTGTATGTTTGTATACAAATGTGGGATTTGAAATGGTAAAATAATTATTATGTACATTTAAGTACTATATGTAGTATGTACACGTACATGTATACGTATGTGACATGTAAATATGTCATATAACCATGGCTAAATTGTGACGGCACTTTTAAACATACACGTACATGTGGTAGGCTACTCTCTAGCTGTGTTAAAATTGTCAAATGATGAAATGATGGAATAATATTAAAAGAATTAATTGAATATTTAACAGTATAATTATATTTCAAAATCGGTATTAAAATGGCAAAAAAATACACCAGTTGCGGGTCTACACCGTATGCAATGTGCAGTTAAGTATTATGCCAGACACAATTGCGTAATTTCTTAGTATCTCTACTAATTCTATTGTACAAGGTTTGTACTGTCATTCAACAAATATGATTAATCATTCCAATGTCCAAACGATGACAGAAATCTGGTTTCAATATTGTCAGAGGAAGCCACGGAGTAGGCCTAAGGCCACCACTCTTTGCACTTCCGCGAAGGTATTACAATGAAAGTACATGTATCTATCGGTACATGTATGCGTAGATATCAAAACCTAGTGCAGTTGGTTATCAAAGTCCATGTTCAGTTATGTTCTGATGAACGGTTTCATTTCATGTTTGCAAAACTAAAAAATACATTGCAATGGAAAATACCGGTACATATGTGGGCTGTGCATGTTTCCAATAATTTAATATTAATTTAATTTTTCCAAACTTAGACTTGATCGAATGCTCGAGTATTCCATTTTGAAATGCACTGATCAAGTTTGACATGCGCCGGCCTAAACTGGCCAGCCGATTATCAGGATTTGTGAGCGCAGGTCTGCACTTGTCGGAAATTGATGACGAGCTTGTTAAAATTACATGTGAAACAGGTAGTGGGTGATATTTAATTTACCCTTCAGAAGACATTTTTTTTGTTATTATTATTATTATTATTGGTTTATTAAAACCTCAAACATCACAGCCCAAAAACTGAATTACGTTTAAAATACACAGACATTCACAAATCAAAAATTTAAAGTTATGTAGCACTAGCAGTTCATTAAAATGTAGGGAAAAACAATGAGAAGAAATGAGTTATACCTTAGGGAGACACAGGACATTAGGGAGACATTTCAATGTCTCCCTAATGTCACAGCTCCTATTTAGAGGCAACATGTTATTGTCCCAAATAGGCTTGATTGATTGCTCGTGGTCCAAAACATAAAAGCACCAAAATGGGGGAGGATAAGGTAAAGTTGGGGTTAGGGGTCATTAAAGTTGAAAAAAATTGTGTGCGCAACCCTATGAGAATGTCTTCGTAAGGTA